CCGAAAAAGGAACGGACGAGAGTACGTTAAACACGAGACGACCACTTCGGAATGATCGTACAGCGAGAAAATGGTTAGAAGGGGTCAAGGGGCACTCGGCGCAGCTTGTTCCAGTTAAAGTAAAATGTGCTGACTGCGCCGGGTGACGATCCGACAGATCTTTCGCCGTTCCACGGGAACATTCATCGCCGGGAAAGAATCTGTCTCGGGAACCCTCGATTCCGAGAAGAAGGAGGTGCGTCGTTTGAGAACAGTAAACGTTTAGCTGCACTTGGGGGTGCAGCGAGTGATAATAGAGAGGAAGTGCAGGTCAAGGAGTACTCGTCTCGAGAGCGGAATACGACTTGCCCTGCCGAAACCACCCGTCTGATCCTATTTCCTCGACCAACCGCCGACTCCGAGTTTCACCAAGCGTCTCGATAATTCCTTGACCAATGTCTGTTTGCGCCGTGCCGCACAGAAATTTCGAGAACGATACCCGTGGCCCGTTAGTTGGTACGTTTTCGACGATAGTTTCAAGCTGTGCTATGATTTCGCGAGAGGACAGGTCTGATAGACGAACACACTCTATTTTTCGTCAGAGACGAATTAATATTCAGAGTCGGTTGATCGTAATCGATTGGAATAATTTATGAATAGCGTCGGGGAAGCGAGAATAGCAGAAGGGAAAACGGAGACTAGACAAGACAGCTCGTTATTCTCCGCCGTAGACAGCCAACAAAATTCCTGTACAGTTTCGCGTATTCTGTAGCCGAAACGCGAGCAGACGCCCAACGTGTAAAGCCATTATTATTATTGACGTTGCCGTTGTTCCATCGCATTGTTCGAATAAATTCTGCTATAAATCTCCACGAATCTTACGGACGGAATGGCTTCACGCCACGACCGACTCTAATATTGTAATCGTTCGTAGCGAAAAATTAAGTGGATAGAATTTGCCCGAGTCCGCGACACCGCGGTTGATTTATTCGCCCGGTAGAAATCGCGAACGAAAATTGCACCGAGGCCAATTCATTCTCGAGACCCCTATTCGGGTCACCTATTCGCCCGGCAAATGAATGGCTGAAATATTCAAAGGTAATCGACACGCGTACGCCATTAACATGCGCACATTAATCGCGAGGCGATCTGTGGATCGAGACGATCGGCGTTGCGAATATTTATGGTTACGGACCGTTTCCATGTCTGTACGCGTAGCCTAAACATCTAGGTGGCTCGTATTCCTAGCTGCACGAAGACAAACGTTCCTTCATAGGTTGTTGGAAACTTTGCTTCCAAGAGTCATTAGTCCCGGGGATATTGGCACGAGCTGTTGCGACTAGTTTCCAACTTTCCATCGGGTCGGTGTTATAAATAAAACCAGGGATCGATCGACCAACGAGATTGTTTACCGACTTAACGACGCGTATTTTTGTTTTAAAACGCATCGGTTCTCGTACGGTTGTAGGAATTATTAAAACGTTCGATTCCAATTTCGTCAACGAAACTTTGATTCGTTGTTCGTGAATAAAATATACTCGATTACGCACCTTTGGACGCGTGCTTGTGTCTTGCGCCCCGTTCTCGATGGAAATGGCACTCGATTCGCATGCACGCGAATTCGATTGTCTCCTATCGGCCATCTAGTAATTGCGATTGCACGTAGATCGACGCACAGCGGAAACGGACGCTCGAAAATCAACCGGCCGGCCGATTATTTCAAACGAGCGGACGTTTGTCGATGCATCGTTTAATGGAACCCGCTTTTGGTCCGGTTAAATTAGATGGAAAATACCCTGGACTCGAAATTAAACGCGAGTACGATACCTCGTTAACTTTCATGTCGGTTACCGAAGCTTGTAACGTTCTAATGTGTTTTTTTCCTGCAAAAAGAACCGCAAATTAATATTCAAACATTGTCAACAAACTCTTGGCAATGCTTGGTTCGTATTATTTACGATTATCTTCCTATTCGATTCGAAACAAAAAAGTCATCTATGGCTAAAGAACGAAGTTATATTTTAACTATGAATACAAATAGACCAGGACCAAGAAACCTGTATCGTACTAGATACTTTCCTTAATCAAATTTGTGATTTCACAACGAAGAATCGAAAAGTTTCAGCGTCGCGAATGGTCGCCGATATTCCTCGATCGTTGTTCGCGGATGTCGGATAACTGCAATATCTAGCGGGGAAGAAAATAGCAGCCACTGAATAGTAAAGCAGCTCCCAGCGCGGCGCGCGCGAGAAAACTCGTTTGAAACTCGTAAAATGATTTCGAGTTCAAGTTTGACACAATTTGCATGTGCAATATACAGTGTCGTGCATACACTTACGAACCCTCCTTGCATGTTAAACTCTATCGTTGTTAATATCGCGTAGAAAGAACATAAATTAATTTCCATTAGAATTTTATAAAACTACGCGTACGCGTATATTATATTCCAACATCCCCATCTTTGTTCTCTGGTATAGCAGGAGCTGTACGCCCTGTGCATCCTGACTTCCGCTCTCGGATCCAGTTGTCCTGCCGTGCTGCGCCGGTCTCCACGGCGACCGATTTCCCAACGATTAGGCACATTACGCGTAATGACGGAGCAAGGGTTCAAAGGGTGCTTTACCGTCCCAACCATTGGCTAGAACTTCAGAATGCGCTATTCTCTCGGGAGCACAAAGCGATTCTCGCGGTATTCAACACTGCGTGGCGCAATACCAGCGGCGGTTAACATCGTCCGAGCAACCCTAAACGACGATCGGGAACGAAGCAAAGATCGAAAACATGGACATACACCGTACTCTTTAACCGAATCTACAGAATTTTCGACTTTATATCAATCGACTACGTGTTTTATATTTTACATGAAACTTTCTCAAATTTCTTTTATTCCAATTTCTCTTCGCTATTAATTTCCAACGCTGTTCGTAAACTGACCAATGTTTGTTTACATTCTGTCATCTTTCGGAATTCTCAGGGAGAGTTCAAATACTTCGTAACCCACTTCTGGTACGTGTTTACGATAAACGTACAATATTGTTGAATTATTTTCTAATTTCGTTTGTGTAGTTTTAAAGCTCATCCCTTGCTATACATATCATAAATCAATAAGTTGTTCGTTATAAATATAAGCGTTTGAATAATTTCGTCTACCGGTGTACGTATTTTTAAATTATATTTATAAGTTTAAGGATAGAAATTAGATCTCACGCGAGCCTATATTTCTTTAGTTTGACGCGGGGATTGAAAACGTTTCGAAAATACCTGTCACGGGAAACCTAACAATCGGAATATAGTTTAATTTGGTGTCAGTTTCTGTAAACTTATACGCCCTCGAGCAACGATGATATTAATCAAGAATGAAACGTATTAAAAAATCATCGTGACTGTTATATATCCGACTAAGGAAAACGAGATAATAAAACATACCTAGATTGAAAAAATCGATTAATGATCCCATTATTATATGCTATTATTAATACGTGGCAGTTTGGAACAAATACCATATTGTTAGATTCAATATTTTGAACAGCTTTTCCGATACATATGTATAACCCACGTTTAGTTTGCGAATGCATCGATATCTGATCTGGTCTCCGAAAACGACCAGCGACAAATATTTACACTATATACATTCGAAACCGTTTCAAAGCCTGTACAGAACCTATATACATGGAAGCTGATGCAACAACCTTAACTTAAACCGATATAGTACCAAATCTCGGTTCTTCGTAACAGTTGCTCGGAATAAAAGTTCTTCGTGACCAAATGTACAACAATTCTCAAGCTTTGAATATCGAGGCATAGTATATTACGTTACGGTCCACGTAACGTTGCGAGCGCATATATACGCTGCCCGAGAAAGAAAAAAGAGGTTGAGCATGGCTGCTTTATCGTACAAGTTGAGATTGAAAGCTACGTCGTAGCCGTGGGGTTGAGCCCAGGAGGAGATCGTCACGTAAACGGATACGTGTTCTTACCAAGTGACTCGCGCGGGTAGCTCCTGGTCGCGCACCATAGTCCTCGGGAATCGACGCTGAATCACCTATGGCACAGATAACATACTCCGAGAGAGAGAGAACGGTGCGCGCGGAAGTCGAACGTCGTAGCCGATTTCCACTCTGTTCCCCGATCTTTCGCGACTTTACGATCGGATCTGCCGTGCGCAGGGGATCGTCCAAAACACGAGCGACCGTACAGATGCGTCGACGATACTGTCGGTGACGAAACACGACGAAAGAAACGCGAATAAAACGACACACCTCTGTATCAGCGAGCCAGAGTTGATGCGGACCGCGGAAGGGAGGCTGCGAAACTGAGATGAAACCACGGCGCAACCCCGGTGCGCGCGCGCACCAAAACCACCCCCGGAATACACGGAAGCAGCCCGGCCAACCGAACACTACCCCTCCTTCTGCTCTGCTTACTTCTCCCCAGGACTACCACGACGACGACGACGACGACGACGACGACGGCGATGCCCCCGCTTCCATTTTTCCTCTCTTCTTTCCTTTGTCGTTTCGCTCCTTCTTTCGACGTTCGTCCTGCTGTCCGACCGCGGAACATCCTCTGCGCGAATCAAAGTCTCGAGACTTTCGCGACCAGCGTTCCTAACGTTATCGGTGAATGCTTCCGGGTCGGTAACCCGAACGTCCACGATCGTTCGTTACTTTTTCGCTGGCGCGTTTTTGACTGGTCGATCGGACGATTTCCTGCTGACCGTTTCGAGCATCGAGCATTAGAATGCAACATAACGTCTTTGTCCGCCGCATTCTAAATTGCACAAGCTTAACTTAATCTCCTACAGTCCGCGTCAAAACTACGAGACACCCCTTTGCGTTTAATGTTTATCGGAACCAAGGATTTTGTACAAGGATCTATAAACAGCATCCCAAAACCTAACGTCAGTGGTACCAGGATCGACCCTTTCATCACCGAACTCACCAACTTTTATTTACAATGTGCTAATACTAATGGTAAAATATATAATTAAACATTTATTATAAAATTTTCGGTAATTATTATATTGGGACCCACCTCAGACTTCGATCGCCTTGAAATATTTTATCAATACATTTGTACGAATTTTTCTTCTCAGTTTAGCGTGCTGACCATGCGTGACCTCCGCCTTAGAACTGTTCCTAAAAGGAAAAACACAAACGTTCTCTTAAAGTTATTTTTGAAAAGGTTGATATATGTGTATTTTGACAAAGACAAGTTTTCCTAACATCGAAGCACTGTGAAAAACTGTTTAGATGTCAGAATTCAATGAAAAAACTTCGCTTCGGTTCGCGTTTTGACGATTTCCAACCACCGTGCGTCGTAATCTTTTAAGCCCCGTAACAGACTGTAGGGGAAAATAAGAAGAAACGGAGATTCCGGATAAATTTTCGAGTGTCTCGTGGATGGAACGCAAGGGATTAAAACGAGAACTAATACTATCAGGACGGAACTCGACGTTCGCGCGACGAAAGAACCAACGTGACTCGCATCGCGGAACGGGTTGCAGTTGCAGTTTAATGCGGCAAATGCAACGTTCCGTAGCAAAGAAGTAAAAAAGAAAAAATGGAAAAAAATAATGGAACGAATTCGAGGTTTTCCGAGCCAGTGGAATTCACGCGATTAGAGCTCGCACGAGTGAGGCTCAATGACTCATCGATAGAGAGCTTGAACAATGTTGCTCATTCCGGCGACTTTAATTGCCAATTATTGGCCCGTTGGCAACACTCGTGCTATTTTAAATTCGATTAATCGAATCGCGCGCTCATAGAAACTCCGTTTCCAATTACGCAAGCTTTTCGCGTTTCCCGAATTCGCGGTAAATCGCCGAATAGATCGTCGCCCGGATAATGTTTGGATCGACGGAAGTTACAGTGGACGATGTTTAGAAACGGAGAACCAAATTCATATAAGAACAGTACGTTCTTTCCTCGTCAATAAAAATTATAAAGTTTCAAAAACGAATACAATTACATTCAATTTACGACACCCTGTACATCGACTCTCGACGCTGATTTACTTTGGAACAGATTATGCGAACTTGACCGACTGCTTGGCCCTCGACAACTAACGATCGAAAATGGTTATTATTTCTTGGGAAAGTGGATTCGTTCAACAGTTTTACAACTTGTATTTGTTAAATTGCAACATTAGTCAAGGTTCCGTGTAAAAATTAATTTATAGTACCGTTATAAACTACTCTTAAAAACTGATCACCTTCCTTAGCTTTCGAAAACAATTAACACGCGAATAATCACCGGTTAATTTCAGAAAGCGTGAGTCATTGGCAATTACACGTAATATATTTCGTGACGTGGCAAAGTGTACGGTTTCTTCTTTGCTTAATTACCATCCACCGTAGCTTCCAGTGCCTGAAAGGCAAACGATTGCCTTCCGAGCGAACGTTATTTTATATTCCGCGTCCCATACAGGTCGCCGCGGATCGAAATAATTTCAACCGCTAAAGTAGCCTTACATCTTTTCGCAATTTAAGGTACGTTGAACGTTACGCGGAAACCAAGGAAGACTCCATGTACATAGAAAGGCTTCTCCGAGAGGAAACCTTGCCGGGGCTCTGCCGAGGATCCTTAATAAAAATGTACGGTCACGGAGTAGCCTTAGGTGGTAAAGATTGATGAGAACATGGTACAATACAGCCAACAGTCAGCCGAAACCCGGAAAACTTGGCCGCGCGTTAGAAACATTAGAAAACTGTTGGATTACAAACCTTGGATCAGGATAGACAACAAATATCTACCATTTATATTAAAAAAAATTAATTGGTTTAGGGGGTGTAAAACTTAAAACTTAAGAATCTTTTTAAAAACGCTTCGATCGAGAACAGAATAATTTCTAATAAAACCGTATAAAAATAACGAACACACTATCCACGCGTTAATGGTTCAAACTGGTATTGTTCCATGCACGTAGTTTAGAAGCGTTATTAATTAATTCGAGCTACTCGGTTCTTCCGAGTCTCGCACTTACCCAGTCGATCAACAGCACTACCTCGAACCACCTACTGTTCCGTGCTACGATCATTCTCGTGATATTGCCGCGCAGCTTCCTCCGACACTTTCGTCTATCTCGAAGGATTCCTTTAGGGCGTTGCCGTAATTACACAGCCTTCTATTCAACGTAGCCTCGAGCGTCTCCCAAGATGGCAATTCGTCTCCATTCTTCGAGCCGGAGTCGTCGAAGATTCGTCGCGAGTCCAGCGTGCTCCAGATCGGCGACTCCTCGCGGCTGATCATCTCGTCGAATTTATTTTCCGCGATATTACGATCCGCGGCGGGGTGACCGGCCCGCGCCGGCGAGCTTCCTGAAAATTGAAAAATCGATTGCAGTATTGTTTGCACACCGTTTACTAGGCGCGCTCGTTCGTGAAAAAAAATTAGTCGCCGTGCTCTCCGAATAAATTGTCGCTGCGCCCGTATTAAACTGAACGGTAGCTTCGAATCTAGGCGAATGCAAATACAATCCCAAACGCCGGATTCAGAGTCGCGGCGAGTAAAAATTTCTTGGATTTCGGTTGACGCTATTTTTCAAAAGTTTCACGATATTTTCGTTCGTTCTTTGTTATCCTGTACTAATATTATTTGTTCCATTAGTAATTTGTAGAAAAATTCTGGCTATTAATGAACAGCTATATGCTTTCTTGGCTATCCTATTCTATTTTATTCTGAATACCAACGCACAACATTTGGATCTCAGAATTGTGTAAATAGAATGATTACTCGTGCAAACTCTGTACACACACAAATAGATATAATTAAACAATCATCAGAAAGTCTAAAATTATCGTTGCAGCGTATTGTAAATTAATTATTATAATATCTACTATGTACAATCCACATTTGTTGTTCTTTGCATGTTACATCTTTTGTACTAAAGGGTTTTCTTCTCGTTAATAAATGAATAATAATAATAATAAAAAGAAACGACACCGTAAGTAACTAAGAATAGAGAAATTTGAGCGATTCGAATAAGCAAACTAAACCTTTGATGGCGTCCCATATCGGCGCGCGATATTTCCTGAGCGTTATTGTCCCCGCGATAGAATCGATCGAGGAGCTCCAGGAAGACACGGAGTACGTGTCCCAAACGGAAGGACGGTGTCTCGTCAGCGCATTGCGTCTCAAAGTGTCGTGCATTTCCTGCATCTCTTTCTCGAGCTGTTTCTGATGCTCCGCTACGATTCGCCGTTCGCTACCGCCGGGCGATAATCGCAGCGATGAATCCAGGAGATCCGAATCCGGTCTAAGGCGGAGAAAGACGGATCTATTATGCATCCGGAGGCAACCGAGTGGAACCGTGGCCATTAACGACTCTTTAAAGGCGACGATTTTCTTCAACGCGAAACCGTAGTACCTCGGTCTATAGATTTCTCTGGGCAAATTCGTCGCGTCCAGGCTGCTGGTCTTCCTACACCGGCGAGACGATTCCCTGGCGACTCGCTGCACCATATCCAACATGGCCGCCTGCTCCTCCCGCGGCAAAACGCTCGTCAGCTCTTGCAAAATCTGCGGACAACAATTATTCTCGATTCGATAGTTTGATATCACCGGGTAATCCTAACTTACGCTATAAGCGATATCCGTTTTCGATAGCTACAGATACTTGAACGTATCGTCCTCGTCAAACGTAATCGTGCTGATTATTTAAAGGATATTGTATTTTATCTACAGTATTATACAGTATTACTTTTGCTTGTAGTAAAAACTGTAACACCCTGTATTTATGTATAAGAATTGGCTGATAAGTATAATGTCATAGAATGTAGATACAAACATGAAAATAAACACCAGATTATCTTCTGTAGTTTTCATTTCATTTCAAGTAAAAGTTCCGATCTTGTTGAAAACCCCTATACGTAAGGCTAATATTCGAGTATTTATAAAATGTTAAATTACAAAATTTCAGATGATGGAAGAAACAAGTAGCGAGTTATCATCGAGTTGAAACTGTTACGAAAATTGCGTTAATTCCTAATCTCGCGATACGAATAGAAAGATTTCACCAAGCTTGGACGAAAAAGTGACAGAACCGTCCCCCGCTCCATTTAGTTCGCGATATTACAACTGCTTTACAAGAATCGCCAATGAAAGTAGTCGCGTCGTTACGCGAGCAGTTTCGAACGCTTGTCGAGCCGTGGACGATGGAACGAATACGTTCCCATAAATTTCCCTCGAAACTCGTTCTTTATTCAAGGACCAAACGGGAGACGGGGCAGTATGTATGTATCGTTGTGCAGGTTCGACGGTAGCCGGGATTAAACTTAGTTTCGAAGCGCAAAACGCATTTTCCATAAGCATAAGGAGGCCTGGCCTCCTGGCCTCCCGATTCTCGGGCTGTCGCTCTTTAAGTAGAAAGTTAGTTGGCACACGGAGGACGGAGACGAGGAGCAGGAGCCAAGAGCTCCTCGGCGAGTATAGCTCGCGAGGGCGCTTCGGGAAAGTAAATACGTGTCCACTTTTTCCCTTTTTATTCGCCGACGGTGGCGCTGGAAATACATACATCCAGAGTACCGGGAACACGGCCGAGTTTTCTTTTTATTCCGCGTTCGAGAGACAGTTTCGTAGCTCGACTATCGACCGAGATTCCCTCGAGGGGGGGAGGGGACTGGTGCAAAGGAGGCTGAGGGGGGTTTCCGGACGGCGAAATCGTCGGGAAATACGAAAAAGAATCGCTGATGCCTTGGGGGGGTGTAATTTAATCGAGGGAACCTCGCAAACACCTTCACGATTCGCGAGCGGAATTAAGCACTCCGATCTTCGTTTCTGATTGATTGGCAGAACGAACATTTTTCTCGACAGCTGGACGAACATGTAAAACTAATTAAAATAGGCATTTGTTCGTTAATTCGTTGTACCTTCGAGATGACAAAGTTGTCGAGAGAAATGAGAATTATTCGTCGCGATAATTGAGCGAGACGCGACGAAGAGCCATCGATCCCGGGCTTTGATCGTTATATCGTACGATGAAAACCCTTCGTCGCGGAGTCCTGTTGCTTCGTAAACTCCGGAAAGGTTCGAGGACGTGTCGGACCCGGTTATCTCGCGGGAGATTCGAGCAGAGAAAGAAACGAGCGTCGCGTCGCGTCGTTTAATTTGTTCGGAGAGAATGGCTCGAGACGCCAATGGCTCGATCGATGGGACCGTTAATCGGGTAAGTAGCAACCACCTCGGAACCCTTGTATGAGAATTCCGTTCTAACTGCACCGTTCTGCGCGGAACGAGGGAATCAGGCAGAGTTTTATTGATCCCGCACGGAAGTCTCGTCGGATGGCGTAGATCTGGCCACTTTTCAGGCACAAGCGTCCGACAAATTGTTCCAACGTCCCACCTTGAAACCTACTTTGTACCCAACACTCGGCGTTTATGTCTTCTTATATTTCTCCGGCAAGTAAACGATAAAATTTTTATAAAAATGAAACATTGTATAATTTGTCGAGGAGGAGAGCATCTCTGGGTATGAAACTGTCAATTCGATCAAAGTTAATTAAGAGAGGTCCGAGTCGAAGGGTATGCTCAAGAATTTTATCATCGACAGTTTAAGGATATCGACGCAAGGGCTACGTATTGGCTAAAGAGAACTTGCTGACGCCCATTACGTCTGGTTTAACTCGATACTTGGGCTCCCCAAATGCTGATACGAAGTCTCGGTAACCTTTAAAGAAGTCCCTTTTGATCGCAGGGCGGAATTACTGCGGAGGCGACTCGTTGGAAGAAGGTAAGTCCAGATTCCAGTAGACGGGGGCGATATTCCTAACGGGCCGTAAAAAAGTTTCGGTCCTCCAGAGTGCAGGATCGTGTCCCGTCGTTTGCATGACTTCCGTTCGTCCGTTTCTCGCGGCACGGTGGCTTCCGTCTAATTATCCGCAGGGTTAATCGACTACTACCGAAAGCCCTGTGGGATCTCCAAGAAAATTAGACTGTCGAAACCGTATTAAATTGCCAGAGCTTGATGGATTGATATATCGCAAAGAAGCTTCCCCGAAATTACGATCCGCCATTATATCTATAGGTTCGCGTAGCCTCGTAATCATGAACTTAAAACTCGCCCCTTATCCAAACGTTAATCTTCCTCTCGGTTCTCTATTTTCACGAGGATGCAACGCAATATTTTTCACCGAATGTTTTCATTGCTACCTTCCTGTTCGCTGTATCGGTAAAACACGGAGCTTCCGAAAGTAGCTCTTGGGAACGATTCCTTTATCCTTAGAAGAACCAATCTGTCTAACCTTCGATAAACTCTCCATGGAATCTAGTTGGAAATATTATACAGTGGGTATCATAAATATACCAACTCCTTAAAATGTATGGAATTTGATCTTTTTGAAATAAATTAAGCTATAACAATACTTTCTATTCTTAGATACAAATAAATATTCAAAAGCAGTTTCGTTAGATTATTGTAATTAATAATACTAAACTATTACAATACTTTCGTTTTATTCACTGGAATAATATTATACTGACGCACCACCAAGGCAAAATCGATCTTTCTTTCTCATTCTTTCACGATTCTTTTACTGCAACTTTTTACACCGATTTCGCATTCCTTATTTTTAATTAATAAAAATAGTATTTTCTAAAAGTTAAAAAGAAATTTAACCAACCGAGTAAAAAAACAAAAGATAACGTGGGAGATTTACCCCTGTTACGTCGGCCAGTAATGCGTTAACGCCTACGCAAGTAGAAATGCCAAGTAATAGTCAGACGCGCTAGTCAAGTAAGTAGTATACACATATACGCTTTCCCACGTTCAATGACCGTGTTATAAATGAATAAACACGCAAAGATTCAAAAGCTATTATCAACGATATCTGAGCGAAAGATTCATAAAAAAAAAACGTATTATTCTCTATAGGAAACCAGAAGAATCTCTCACATACGCAAGGGTGACCACGTGAAATGTCTATGCTTCTAAAAGTTTTTACTATCGCGAGACGTCTAGCTTTGGCTTTTCCCCCCTTGCAAGAAGAAGAAAAGAATAATGTTAATCGCGGTCAAACATTTCATTCACGGTACCGGTTTGATAGAAACAACAATTCAATATGCTCGTCGCATTAACGCTCATTTACGGCCCGATTAAAAGTAAATTTATATTCCCTCGGAGATTTATGCGAAGGGGGAACAGCAACGATGCAGTGTCGGAGCCGGTTTCTTCACGGCGACGTGTGAGCGACGTTTAATTCGCGTTGTCAAGGAAGAAGCCTCCTGGAGGGAGATAAACGTTCCTTCGTTACACATATATCATGCATGCATGTGCATGAGATGCAGATACCAACGCCGCGCAAATACTCCTCGTCGCTTCGTTCAATTTTTCCCGTTGTTTCTACGGTCGCAACCGAGATTCGACTTTGATTCGCTGCCTAGCATCATCTTTCGTTCTTGGTTTTCCCACGCGAATCAGTTTTCAATTCAAATCGAGACTGTTCGTAGATACTTTGAGGCTGTATAGATGTCGATCTCGAAAGACATTAACAACGATGCATTTTTATTAAAACTTTCCCACACAACGGGTGATGTGTTTAGACCAAAAATATGCTTTTAAATTAACTACTGTCATGTGTTTAACTGTTAGAAAAACACTAATAAATATATGTTACAATGCGTAGAATAAATGTAAAAATGGACCACTGTCATAAATAATACCGTAATCGGAGAAATTACTAGGAAAACACACACTTGACATAAAACGAGAATACTTTTTCCTGCTAGCAACATAAATTTCAATAAAACGAGAATTCACGTTTTCGGTAATAAAATTTTTTCTCGAAAGTGCGTAGGATTTCGGAGGTATGTCTATTCATAAAAAATGATTGTAAATGACCCCCGCAACCGAAAATAATTTTTATAGAACGATTTGAAAATTTTTTTTTTGACGAAACTTTCAGCACCTATTCGAATTTTTTTCTCGAAAGTGGATAGGATTTCGGGGGTATGTCTATTCATCTAAAATTATTGTAATTAATCCCCGCAACTGAAAATAATTTTTTCAGAACGATTTGAAATTTTTTAATTTCGCCGAAAAATTTGTCCCCTTACTGAATTTTTTTCTCAAAAGTGCGTAGGATTTCGGGGGTATGTTTATTTACCAAAAATGATTGTAATTGACCTCCACAGCTAGAAATAATTGTTTGAGAATGATTTGAAAAAATTTTTTTTTACCAAAAAATTTAGGCACCTACCCCCTGTCGATTTTTCTTAAAAATTTGTTTTTCATTTTTAATAAATTTACAGAAAAGTTGTCAAAAACTTTTTCGTAGCTACATATGAGCTCCACTTCAGAACAAAATTTTAATGAGATACATTCACTATTATAGGAGTTATGATCCTTTGAAAATTGGACCATTTTTAAGGTGTTTTTCTCAGTTTACGGGGTCAAGGAACAAGTTTTCTAATATTGTTAGAATTTCAACATATTCTTTGCCAAAATACGCATTTTTTGTCGTTTGAAACATTAAAATCCTCCAATCCGTTCAGAAGTTATGACGTTTTAAAGATTCGCTTGAAATTTTCGGGCTACCCCCTGTCGATTTTTCTTTAAAATTTGTTTTTCATTTTTAATAAATCAATCATGGGTAATGTAGTTATACAACAGTCAAATATTTAGGATGCATGTGGGTGTGGCTTCTCTCTTTGTGTGACATATAATCCGTAACATTTACCCTAAAATAATCGGTGTAAATATGCCGGTTATTCGGACATTTCAGATAACCGAGTGAAGAATAATCGGAATTATACTGTATACCTTAAAAAGCCTATGTTTATATCATTAATAGCTTTCTAGAAAGAAATTATACAAAAGTCACAAGTTTATACTGCCATTTCATGCGAGGCCTCCCCTAACGGCCAGTTCGAAGGCATTCGATCGAGGCAAAATTGGTAAAGATCGATTTTCAACCGGGCAGTCGTAACAGGGTTATCGTCGACGCTATCGAATCGACTGCGAGCCGATTATATAAGCGCAGGATAATTCGAAGGAAGAAGCGGATCGCCGGAAACAACGGTGCTCGAGCACCGAAGTCTACACAAGTTTCCTTCCTTCGAGTCTGTCGCATCGATATTATTGTCGTAGAATCTAGCGTCGTTTTCGACGACGTCCCCGCCGCGGCGCTCGTTTCCTACGCGGACGCTCTCCTGCGAAATTACTGTCCTGGAATTGCCTTCTCCGCTCGCGTCGGAAATCTGTGCTCGTCTAATCTAATGAAATTGCACGAACTGTGTGCGTGTAATTAAGCTGGCTCGCGTCTGCTGCACGGAACGAAAACCACGGCCGAAACTCCGACGGACAAACGGCGGAACGCGTACGACCGAGGATGAGAGTTTCACCGCAGAAATTACTTTCACAAATAATCGATCATCGAAGCTGGACCGCGTGCAACCACATACACCGAACAAGACGTTCGAAATTGTAACACGCGACTCGTTTAATCACATACGTCACCGGACACTTAACTAACGTGAAATGAAAACGAGATTTACCATTGGAAAATAAAATAATATTTGTAAATAATCGAACCAAACTATTTATTAGATTACAAAGGAAATGAAATCAGCCTCGTTTGAAAATGGTCGTCAAAGTCAATACTGTTAATCTTTGGTGTTTTTTACTATTTTTTCATTAATTTCATGTAATATTTTTCATCAGTAAGTGTAGTATTAAGGACTAATTTAGCTTACTTTGCAAGATATCATATTACGAGAGGCCATATTAGAAACTTCTTAGGTACTTTTGCCCTGCTCTGTATGTTACCATTGCGCGTGAGTTCGCAAGTTGCCTCTGGCATAGTGTTTCACGGCTGGAAAAATGGCTACAAACTGTGGAAGCGGAATCGAGCAGGGCACGAAACATTGGATGGATGGCGAACCAAAGTAAAACTTATTTTAACAAAGTAAGAATTACGTGTAAAAATAAAGGAACTCACCCGGAATTTGCCGAGCGAGATCATGGCCGAGATCAAATCTCCCGGTCCGCGTTGTCGAGCCTGCAACCTGCTCATCGACGCGACGTATGTCAAAGGGCTGACATCCCTCAGCTCTATGTGTCCTGCAATGCCTAGCGAAAATATTGATTTTGCGCCACATCCCGCGTACACTTCACTTACCTAAACGTTCTACATACTAGATCTAGTTTTACACAACCCCCGTGAAATACGAAAAATCTGTTGCTTCGTTCTAAAATCAATTTCGATAGTTCCTCTTATTTCAAACATATTTTATACGGTCCAAGAATTATCTTAATCGTCGAACAATCCCGACATTTCACATCACATTGAACAAATTTTTGATAATCTATTAAGACAGTCAAGACTTTCAGGACTACTGAAACATTTAACTCTTGTAAGAGACTTGTAAATATCCAAGACTTTCGAGACTTTTAAAATATTCATCGCTCTCAAAACTTTCAGGACTATTGAAATATTCAACGGTTCCAAAACTTCCAAGATTTTCAGGATTTTCAATCTTGTTTCAGTCGCAAGACAGTCTCAACGTGTTCTGAACTTGCTCGAAAACTCGGAACCAGGAGTACTGACGCCGGCAGACGCGACCAAATTAATGCGATTACGTAAGAAAAATCATAGTCCTTCGGTTCATAAATATAGATTATAGTAATGTAATTAATATTTGGTACCGTTATCCTCAGCCCTAATCGGAATGAAAACTAGAAAATAAGAGAATATAAGGCACTATAAGACTATAAGAGAATTACCATGAAACAAAACCAATCAAATTTTTTCGTAGATTAAATAAAGAGTCAACGTTGCATCTCCCGCCATCTTACAAACAGTTATAAACGTAAACGTTGGAATACTTTCACGTACGAGTGCATACCACATCTGGCTTTAAAATGTAAATAAATATCTCGGTACACGGAGATTGATCTTCTCTGCGACTTTACGAGCACCGAGATCGCGTGCACAGTCGACAAGCAATTAACCTCTTTCACGCGTGAAGTAGAATATAAAAATCTCACTGGAGGTCTGGAGGGACTGAAGGGTGGATTTTTACACCTCGGTTTTTTTTTCTTGTTCGATCATCGAAAGCTTAGATTACGATCGGTGGTGTTGGTAGCGGGGCCGATGTTTCTCTCTCTCTAGATTGCCGTGAAAACGGGAAACGACGAATCTAATTAATTCTCTAAACTCGAACCCGAACGACCGATCCCGTTGCCCGAAGCACGCTTATTACGTCGCGACAAGTTTCTCTCGAGTACAACGGAACCGAGGGCCACCGGAAGCTCCGCGATCCTTGCTTAAGTTTCTATCTTAATACCTGATTTAGTGGAGCTATTGCTGTAATTACTCGCGTGCCGCTTCGTCTCGCCTCTGCAAACTATCGAACGAGCTACCATTCTAAGATTCTTATTCTCTTAAACTCGATCCAATGATAGAGGCTAAGAATCATAATTTTTTCAAAAGAAAAATGTAGATAGATCATCGTATTATATATAAAAAAAATTTTTCCCCTAGTTACATGCTCGCCAGTGATCGATAATCTATTTCTCCAGACTATCCGTAATCCTAGTACCCCTAAACAGGTAAAAACGAATCGCATAGGAGCGAGAAATGCTGTGTTTCAGGGTTTCATCGCTCACCGTTCTTTCCTCCAGACGTTCCGTGGGACTCCGTCAGATACTCGATTATCTCGCTGGCCCTCGAATTCATTCTTCTTCTCCTGGCAATCGTGCTGACTCTCCTCGCCTTGCTCCACTCGGAGAAAGCACCGAGTCCCTTGTTTTCGGCGAACGTCAAATTATACCTCAACACTTTGTCCCGGGAGAGGAGGACCAATTTCAAAGAATTTCCCGAACGTTCGATCATCTTAGTCATACTTTCCGCCCATCGCCAGCCCTTGGACAAATAGTCGACGATCCCGACGGCCGGCGATACTTGCTCGGTTATCACGGATTTACAAAACGCGGATAACGACTGCATTTCGGAAGTGTAAATCTCTTGTCGACACTTCCAAGGGTTCGCAAACCAACCGTTCTCGCGAAGGCTGTTAAAGAGGTTGTTCAGGTACGGGCGCAGAACTGGCTCTAAATATTTTCTGTCGTAGTCCATTGCTGGAACAGTTTACGCGAAAGTGAAATTAAACGATTGAAGTACTCATTGTTGTAAATTGATCAAAATTCATTTTTTTTTAGTTCCTCTGTGGAAAATCCTTGTTATCTATATATGAGTTATATTAATCTACTTTAATCTACAGCACTTGAATCGAATAAATCATTCCTTATATTTTTCACACCAGAGGCAAATAATCTATCTACGTACCAAAGTGTAACCATTGTAGTAGCATTTTCGCCATTATGAGGTAACCTTCTAGATCCGTATTGGCGGTTTCTCTGTCCGTTCTGACTGCGTCGATCAACAGCCCGACCGAGTAATCAAACTGACTGGTCGTGTTGTAATTCTTCCTCTTTCTGAATACCTTACGGTGATCGCGAACAAACGTCCTATGGTTCCTCATCGCGCGGATCTGATCCCTGGCTTGAGTCGTAACTAATTTCAGCAGGAACACAAGGTTCTCCAGCTGTTTCGTTGTGTGACGCGATATATCCGGGAAATTCAGGTACGTACAGTTATCCGAGTGCCACCAGTCCTGCGAACGCAACAAAACTAATACGGAGAGGGACTCGTCCCGATGATCGATCTATTATGCTGCTGTTATACCTGTAAAGAGGCGTCTTTTGCTCGTAACACTTGCTCCAAGATCAGGTTTAAATACTCCAGTTGCCTCCAGCTGTATCCGTAATTCGCGTCAGTCGTTCCCCTAGGCAAAGAAGCCAAGACGTCGCGCCACCGGACAATGAGCTCGCTCTCCATAACTTCTAGAGGTCTGGGTACTCCTTCCGTCATTGAAACGGAACGATGATGAAGGGTTTCTAGATAAGATTCCAACAGCCTCGAGTCCGAGACGTAAGAGCCCTCGTGATGCACTATTCCACCTTGAAATGCAACAACGTAATCGATCAAATTTTTCATCGGTAAAATAATAAATCATCCGTGAATAATAACTGTACATTGTCCGTAGGTGGAGTAACTTTTTGACAAACTAATGGTTAACAAATGGCGGGGGATGTTCAATATGGCCGACAGCAATTTCTCAAGTTCGCGCGATGCGATGAAATTGCGAACGCTGGTCGTGTCGCGGATTGAACGGACGATTGTCGAGGGAATCCCAACGTTCTGAAAAACGTTGATGAGTTCGAAGTGTATCGTCGAATGGCTTATGGATGCATACAAATTGCCGGTACGCGTTCGTCGGCCGCGATAATGGTACGCGTCGTTATCGTTACCAATTAAGATTTCCATGGAAACCGGAGGATCGTGCCGCGAGCGCGTCACCGCAATATTGCTTGTCACACGAACAAAATAACGGGGAAAAATAAAGACGGGGCGCGAAGAAGAGCCAGGCCCCGAGGCTCTGGCGGTCCTTTTATTTCCATCGACCGAATTACTTTACCTCTCGCGCATTGTAGCATCACGTTGCACCGCGGCTGAAAGTAACACCTTAGGTTCTGGCATCTCAGAGCACCGACCAACTCGTCCAGCGCTGAAAGAACATGACGCGAGAGAGTATCGGGCGACCAACTCGTCAGAGGATCTACTCCTGCTCTTTCCAGAGACCACCGGTGCACCGTCCTCACGATATGCCTGGAAATCACTCGTGGCTGATCTTGCGAGTGGGAGCCGCCTTTCCGTCCTGCCTGAGAAAACGTTTCGATCGTATTCTTCACCCTTTCAACCTCAACGTAGATACTACTTTACTACAGAAAAACTGATGAACATACTTTCTTTGCGTCGTATAAATTCTTCGTTCTCTATTTAACTCGTATTGGAGTAATATATAACGACTTATAAATAAATAATCAACTAAAACAAAACGTTTCGATCGTATTCTTCACCCTTCAACTTCAACATAGGTTATACTTTATTATACTTTGTTATAGACTTATAAATAAATAATCAACTAAAACACTTTGCAGATAGGTACCCATTCGTTACTAAATGAAAGGAAAGTTAAAGTTTCTCTTTTATGTGTAAATATCGATGGAATTATGGAAGTAAATAAGAGTCGAATTATGTTGAGCAGGCGATGAATATCTCGAGTGGATAATCTCTCGGATGTTTCACGATAACAACATCTACTTAGATTTCAGGCAAAGATTGCAGAATAGATTTATTTATATACTCGACCGACGCGTAGAAAATCCTTGCTCGTTTACGATCCGTGGAGCAGGACGCAGCTAAACAGGAAGCAGAGGAAGGGGTGAAGCGAGATGGAAATTTTTAAAATCGATTCAACTTTTCTCATTACGTATTCGCCGGGGCTGCATGTTCGGTTACCGTGGCTGGGACGGATAAATTATTGCCGAGTCGCATCCAACAGCGTTTTTATTAAACATCCAGGACGCAACGGCGCGTCAGGGAGAATAGCGTTTTCAGCCGCGACGCCGTGCCGGTATAGGGTGTATCTGAAATACGGGAGAAAGGGCCAAGAAAAAAGGAGGAAGTTCGGTCCGTGTGTTTCGAGAAACACAGCCCACAGAATCGAGAATGCGCGAACGCGAGCAATGGCCGCGTCGAACGAAATGCAACGACCGGATACGCGGGGGTTAAATTATTATCGAGCCACCCCGTCGCGTCGCAAAGGTGTCAAACTCGTCTAATATACACCGTAGATGAAAATGTCAAAGGAAACAGCCTGAATACCTGTAAAAAAAATCTGATTTTGACGTTACCTTTTTTCCTACCAGACAATAACTTTTTGAATGAATGTCTACAAAAAAAATTATGAGTTAGAAGTTGTTTTCATCCCTGTTACTCGCACAATTACGTTCTTGAAGAGCACAGTTATCGATCACCGTGTGCAAGCGAAAGACAGCATTATTCAGGGTGTAGAGGATATTAATAGTCCGTGAAAAGGAGAAAATGTCACCTTCGATTTGACCGGTGGATTCAAGGGGCGTCCCTCGCGCAGCTGGTGCAAGATTTCTATGAGCAGAGATTCCGTCAGGGCGGGTACACTGTCGGTGGCATAGTGTTGACTCATAATTTTCTCCGCTGCTGGAACACGTACTCCCCAGAGAGTTACTCGATCCTCGCAGCGTGCACCAGTGTATGGTCCAACAGCCACGGCATACATACCCTGAAATAGTCACAGGTAAAACGAGGTTGTGAAACAAAACAAGTCTGTTCATTTAAGCAACGACCTATAGGAATTTCCTAGCTAAAGTTGAATCCTGGACTCGGTCAAGAATCTCACCGAACACGTGTCAAAATGATTTTAATAATCATACACTGCTGATCAGACGTAAGTAAATACTAGAGCACTCGTGGGCTCATTTTAAAGGTCGAACCATTTACTGAAGCGAAAATGGTTTTAATTTAAGAAATAGTCCAACTAAAACTTGCATGAGTTTAGAGATTAAAACCTTCCGACGAGAAACGTGGATTTTTTTTTAACGCTCCTAATGAAACATCGATCGCGTAAAATGGTGGATAGGGCGTGCTATTTGGTCAATACGTTTAAAAAGTCGGTGGCTCTGCGACACGTTTGCGGAATGAAAAGAGGCTTGGTTCGCGCAATCGTGTACCGGCACTCGCATTCATTAATTAAACTCGCCGGCGATTCGGTCGAATCGCTGATAACTGCGACCAACCAAGGGTTTACCTTGCGGGTCTCGCGCGTATCGATATTTCAAACAGTTTGCGTTACCGCGAGGAACAAGCTTACACTGTTTTTGCTTGATTATCGCTATGCTTGTACATCGATAGATCGTTAAAGCACAAATAACAAAAGAGTACCCCCACGGCCGTGATTATATCGATACCGTTCCGAGCCGCGTATTTAATTTCTAAAGTCGCATTTCGCCCGACATTCCCACGAGACGTTCACGTCAATCTTTTGTGTTTCGTATCTGTACTCAGAGAACCAATTACGCTACCTACAATAGAACCTTTATTCGGTTATTGATCGCGGCGAGCAAACTCGATAACAGTATCGATTTATTTTTATACCATTTCGACTCCTCGCGCGATATTGATCTTTTTAGCAGATAATCGCTTACCTACAACGCGTACAAACGATGAAATAGAAATAATCAATGCTCTAATTGCACGACGCATGCGTAGACCGCGAGTCAATAAACTTCGCTTTTCGATAATTTTGTTCCCGCGAACTAGAGCGGAACAGAAATATCGAACGCTCGACAACGGGCCCCAAAAGTCGACAAACAAATTGCGCAGCTAGAAATCCATAGAATACCAGCACAATTCGTTTTTTCATTGTTCTTTATTTTGTCGAACTCGCGGGTCTCCTCGATAAACTAATTCGTTGAATGATAATTATTAAAAATCTTGAGAAATAGGTCGCCAAACTTTCGTGCCGCATTCTACTCGTTCTAAGAATGGTACCGTAATAGAGGTCTTTTATTACTTTTTATTTACTACGTGGGGAAAGTATTGGCAGTTGCCTTAGATGCGCGACATCATTTTAACGTCCAATCGAATGAAACGTACTCACACTTTGCGCCGCGGTATAATGAAGAATAGCGTCGCAGTGATGAAGGGGCACTCTTCTAGGATAGTCCGACAAACTGGGCCAGCACGACACACCGATGCCGATTAATAGCCTGACCTCTGCCTCGCGAGTCTTGCATCCATCCAATCCAATTCTGAGTAGTATTCCTCCAGCGTCTTCTATTAGAGCCACACGGTGATCCCTGGGTTCCGGTAATGGTCCGTTCGAAGCAGCTGCAAACAGTTTCGCGAAACTTCGCTGGTATCTATAGTCGAAACAAAATCAACTTGTTCATCGACTGTGAATCACCGCCAGGCTAACTCCCGTTAGCGATTCAAAACTTGTTTCGATGCCATCGATACATTGACGTTTGCTATTCATACGCGTACATCAAACTAGAAAATTATCTCTAAAGTGTGGAATACCAGGGATTTCGTGTACACAGCTAAAAAAATCAGTTGATCGTTGCATCTAGTTAGAAGCTATTTTACAAAAAATATTAACAATCTATTATTAACAGCAACTTCGATCTCTGGAAAACAAACTGCGCTCTCGTACCAAGTTGAGCAACCCCGATGTTGGAGAAAAACAACCTCTCGGCGACCAGTTGATTTTGTTCGGACTATAGTTCGCGTTTGTTAAAAATCGCGTCGTTAGCCGAGCCTGTTGTTCCGCGAGACGCGGCGCGGCTTGATTTACGAGGCGTTCCTTAATCCAGTTACACGGAAACCGGGCATATTTCGCGGCGCTCGTTATTCTAAATCCCCAGCAGTCGTTATTAAACAACTTTGCCCGAACGTCCTATTCTGATTTATACAACACCCGGTGTATATCGAATTACCGAGTCGCCTCGCGCATCGGTTATTTAATACAAAGCGCGAATAGCGATCTTAAACGAACAAGGGTTAAAAGCGATGGACGAGAAGAAGAAGGAAACTGGGGGAAGCCGAGTACCCGAAATCCTACAAGCTTTCTCATAACATAAACATGCTAGCTTTCTCGTTCGAATTTCCAAATACTATCATGTTCTATAATACATAACGAAGCTGCCAGTGTTTTCTTGGAATCGGGTTCTTTTCGTTAGCTACGCGCCGTAATATCTCAGGATAGAGAAACGCATCGTGGCTACCGCGTAATCCACCTACAGAAATTTATCGCGTACTTTTATCCTCCTTAATTAACGCCAGCATTTATGTTTCACGATAATTTAAGATCGTTACCTGGCCCGTAAAATATCCTACAGTGGATCGGTTGCTTCAGTATTTTGTCCAGCACCTCGGCGTCGACGACTTGGCCCGGCGAAACGGGAATCTCGTCGTCCATTGAACTCGTCGTGTCTGAAAACATTTGTTCGATATTAATGTCCAGCGTTTCGTATCCTCGAGCGATCCTAATGAATGAACAGACGCTTCCGACCGACATCGGAAGCATTTAATTATAGAACGGTTTCACTAGAAAGACAATACACGTTACCGATAAGCATTAGAACAGAGCATCAATATTTCAATTAATCTAACTTCGTGAAAATTCCTAATACCCTATCATTTGTGGTTGGTAGTCTACAGTCTATAAATATAAATTGAAATTCGTAGGTTGCGAATGGCGACTAAGAACATCCAGCAAAGGCCAACAGACCTGTCGGGCACGAGGTAGCTAGTTTAATGGCCGTGGCTAACAAATTTGCTAATTTCGCTTTCACTAGATCCCTCCTCAATCTTCCTGCAGCATCCGTGTACTCTCGCCAGTGGTCCGCCCCAGCGCCGAGTATCTTTAACCGAATAAAGCCTGGCAGAGCCGCATCCTCCTCCACGCTTACCCTCGAGACCTCTAGCTCGGAACTTGCGGCTGGCTCGGATAGAGCGTCTATTCGCAGTAGGTACTCGAACCTGAGACACTGACCAAACAAACAAAAAACGGAGTAGCTTACGCGAGGATCTTTTGCGCCCCGTTCACGCAGCATCTTTTCTAAACTTCACGAGGGTCGTTACGGTAACGGCACACGGGGTTCCCGGACCTCTCAGCCTGTTTACCTTTATCCGTCGAGGCTCGTTCAACGAAACGAGAAACACGGATGAAAATTTTCGATCGAGATCCCCAACAGCCAGCATCAAACGTTGAACCAATCCTTCTACGGTGGCTTCGATCGTGGAATCACCCCAAGAATCTGTAAAACATTCGTTCAACGTTGGCTCCGTAAAATAATCGTACAAGGCTTTCCATCGCTGGACATTTTAAGGGGGTATTACTGTGTACTATTTTTTGTCATCTTTTTTTAACGATAGGTAGGTTTATACTGCTTTGTACTGAGATTTTATAGATGTATTTATTCATCTTGTAAGTAAAAAAATATTAAAAATTGTGGGAGTTCAAATGCGTTTTTTTTCTTTTTAACTAACTCCCATGATATTTCAAGATCTGGCAGACCGATTGATTTTAAATTTGGAGGGAATATTCAGCAGACACGCCTTCATCGCTGGAACTAGAGATTTAAAAAAATCTACAGGCGGTACTTTAAATGTTAATTACCTCGATCAACAAATTGGTATTCTTAATTTTCTCAGTACAAAGGCTGAAAAATAGCAGTCTAGGCAGCAATACCCTTTTAATTGCAGAGTGCGTTAAAAATAGCGACCGACCAATCTCTCTATTCCCGGCGACGTCCGACGAAATACATCGATTAACAAAATTGATTTTGCTCGCGGCCAACAACCCACAAACTTTCCGCTCGGGCCAATACATATATCGAGATAATTCTCGGTTAAACATTCACCGTTTTGAGCCTCGTCGAGCAGTTTGCGGAAATATACGTTCAGGTTATGCAGCTGACCCTTGGTGAAAGCAAGCTTCGTGGCCATTAATCGAGTACCGCCCTTCGTATACGAAGGCCCGCTAGGTGCACAGCCCATCCTCCTCCGAAAGAAAAAGACGGAAACAAACAAGGATTGTTAATTGAATTCCGTGCGCATGGTCTGGCGCATACATATGCATGTATGCGCTGAGCTATCAACATTTCCCGGTTAAAGGGTTAGCGAGATGGATAAATTTCAAACGGTTCCTAATTCTGCCGGAAACGCGTCGGCACAATCTATGTATTGCCACGAATCGCTCAGAACAGTGGCAAGAAACGGGTTACCTTCCGGTTACCAAACGCTTTTTCATCGACAGTCAGTATCTACCAACGAATTACAACTTACAACCTCGATCCGTGATAAATGACACCGTTATGTAATTGAGCTACACAGGAAACTGAAAGTTTGTATATTTAAATTAAACACTTGAGATTACAATTTCTTTATATCACCGTTTTACTGGCACAATGGCGTTGTTGGGGGCTTTAGTTATTAATCAACCCTTGTAAATAACGCTAATCAATTGACTGCCTATCCTTATGCATAAAAATACGAAATAAATATTCGTATTTCCTGCATATATAAAAACGCTTTACGATCGATCTATTTTACTAAATCGTACCTTGACGAACTTTACTTAATTTTTTAATATCGTCACTTTTTTTGTGTAATCCTTTTCTGCTACTTAGACGTTCTGTGGTCACTGTTAGCGCGTCACTTATTTCTTCTTTCCATACTCTTCGTGTTTTAATAAATCGAATTAAATTCGAGTGAAACTTGACGCGTCGATCTGGCGTACATAGTTGTCGATTTAGCTCGCGACGAAATATACATATGTACAATTTGTTAATAAGTACAATAGAACTGCTTTTCGGTATTGATCCTAGCTCGGTATAATATGTGTTCTCGGTTTCGATATAATTTTCTAACTGTCCTTCTTGTACAAGTTGCCGTCGTAAATACTGTTTGGAGAAGCTAGCTACCAATCGGAAAAGTCTTTTTTCAAGATGGTGAGCACGTTCCAGGTAGAAATGCTTAGCCTAAAAGTAAGGTCAGGCCTCGCGGGACCCTTTATGACGGACCATTCTGACGCCTCGTTTAATCAAAGGTATCCTAAACCGACTCTGGTAATAGCTTTTTACTTCAATAGTAAAGCTAAGCAGATTTTAAATTACTGCCTCGGGTAAACTGAACAAATCTTTAAAATTAATATTTCGCGACAAAACTTAAAGAAGTTTAAACTCCAAGGCTGATCGATGCGCACAAAACTATCAAACGCAACGAATTTCGATCGCTAATAGAAAATAACTAGGCTCGATTTACTTTTGATACGTACATACGTAGCGAGCGACGATCGAGTCACAGGTATAGATCCACAACGACTGAACGAACGCTATATCGTGGAGCAAAACTGCCAGGTGACGTTTCTGTTCCATCCGGAAAGATATTGACGCTTCACGATCCTGACCATGTGAATGTACCGAACGCCAATTATTATTCAGCGGATCGGCTAACAATGCCATCGCGGCGACCACGGCCACCGGAATTACTTCCGATCCTGATTGTGCGCGCTCGACTTCCGCTCCCGTGAACGCGTACCCGTCCGTCTACCTATGTGCATATATGTTTACGTCACAATTACGACGTTCCAGACCGTTTCGCCTGCGCGCATACAAGACCCTTTTAACCCTTTGCGGTTCGAGACATTTTTAATATTTCGCTCCAGCAGACCCGTACGCGATTCATTTTCACTCATGTCCACGACTTACGGCTGACATATACATATTTATGTATTTACGAATATACGAACAATTACATTTTTGCCCTATTATGTTTCACTCCGCGAAACGAGAAACAACAAATTTTTACAGGACATAGGGTAAAAGTTGTTAACCAGTAAATGAAACCTATCTGAATTTTTACCATTGTTACATATCATTCGTGTATGGGACCGAAACGTTTGGTAGCTTGGGCGTTGGCCCGATGATCTAGCGCGCAACCCCCCTGGACGGGGTTGACTCATGTCGTATATGAGCAACCGGCACAATTTTCATTTTTAACTGAGCACAAGCTCAGTTGCTTACAGAGCAATTTCGAGTATAAGGACCGCGTTTTCTCACTCGAGGAACTCAGCTTTTCTGAAACTCTCGATGCAACGTTACTTTGACACTCGAGGCAAGATCGGGCTACATCCCCATCAAACGACGTATCTACCTTAGCGGCTTTATTAGTGAGTGCCCATTAGACTAATCGAGAAGTACGCCGTCAAGACAACCTAGCAATAGTGCTAGTTCTGTTAATTGACTATTCTACTTGAGCATCGACTAGAATATATTCAAATAGTTATCCTCACTTAATACAACCCTGAACCATATTAACAGTAAGACTAGGGGTATCTCACGAACCCGGTACACCTTTACCGCTCGAGGTGACAGAGCAAGATCCTAAAAACATCCTAAAAACCTACGTTTTTGAAACCATACATTTTCCTTATAAATCTAACCCCGTGGCTCTCAGGGAATCGAACCCCTAATTCATCCACGTAACCTCCTCCTACGGCTCCCAGGGTATAGAGCCCCTGGTTCGTCCGGAACTCCTTTCTCTTTCCTAACCATACCTAAAACCACCGGTCCATTAAATTTGTGCATCCATCAAAATTGTGCAATTTGTCCATCTTATGAACACCTATTGCATCTTCTATCGATGTAACGAGGAGAGGTTCCGAGGTGCGCTGTTGACTAATCAACGTTTGCATAGTCGTAGATGTTAAGAAACTAAAACTTAAAATATTACACTTTGAGTTGTTATTGATGTTTATTTGATAAAGTATAATTACATGTTTAAAAAATCAATGTACTACAGCCTGATCAGTAAGACGTTCGCCTTGTGGTAATATGATGACGCGGTGTAGGTTTTTGAGTCTTACTGAATCAATCTGTACAGGATTTTTTTTTCATTTTTACAATTTTTTTTCAATCACACGCTTGAATACGATATTCTATACTTTTCACCGATATTCAGATGTATGTCTTTAAGAATTGAATTTAATTGCTATTTTAAATTTATGAAGTGCACGAACTTGCGTGGTACTTTTTCATAAAAAATAATCGAAATATTTAAATTTTAGTAATCGCGTGTATCTAACGAAAGCTCTATTTTTGCACATACAAGACTTTGCGTATTCAATTCCATTGGGAAGGCCGCCTCATTCACATTGATCAAATGTGAACGATTTCCCGATAACCCAAGCATATCTATAATAAGGATAAATATTTTAAAATTCATTGTAAAAACAAGTATAACTACAAAATGAATGTAGTCATATTTACCTTATTGTGTCGTAAATTGGTTCTTGTAATTGATTGTGGCCGAGCATTTAACTTTTACGACTAATACGTTGCAAGAAATATATTTTTTAAATATCATTTTTCGAAATTTGACCTCTGAGGACACAGAGGCCTAGCCATTTTCAAGCAATTTATTAGTTTATCAATCTATCGTTCACGTTAAGTTACTCAAAGCAAGAGAAGATTGATATAATTTTACTTTAAGATAAGTGATCAATAATTAAGAAAAACAGTTTTTAATTTTCAGAGTCAAAAGTCATATCAAGGTCATATCATATACATATCTGAACATATTTCAATTTCAGTTACACAATACAGTAAAAACAAATATGTACTTACACGCATAAAACATCCATAAGTGACCTTAGAAAAAATATTTGCAATATATTGATCTTTCAATAACACTTAAATTACACATAAAATAGATTCTGTGTTGCCACAATTGGAGAAGATGTTTAAACAAGATGCTATTTAACTAGTCTTATTAGCCTGTGCTGGTACAAAATAGCACCGTATTTGGACCAAATTACAAACCCACATAATTCTATCACTTAATTGCTCACAAAAATTCTCACAGTTTGCAACTATTGATTGTAACTTCACTGTACAACACATGCAAAATTCAACTAATCTTAATTATCATGTTAAATTACTTACAGCTTCTCACCATCCAGAGCATATTTGTACCCAGAGTTGGTTCCATTTCCATGGGGGCTTCCATAGCCATAAATCTAGCAAAATTGGACGAAAGAAATTCATATTTTTTCTCATCAGCTCAGACTTCCTTGGTACTCTACAATCAATCAATGAGAAAATGAACACACTAATAATTATAATATTCGAAAAATTGTGTTTCCACAATCAAAACCTTACCAGGTACAGAACCCCTTGAGTTTCTAGGTACAGGAGCAATCTTATAACCTTGGTGCCTGCTTATCCAGAGTAGAATAGAAAACAACTTCGTTTCATGTGAAATTTTCATTGCAAAACATTTGGTGCCAATTTTTCCAAATTAATTTCTTTGCTATGGCAACATTTCTTTTTTCTAATTGAGATGCGAAAATTCTACAGTGCCTACGTTTCATATTGGGCGCCATCGTACCCACTACTATCTTTTGAGGTTATGTCAATTGCAAAGTGTAGTAATCTTAGATCATATACAGGGATGTTCGCCAACCCTGGGAAAATTTTTAATGGGAGATTCTAGAGGCCGCAATAAGAATACAATTGTTCACTGGATTCACAGAAAGACACAAATATTACGCACTTAGCACGCATTGAATAGGTACGGAGTCCCAACTACGGACAAGTTATAGGTTAAAGCAGATAATTTAAGTGGACAATGCTAGCAAATATATATATTTAGAGAAAAACTATCGAATTAATCGAAAAACGGTTGCTTGTCAGAGTGACACAGTAAACCCGTAAAGATAATAAACCATTAGGGAACGAAATGTTCTCGAATCTTATTGTATTTCTTTTACAACCGCGGTTACTATCTAGGATGCTGTGACAATTGAGCTGCCGCTCTCGTCAAAAGCAGTAGCGCCTATGGCAAGTATCACCAAAAAGCGAACGGTGCTGCCATCTGTCGGGAGAGCGGCAACTCAACCAGTGTGGCCAGATCTACCGCACGAGCCACGTGTACGTGTGCTCGGTACTTCGCACAACTTCGGGAAATCGATAAAGAAAGCTAGTGTGTGCCCTTCTTTCTTTCTCTTGTACAGCTGAAATACGATCTCGCGATAATCGACATACGATTCGAAGTCTCGACTGCCCCACACATATACATATACGACCCTTGCGGTAGAGTATGTTGCTTTCTCCATCATTCGGTTAGATGCTAAGGAAATTCGTCGTTACTAGTGTTACTGTCGATTCACTGAATTGTGCCAATGTGGCCACACTGGTGGGTACAGAATAAAGTTCGATAAGAATAAATTCTCGCCTTCAGTTTTACTATCGAATTAAACTTTACATATAAATGTATATGCGCACATTACATTCTAAATAGATTCCTCAAAAAACACATACATACTGACTTTTGCCTATCAGAGAGTCAAAAACCAGAGGTTTCTCTTTCGAAATAATTTCTAATAAATTTTAAATATGAAAAAAGAAATTATCATCTGTGGCATATTCTTATTATTCTACGTCGAAGCAACCAATAACGCAAAATCAAGCAAACAGAAATCATGGCGAGACAAAGATATACGAGATATGACTGATGCAGATTTAGAGCATTTATTAGACCAGTGGGAGGTACACTATATTTCTTTTTATATCTCTTCAATTTTGAAAGAAAAAGTAGATGTAACCGATGGAAACAATAAATAAAAATATATTTTAATATGTAATATATTGTAGGAAAATGATGAACCTTTGGAACCAGATGAACTTCCAGAACACCTTAGACCCAGTCCACAAATTGACATATCAAAGGTAATATTTTGGCAATGTAATTTAAATGTCATTTATGTATTTTGTTTATTTATATAGCTGGATATGTCAAATCCTGATAATATACTCAAAATGACTAAGAAAGGTAAAGGTGTTATGATGTTTGTTGACGCTAATGAGGACATGTCATCAGAAGAAGCAGCTGTAATAATGAAGATCTGGCAAACTAGTCTTCAAAATAATCATATTATTGCAGAAAGGTACCTTATTTTCTTGATACAAGCTATTAAGTAATAATGAACTTCAATATTAAATTTTAAACCCTTTAATCAAATAGAATATTGTATTCTATCCATAGTAAAACATTTGGACTTCCTTATTTTCTTGCGAAGGAATGTAAAATTGTTTTTAATTCAGGTATTAGTTAACATAGTTTCTGTATCAAATTGTTGGATTTCTTTTCAGATATCCAATTGATCCAAAGAGATCTGTATTCTTGTTTCGTGAAGGTTCTCAAGCTGTTGATGCAAAAAATTTTTTACTGCAACAACCAGAATTATCTCATGTTACCCTTGAAGGGCAAACTTATTATCCACAAAAACAGGTAAACCTTTAGACTATATTCAAAACAGAAGTATCCCTTTCTAAATAATTAAATTTACGGCTTGTTACAGAGAGGTACTGCAGCAAAAATTAACAATTTAAACACACGAAATAAGACAAACAAGGAGAGGAAGAAAACCGAATTATAATTTACTATGAACAAACATTGTTTAAAGATACTAAATATTTTTTTTGTATATTTTTATAACTTGTATATATTTATACAAAAGCTACTATGTATAGAACCGTTTTTTATACAAGTATTTTTTTGTTTAATTTACAAAAGTAAATTTATAATATAAATTACCTGTATATATATTTTTTATAATTCCATTTAATACTTTGTAGAGGTAAGAATATAAATCATAAATACTAATCTAACCTGTGAAATATCTGAAAACTATGAAACCAGATAAAGAAGTATAACGAAGACTTTATTTTGGTCATTTTACAATACCAATTACATTTTTAACATTATTAAAGCAGCAGCAATTGAAATAACGATTAATAGTAATATTAGTTCTGTTAAAAATAATGTAACATATGCAAAACAGAATGTTAATGGATATGTTTTGATTAATAAATTATAATACAACGTGTAACTACTCATTTGTTCAAACTTGATCTGCTACTCTGAGAATCTAACTGATTAGGGACATTCATTGCTCGTACTTCTCTTTGCAACTCTTTCACCACAGTTGCAAGCGCATATGGATTAACTCCATTCTCACATAACCTAATGCATATACTTAAGGTTGTTGGATCCAGGTTTGTGTTCAACAATTTTGAAATTTGGTACAGTGTTTGGAACGTTTTCCGAGCAGCGTTGATCTGGTGATGCACAGCCTCTGGCATGCTGGCTCGAGTTCGTTCCTTTCTATAAATAAAAAATGAAAAATAATAATGAGCACAGCTATATATAGGTTCTTAATTGCAAAAATTGCGTCTTTAAACGGATGAAATCAAGAAAGGTTAAGCGTTGTATAGAACAGATTATTTTATGAAATACATACTCTCCGTTGTGAGACAGTTTTGCGGAGATATTAATCCACAATATCGAAATAAAAAAAAGATCACGGTTCGTAGAGCAATCTTATTCAATGTCACATCGTTAGAATATTCGTAATATCGTTTACTTCAACATTAAAACATGACAACAGACTACAAACGAAACTGAAAGGAGCTTTTGAATTTGACGAGATAGATTGAGTCACAGATGCAGTATAGAATAGATGAAACATTCAATATGAGTTTATGCTTCGTTTGACCTTGTAAGAAATTACGTCGCGACCTCTATACGAACATATAAAATGTCCATTAAGGAATATTTCGATTTAGATGTGTATATAATTTTTTGCAAATGAATAGGCAGGCAAAATGTTAATTCACAAGTAAATCTAATATTTTTATTCGTTATTCGTGAATAAAATTTGCACAACTTTGCTGCCAAGATACTAGAAATCGCGGAATGAAAGATACGTTTGGATGGTCGGTCTATTCTTTACGTTATTTGTGGCCAGAGCAAGAATCGTCGAGCTGATCGTGCACAGTTTGTCGCATGGTAATACCTAGGTCGATGAAAATAATTAGGAGCCTATTTTTCTGAGTGGAATCTGAAAGAATGTGGCTAGAAGAATGCGACAGTTTTGCGGAATTATGTCGAGGATATCTGCCATACTATTTATTAATCATTTTACCAATCTTTATCATTATCTCCCCGGTTAACCCAGTTGCGGCATCGCACGAATTTCCTGTATATCGGATGCATCAGTATGACTTGCACGGCGAACCTCACGGTAATAAAATTCGTGCATTTTGATTGATGAACGATTAATTGATACAATCAAATACACGAAAATGTTATCTCGTCAAATCCACAATAAGATTGAATTTTTTCATTCAGGTTGCCGTAGTGCCCCTGTTTCTTTGGAAGCAAGATCTCTCACTGGATGGAGCACCTCTAGACACTGTGTTGTTGCTAAAGCCTTGGACCTTACACCAAATCACTTTTACTCGATTAAGAACAAGGCAGGAGCCCTGATAGTAGTTTTGCCAGAGAAAATTGCAGAATTGACGATAGAAGAAAAACAGGTTAACAAGTCTATATACATATTTACGAGAGTTCCAGCTTCTAATAGATATTATACCGACATGGTGACAGTTGCTTAACACTTTGAAGGCCGCTGTCACGTATACGTGACTTTGCAAGCTAGCAGACGTTGGCCACTGTCACGTGTGCGTGATCTACTGTATCGGTCACCATTTATGGTGTTAGAATTGTTGCATTGTTGCATGGAATGTTCCATTTTGCGATTGCAAATGGATCGAATAGACCAATCAAATATTCTAAATAACCGTGATGTTGATAAAAAAAATTATTGTATACATAATTTGTTTGTTTCAGCATATTATGAGCTTAGAAGATTGTATGATGTTTGGACCAGAAACAATGATACCAGTGTATTTCGCTTCCTGGCATCCAGATCTTCAAACTATTTTGGACGACCTTGCCAGTGGATTTATCATGGATGAAAAAACAGGTTCTGCCGCCGAAGCGATGTTTAATTTTATATCCGCCAGTGGTTATCAAGTGGTGGTACCAACTGGGCAAGCGCTCGCCAAGACGGACGTTAAAGTAGCTACTTTGCACGGAAAGTTAACCGGTACCAGAGCGGAGGAAAAATTACCCACAATTGCCTTGGTAACGCATTACGATAGCACGGGAGTTGCGCCCGAATTGTCGTTTGGAGCAGACAGCAATGCATCTGGAATGGCTATGTTATTAGAAATAGCACGATTATTCTCCACTTTGTATTCTACCAGCAGATCAAGGCCACAGTACAACCTTGTCTTCATCATAACTGGTGCTGGAAAGCTAAATTACCAAGGCAGTAAAAAATGGTTAGAAGATCAGCTGGATGGTCTCGAGGGCTCCATAATACAAGACGCAGCTTACGTCATCTGCCTCGATACAGTATCTACTAGCGATAATATTTATGTGCACGTTTCAAAACCGCCGAAAGAAAATTCCACGGGCGGTCTTTTTTACAAAGAACTTAAAGCAGTGTCCGACTCATTGAACGGCACTACCGTGGAAGGTGTGCACAAGAAAATAAATTTAGCCGACAAATCGCTAGCTTGGGAACACGAGAGATACAGTATGCGAAGATTACCGGCAACAACTTTATCCACCTTAAAGAGTCACGAAGATCCAATCAGAACGACAATCTTAGATTTAATGAAAGCAGGACAAATAGATAAGTTGTACAAACATACTCAAGTAGTCGCGGAAGCGTTAGCAAGACATATATATAATTTGAGCTCTAGTCAAATTTTCATGGATCCACTGGAAGTTTCGAAGGAATCATTAACTTTATGGTTTAGTTACTTAGCATCGCAACCAAGAGCTGCCCCCTTATTGGCAGACAAGCATAATACGTTAGTTGGCACACTGGAAGAAGCAATGGCTAGATATCTTGGGGATGTCAAAGTTACCTTGCACAGTCCTGACAAACAAGATCCAGAATTCGTATTTTACGATGTTACAAAAGCTACGCTGAACGTATACAGGTAAGTTTATTGACTACTTCGATTAGTATAGATAGAGATCCCTGTAGATAATGTAATTTATTACGTTTCAGTGTAAAACCCGCTGTATTTGATCTCTTTCTCACAATTGCCATCATTGTATACCTGGGGATACTTTATGTAATCATACACAATTTCCCACGTGCATATTCGTTAGCGACTCGTTTTTCAGTTAAGAACAAAGCATCGTGAAATTGTTATTAAACATTAAAACTTCATTAACTGCATTGTAAAATAAGAAACTTGCTGCAGATTTTCTTAACGAATCTTAATATATAACAAGCATTGTAGGTTCAAATTGAAGATCAAACAAAGTTATATGTACATTAATTTTGCTCGCATAAATCCTGAATTAAAGACTATCTATCGTTCTACGTCTTATCCAGATCTCTAATCGTAGATATCTGTATTACTATATAGTTACGAATTTAAATTTAAATTTCCATCCTCCTATTGCTTCCAATAATAATTATACGAACAAATGTATGAACATTTGAGAAAATTGGCAAAAATCTATATTAGAAATTACCATCCTGATAATGTATTATTCGTGGCTTAATACAAATTATTGTGTAAGATTACGTGATAATTAAGACCAAGTTATGACAGACCAAATAGTGAGATTTCAGAATGCAATTTGTGACAAAAAAGACTGGCAGATTTAAGCATAAATGCAAAACAAATACAGAACTTTAATGTTACAATGTATTTAGTAATAAAAGTAATAATTCCAAACCTTATATAGGATAATAGTATGCTAATTTTATTCAGATGCATTATAACGAATTCATTTAATGTATTTGCTAAACAATTGTTGCTATGTTTCTAACATCATATACAATATTCGTATTATAAATATTACATTGCTGCACAAGTTCTGACTACTGACTTCTAGTTGAATAAAAAATAATAAATGTTAGATACAAACCTTATTGTTTCTAATGTGGTACTCTTATAAATGTTATCTAAACCAGCTATAAAGGTATTGCTCAAAATAATCAAAGGGCCTTGCGTTTGGAGAATGAACTATACATATATTGGGAATCGATTTTTACATTTTCACGAATTTTAGGATACTATACCTACTTCCTCTTTTGATTAATATTGCCAGCGTTTAAAAATCTCGAAGATTCTCGGAAATATGAAGCTTTTTATAGAAGTTAATCTCGATTCTTTATGTTTGTATTATATAAAAATAATTACCCTTTAAACAATTTCTATTACAAAAGTAGAGAAAAAACAATGAAAATTAGTAATTTTAAGTGAAAAATTATTTTCTTTCTATTAAATTGTATAAAAACAATTATTATTAGGCTAAGACTTTTGTCAAGCGACTAGTTTTGTATAATGTACTTATATTTAAATAGTTTAAAAAATATTGGTTACTTCATTCGTGTGGTAATTTGAAAAAATTGCACAATTGTGTCTAAAATAACAAAAAACACAAAAAGTGTGAGGTACTGTCCGAAGTACGAGTTTTCTTTTAACAGTAAATTAACTGAAGAATTCAATTCCAGTTTAATTTTTACTGACAACATAGAATTTTTGCAGTAAACTAATAATATAGCTCTGAATAATATTACATTACATCGCGTACGAATTACTAGTATAAAATGTTAATATACGTAGCAATATTGTATAATGGAAACAAATTTTAAAAAGCAAATCTCCTCCGCTAGGAAATGTGAACAATTTAATTGTCAAATACTATCATAATGTTACAAAAAATATGCTTGTAATTAATATATTTACCAGATGGGACAAGGAAAATTTAGGAAATAATTTATGTTTATAAGTCATTATAATAGGTATTTACTGATAATAATATTATTTAAATAAAATTACAAAAGAGAAATGTAAGAAGAGTGTAAAATAAATGTCATGGAAATTAAGTATTCAACTTCTAACAAAGGTATCCTTTAATTCTACCTAACTATTAAACACATACTAGCAGTCACTAATATCATTGTTATTGTTCCTACGATTTGGTAAAATATTTTTTATGTGTTACCGCGCGATATGAACATTATTTAATTTGAAAGGTCAGATACAAACCATCATTAGCAACATAAGAACAGGTCCAGGTCCTTGGGAATGAATTAACTACTAAACAGGTTTGACTAGTTTACCACCTTCTATTTTCTACATAAGCAGATATCATCCAACATATGTTGAGGTATACTACATACTGTGAAGTGCTTCAAGATATGAACTCCATTTTTCATAAAAGTATCTATGTAACTTTAATGTAAACGCTTTGAGAATATTTGTCGGAAAAACACTGTATTTGATTACTTAATTTTTTAACAGGTTCGAAAGTTAAACAGAAAAGATGGACGTTACAAAAATGTATGAGCTCCTTGGTAGAATGTATAAAGCCAGAATTGAAAGCAATAAAAGAAGCTGGTACATGGAAAAATGAACGACTAATAGCTTCGTCTCAACGGACACGAATTGTACTGGCAAACGGGAAAGAAGTTCTTAATTTCTGTGCAAATAATTATTTGGGCTTATCCGTGAGTATGATAATTTGAAAAAGGGCTGTTAATTTTATATAAATTGTTTTACCTCGTGGTTAATTGGTCTTTTACATTTAGGATAATAAAGAAGTCGTTTCAGCAGCAAAGATTGGTCTAGATAAATACGGGGCTGGTTTGAGCTCTGTAAGATTTATATGTGGTACTCAGGACATTCACGTAGAATTAGAGAAGAAGATTGCCAGATTTCATGGCAGAGAAGACGCTATACTTTACGCATCTTGTTTCGATGCGAACGCTGGCCTCTTTGAAACCTTGCTAACGCCCGAAGACACGGTATTAAGCGACGAACTTAATCATGCCTCTATTATCGACGGTATTAGGCTATGCAAGGCAAAGAAACACAGGTGAGTGACATAAATAAATGTAAATAAATATTATATATCTTGCTCTGAACTGCCAGTCGTTTAAAAATATTTTGTTTGCTTATTTTTAGTTTTAAAGAATAACACTGATTTACAATCAAAATTACTTTTAATTCAACATATTGACCCTGATTTGGGTGTTGAGTAAGTATAATCAAAATTATAGTTTCATTTAGGGAAAGGATGCAGTTGCATTTTTCGAGCAAAAGTTAGGGTTGAAATGTTGGATTAGAAATAATTTTGATTGCAAACCGATATTCCTCTTCGAGACTAAATATAAGGAAACAAACCTTGTTACATAAATAAATATAATTGTTTACTTTATAACTTACTACTAAAGGTACAAACACAGAGACGTAACAGATATAGAAAATAAACTGCAAGACAGTATGTCTTCGCGTTTACGTCTTATTGCGACCGATGGTGTTTTTTCTATGGATGGTACTGTGGCGCCATTACCAAAAATACTTGAGCTTGCACAAAAATATAATGCCATCACTTTTGTGGACGATTGTCACGCGACTGGTTTCTTCGGAAAATCTGGAAGGTGATTATTTTATTATAATTTGTACTCAATTTGTACTTTCTTACTAGTACTATTAATGGAAAATAATTACAACGTTTAAACATATTCGAGACTGATGTATTATTACAAGATTGTTCCTAGTAGTCATCAAGAGTTTTGTAAATCTATTCTGATCCATGTGTTACATCTTCGAATACATTAACAATAGCATTAGCGTAAGAACTGTGTTTATTGCTTACGGGTTACGATTCAAAGAAATTGTAGAATTAAAAAATGTTTAGGGACTATAAATTATAGAACATTTTTCGATAACATAGAAAAAATAAATAAATACAATATGTGATATATCAGTTTACAGTAATGCTTCTTTTTTTTTTATATCGATGAAATTATTCTATTGCAGAGGAATAGAAGATTATTTCGGTCTGTCGGGAAGCATCGATATAATTAATTCGACATTAGGTAAAGCTCTTGGCGGGGCAGCAGGTGGTTACACGACCAGTAACAAGGAACTGGTTAATTTGTTAAGGCAACGCAGCAGGCCATATTTATTTTCAAATTCATTGCCTCCTCCTGTAGTCGCATCTGCAAGTAAGGTATGCTATAAAAGAAACGTTTAAACCGCTGATTAATGATAACAAACGACAAATATGCAAAATTGGAATATGTTTTTACAGAGTAGTGTTACATTTTCTAATTCGCATTAACGATTTTGTCTTTTATAATAGTTGTTATTTCCAGTTGAAAATATTAACTGAAAAATCACAATTCACTCGAACGACCAAATTTTTAATCGCGTCGCACAATAGATCGATTAGCTCAGAAGAAATAATCGATTAATGTCTAATTTTGTTATGTAGGTGATGGATCTGATAACAAATTCCACAGAATTTCTGGATAAACTAAGAAACAACACCGATCTGTTTAGAAACGGTATGAAAGCAGCAGGATTCACGATCACTGGTGACAATCATCCTATCTGTCCTATCATGATAGGCGATGCAAGATTAGCCACTGAATTTGCCGACAAGATGATTGGTGCGTTTATTTTACAATATACTTAAACATAAAAATTTGTACGTCTTATAAATAAGAAAATACGAGATATTTAAAAAAATTCGAACCTATGAAATGATTGTCTTTCTTTTACAGAAAAAGGAATTTATGTAATTGGTTTTAGCTATCCCGTAGTACCGAAAGATAAAGCTAGAATACGTGTACAGATTAGCGCTGCGCATACAGTGGACGATATACAACATGCTACAAGTGCGTTTATACAAATTGGAAAAGAACTAGGAATTATTACCTGATATCCTTTTTAATTTACATCTTTAAAAAACAGAAAGCGAAAGTGTGATTAAAATGTAATGCTAAATTAAGTTTTATAGACGAACACCAAGGCTAAGATCTTGCATGCAAAAAAAAAAAATGTTCCAACTAAATATTACGAAGATATTACCTTTTATACAAATTTCACAGAGTACAGGATTTTTTGTTTAGTTTACAAAAGCTTTTGATTACATGTAAAGTTTATATATTCTTATTAAACATTAATTAAATAAACATTAAGGTTTGTATGGTTTAACAAGATTTTCAGAGAACTCTTTGATTTGTTGGACTCCACGAACTTCTGTTTCTAACAAAGGAAGTCGTGTCACATGGAAATCTTCGTACAAATCCACTATCTGGAAGAACGTTTCGCTAATTAATTTATAATGTTTTTGGATTTATATGATATTACGATTAAAATATACTTCAATGTGTACCTGTTCTAAGTATTTATTTTGTAGTTTATGCCTTGCGAGACAAAGTTTGCAAGGTGAATCTTCCTTCAAATATATTAGCTGGTTTAATATGATGTTGTGAGTGTCGATACCACATTTTGTCAATTCCTGTACAAGCCTCTCGGTTTCATAAAGCGACAAAAATTCTGCTATGCATACGCAAACAAACGTTGTTTGATCAGGGTTTTTGAATTGTTCGTTTACTTGCCGCATCACCACGAGCATATCCTCTATTTTAGTAGAAAATGTATCTACATTGAAATCTGTCACACCCAACAAAGAGCTTATCTGTAATTCAATGCGTTTGAAATTAGAGTTCTTCGTTTGAACGTCAATAACGATTGGCGCGTATCTTTCATAGAAAAGTCAACATTGGGCAAAAAATTAATCGGCAACTGACCATTAAATTACTGCTGTTAATCGTTAATCGCAATTAATGATTACATTATTTTTAATCATTAACTCCAAAGGCATGACGCGACTTTTGATCTCAAATGATAGGGTACAGCTTTCTGTCTAAATGTTGCTCATTCTTAGAAAAGTGATGTCATAAAAAAGATGTAAAAGAAGATACATAACACGACAAATATGAATTTTATCCATAAGTGTTATTTGCTACTCGAATAAAAATGCACCCAACTCTATATTCTACCTGTGTGATGAAAGGACTGATCTTTGTCTTTAAACGCATTAGTTTCCCCAGGCTCTTTTCTACAATTTGTGGAAACGATAGTAGCCTTAATGTATGCCCGGTAGGTGCAGTATCGAAGACAACAACCGAAAAATTCATTCCTTTAACAAGCCTGAAAATATATAAATATCAGGTAAGAGTAATGCTTTTTGTCAACATAAGGAGCCTTTCTAACTTGTGGGTAGAAACCAAATATATGAAAATATTCAGTATTTTTTCGTAAAATAGCTGCCATTTTGCCATTTTTCATTTTTTTGAAAAGATCCTAGTTCATGCTATAACCACACTCATCTATATTAAGAATATCGTTGGTTTTAGGATTTCGAATAACTTGTTCGCAAGATATCACGTACGCAGTCGGGTGCCGTTCGTAAAAACTGTTGTTTGATGATCAACAAAAACAGCGTAATCAATAGATATTATGCGTTGCAAAAATTCGTAAATATAGCTAAATATATAATAAATGTATCTACAAAATCCGGAATTAATCGCTCTTTAATAACCCGCAAAAAAAAATCACAAAGAAACACGTATTTTTCATGCCTACAAGGTAGAATGGCCCCTTAAAAGCAGACAATATGCTAAATAGTTCAACACTAACTTCATAACTTCTACGTAACTCATCGCCTCGTCGATACCAGGAAAAGTACCCACAATTTCTTGCGTTACAGTCCTACTCAATCTCATTGCTTCTCTACCTGAAACTATAGTACGAAGCTATAAATTTCATATTCGTTCGTTAAAAGATAAGTGAAAATAAAATATCAGTGTCGATTGACCTTACCTGCTTCGCTTTCGAAATATTCCTCGGGCAGTTCGGTGATGCCAACATTTGGATCTATTTCCATAGCGAATAAATTATCAAAACCTTTCACTTTCGTCGGAATTCTGCTAAATTTCTGATCGAAGGCATCGGAGATATTATGCGCGGGATCCGTCGAAATGATGAGTACATTTTCTCTCACTTTCGACAATTGCACAGCTAACGAACAACTAAAGAAAATGGGTGTCAATGATGATCGAACAGTCATAAAGAGGAAACTATATTCGTAAATTCTAATTACCAGCATGTCGTTTTACCAACTCCACCTTTACCGCCGACGAATATCCATCGTAAAGATTGTTGTTCGATTACGTTTCTAATGGAAGGCTCGTATTCGGTCGGTTCGCTGTTATTTGTGTTCATGTTTTATCGAAACGCAACGTTACGCGTTTTGAAAAATTTTAACAAGTCATCTACTATTGTCACTGTTACGGATGAAGAAACGTAGAGAAAGCGGAACAGAAAAATCACACCACGTCAACTACGTAAGTACATATCATCGAACGCATAAAAACAAAATGGAATAGACGAACTATATGTGAGATGGGAGATGGGAGAGAGAAGCCATCGATGTTACACTATCGATATGTCGCGAGTTTCGCTACAAGTAGCTACATATGATCGCATTCGTTGAAAACGATAAGAATACTTAAAGAAGATATGTCCAAGCATAAGTAAAGATTGCAAATATTCGAAACAGAAATAGGGGTTTCACTATAGAAAACAGATTTTCTTTGTCTGTTTTACCTAAGAACATAATAGGGCACGTTAAAAAGAAAATATATATATTTAATAATCATTTTTATCATAGATGTTTGATTTTAAAATAAAACGTCACATTGGTAAAGGAAAAAGCAAATCGATTGTACGGTATCGATTACTCGCTGGCGACTATCCATTCGATATCGACTGCAGGGTACCTACACACAATGAATGTAGTGGTTTTTAATAGTAGGCTAATTTGGAAATGTTCGAAGTGTCTCTAAATTGCGATCTGAAACATTAGTTCAGAGTTGTTTGTTAGTTTTACAGTGATATCGTGGATTCCAGAGACTGGTCGGAGCGAAAGAGCTCGCACGTATTATGCCGCAATTTCACAAAATCGAAATAAATAGGACCGAATGGGAGGTTCCGGAACGATATCAGATGCTCACTCCAGTGGGATCAGGAGCTTACGGTCAAGTGTGGTAAGAAAGACAGCAATTATTTATCAACGATCGGTCAGTTGCCGAGGATTATTAAGATTACTATGAATTTCGTGAATTGTCTGGAAGGTTTAAACAATCCCGCTTCAGAGTTCACGAGTAACCCAATATTGTGTTACGACCATGAACTAATCATAACCTTGACATTTCTGGCGTTTCTATTGCTTACTCTTTATACCGCTCGAAGATGTACAAAAATTTCTCTCCCGATTTAAACACTCGTACGGTTATTAAATTGTACAAGTTACGATTATAAACACTTGTGTAAATACACGAAGCGATCTCGTTTCGATGTCGCGGGACGAATTAAAATCAGACCATTTGAAAGAAGAAACTCTTAAATTGTACGATTCGGTTTCATTAATTTTTATAAAAGAGTGTGCATACATTGTTTCAGTTCAGCAGTTGACACGACTACTGGTCACAAAGTAGCAATAAAAAAATTAGCCAGACCATTCCAGTCAGCCGTACACGCGAAGCGCACGTACAGAGAACTTCGAATGTTGAAACACATGAATCATGAAAATGTAAGTGAAGTTGGGTGTGCACATAATGTATGCATGTTTGTGTAAACATTCTCAAAGTTGGCACTGCAGAAATTAGAAGTATTTGTCTTGGCATCTAAAATTAAGAACTATGACATTCTGCACCAAATTTTATTTTTACTTTCTAAAGTCCTGGGCTATAAAAGTAATTATTCAATCATTAAAATTTTCTACAATTGCCTTTACATATACAATTGATATTTATTTCAGGTAATTGGTCTTCTAGATGTATTTCATCCGTCTTCCTCGTTGGAAGATTTTCAGCAAGTGTAAGTGTTTCTATACAGGGTGTTTTGCCTACCCTGGGAAAAATTTTAATGGGATATTCTAGAGGCCAAAATAAGACGAAAATCAAGAATACCAATTTGTTGATGGAGGCTTTGTTAAAAAGTTATTAACGTTTAAAGTTCCACCCGTATTGAATTTTTTTCTCGAAAATGCGCAGGATTTCGGGGGTATGTTTATTCACCAAAAATAATTGTAATTGGCCTCTGCAACCGAAAATAATTTTTCCAGGACGATTTGAAATTTCTTTTTTCGTCGTAAAATTTCACACCTTCTCGAATTTTTTCCTCGAAAGTGGGTAGGATTTCGGGGGTATATGTAATGGCCAAAAATGATTGTAACTAACCCGTGCAACTAAAAATAATTTTTTTAGAACGATTTGAAATTTGTTAATTTTGTCGAAAAATTTTACACCTTCTCGAATTTTTTTCTCGAAAGTGGGTAGGATTTCGAGGATGTCTCTAATGACCGAAAATAACTGTAATTGACCCCCGCAATCGAAAATAATTTTTCCAGAACGATTTGAAACTTTTTAATTCAATTGTTAATAACTTTTTAACGAAGGCTCAGTCAAGAAATTGATAGTCTTGATGTTCGTCTTATTTCGGCCTCTAGAATGTCCCATTATAAGTTTTCCCAGGGTTGGCCGAACACCCTGTATGCTCTGTGATACAATTGTTTTCTTCATTGCTGTTTGATGTACAAGAAAGTTTAAAATTTTGTTCATCATGGTTTAGCAACATTATGTTCTTTTAATAGATATTTAGTTACACATCTAATGGGCGCGGACCTTAATAATATTGTAAGGACGCAAAAACTTTCGGACGATCATGTACAGTTTCTTATTTATCAAATTCTTCGTGGTCTCAAATACATTCATTCTGCGGGTATAATACATAGGGTAAAGTATTACGTATCATAGTATGATCATAGGAACTCAGAATAGTTGAAATATTAAGAATTACTTATCATATTCAGGATTTGAAACCATCCAATATAGCTGTAAATGAGGATTGTGAGCTGAAGATTTTAGATTTCGGATTGGCCCGACCTACAGAAAATGAAATGACCGGATATGTTGCCACAAGGTGGTATAGAGCTCCAGAAATTATGCTTAATTGGATGCACTATAATCAAACAGGTGTTTATTGTGTATTTTTATTTTTCATCTTTATGAAAACTTCCTTATCTTACTTCTAACACATTAAAACGTACTTTTCATACTTTTTAGTCGATATTTGGTCAGTTGGATGTATAATGGCTGAGTTATTAACAGGGCGAACATTATTTCCTGGAATAGATCGTATCCTTTTTATAATTACGCTTTCCGAGCTCATTGAATATCAATAACTAACAACTGTAATCATTGTTTGCATTTTTCTGTTTACTTATGTATCGTACTAACACGTGTACGAACTTTATTTCATGATTGTATATGAAAAGTCACGAATCTTTAACTGTCTCAGAATTGAAAGATGTGCTTTTTGCTAAGGCTCTACATATGGCTTCTTTTTTGCTTTAACATCCTTCTGCGCTAATATATCAATACTGTTTAGTTTGTTCGTCTTGTGACACGCGTCGCTTCGATCTGGTAACAAGGAAAATATACGAGCACAATATATTATTTTTAATACGCTTCGTTGCACAAGGTCGTATTAACCGTTTCATTGTGTAATAATTAAAGTATTCAGTGAAAGTAGAGAAAGGTGTGGTGGAACCTTAGCAAGAGCAGATATACATCAACTGAACTTAATAATGGAGATACTGGGTACTCCACGAGACGAATTTATGCAAAAAATATCATCGGAATCGGTAAGTAATTTCCATAATCATTAAATAACGATTCGTTTTATATAAAAAAGTCAACCGGTGCATGCTAGTTGTTTGTAATGTGTTGCATCTTAAATGCCTCGCATGTTAGACGTTTTTTTTATGGCAACAGCGTATACAAGTCCTTACTCGTTTCCTCGATTAATAAGCTTACCTTAAATGTTAACTAAAATAAGCATTTAGCGTTTCTAAAGTTCGCGAATTCGCTTGGTGAGTACGTATTAATTTCTCTACAAATATTTCGTTTGTTTGTTATTAATGTTTTGGAATGACAACAAGAAATGCTTTAAATAGGTGCAGTTCTAATACAATTTTGTAACAATTAAAATTTTTTCTATCAACATATAATGAATTATGCTTTAAACGTACCTTAACTTTAAGCAGACATTGATCATCTAACACGAGTCTTAGTACTCTGTGGTACACCCACAGAAGAAACTTTAAGCAAAATTACCAGCCAAGAGGTAATTTTTTTTAAATAAATATTTTTTTTTTTATAAATCCCTGTCCAACGATGATGGAATTTCTTTTTTATTTTTTACACAGTCTCAAGTTATTTTTATATAACTTATCGGCTCACCGGTTTTGCGATCCGAGAAATCGAATAAAATAATCTTATGCCTGATAATACGATTTTGCTTTGAGTTTATATTGCGTTGTACGAATAAAACAATAAGGAATATTTGTTGTGAGCGAAATACATTAAAAATATGCTGAGTGTGAGGCAAATTAATAACTTCGTAAACAATTTATACTTTTGTTTGTTCTAGAAAAACTATTATATATAATTTGTACATATATACATACTTATATAAACGTAAAGTTATACAAGTTATTTAAAAGTTGTATAGATAACAAGCTTAAATGTTGTTTTAGGCAAGAAATTATATACAAAGTTTACCTCCTTTAAAGAAAAAGAATTTCAAAGATGTTTTTCGTGGGGCTAATCCTTTAGGTACACTTGCATTATATATTCAGTACTAGGACTGGGACTATTCAAATTCTTTATATGTATTTAAATAGCGACAAGCGAAGGTCGAAAATTCAAGTATTTGAATATTATCATTCAAATAAGAAAATATTTATACATCCAAGCTACATAAATAATGAGGATTGTAGATGATGCGATTCTTAGAAGATGTTAAATAATCCGAGAACAATTTTAATGGGAGATTCTAGAGGCCAAAATAAGACGAAAATCAGGACTATCGATTTCTTGACTGAGGCTTCATTAAAAAGTTATTAACAATTAAATTCAAAAATTTCAAATCGTTCTGAAAAAATTACTTTCGGTTGCGGGGGTCAGTTACAATCATTTTTGGTGAATAGACATACCCCCGAAATCCTACCCACTTTCGAGAAAAAAAATCGAGTAGATGCTGAAATTTTTCGACAAAAAAAAATTTTTCAAATCATTCTAAAAAAATTATTTCCGGTTGTGGGGGTCAATTACAATCATTTTTGGTCATAACATATACTCTCGAAATCCTACGCACTTTCGAGAAAAAAATTCGAGAAGGTGTGAAATTTTACGACGAAAAAAAAAATTTCAAATCGTTCTGGAAAAATTATTTTCGGTTTCAGGGATCAATTACAATCATTTTTTGTGAATACACATACCCCCGAAATCCTACGCATTTTCGAGAAAAAAATTCATTACCGAAAATTTCATGTCTGACCATACCATTGATATGTTTCACTGAAATTTCATGCATATCTTTAAAAAATCATAACTCCTGAACGGATTGGAGAATTTTAAAGTTTCAACAGGCAAACAACGCGTATTTTGGCGAAGAATATGTAGAAATTCCAAAAATATTCGAAAAGTTGATACTTGACCCCGAAAAATAAGAAAAACCCCATGAAACTGGTCCAATTTTCAAACGACCATAACTCTTACAATAGTGAATGGATTTCAATGAAACTTTTTTCTGAAGTAGAGCTCATGGGCACCTACAAAAAAGTATTAGACAACTTTTCCATACAGGGCCAACCAAAGTAATTAAAAATAAAAAACGAATTTTTAAGAATAATCGACAGGGGGTAGGTGGCGAAAAAAAAATTTTTCAAATCATTCTCAAAAAATTATTTCTAGTTGTGGAGGTCAATTACAATAATTTTCGGTGAATAGACATACCTCCGAATTCCTACGCACTTTTGAGAAAAAAATTCAGTACGGGTGTAATTTTAAACGTTAGTAACTTTTTAACGAAGCCTCCATCAACAAATTGGTATTCTTGATTTTTGTCGTATTTTGGCCTCTAGAATACCCCATTAAAATTTAAAATTTAGTTAAAATATAGTGCAATTAATTATTAACAGTTTAGTTTGCATTTTGGTCGAAAAATGCAAACACATTATTTTTTTCTTTATAAAACTAGTAAATGTTGTATAAAATATCGAGCTAATATATTTTAAACGAAAATAAAGTTTAAAGATGAATATCAAACTTAAAGAGCTTAATTTACAGTAAACAATTTTGCACTTTTTTGTATCGAACCTGTGTAATATTTAAATACAAAATAATTCAATAAGAAGTCCCAGTCCTACTCGGTACATTTATTTGAATTTAATAAAAATCAAAAAGATTGATATACTTTCTATTGCTTTTTAGCCATAGATTTACTTGAATTAATGTTGGAGTTAGACGCAGAGAAACGAATTACAGCCGAGCAAGCTTTAGCTCATCCGTATCTCGGACAGTATGCGGATCCAACTGACGAACCAGTATCGTTACCATACGATCAGAGTTTCGAAGATATGGATTTACCTGTCGAAAAATGGAAAGGTACAGATAACAGGTTGATTTTTAATTACCTGTCGAGGGAAATTAATTTTTATACAGATGTTATTTTCAGAACTTGTTTATCACGAAGTAATAAACTTTGTACCTCAACAGTTACCTTCGTCGTCTTCAACAATTGAATCTGCTTCGTAAATTCATGTCAGTAGCTCAAATAATATAGATATAAGCGCAGTAAGATAACATTAACAAGGAAGAATTTTAAAAGAAAGTATATAAAATTGTTATATACAAAAATGTCATTGTATATAATGTTACGTAAGTAACAAAGTTAATCATACAAAATTTATGCATACTAAAGACAAAATGTATATTTTTGTTAATGACGTATGGATACGAGAAGAGTTATTATTCTTCATATTACACGTAAATTATTTTAAAATGTAAATTTACCAAACAAGCAACAATTATTCATATTTATAGTTATACATGAACGTTTCATTATGTATCCATGTATTTAAATGCTTTGAAGTTGCAATCATATTACGATGAATTCATAATGTATTTAACGAATATATTAAAAGTACGATTGAATAATCAAAATGTCATTTGCAATTGAAAGTGATGTCTTTTGTAAAATAAAATTTTCTGATGCGAAAAAGTAACAGTTCAATGACAAATATTTATTATAAAAATGCTAGCTTCAAAGCATTCAATTGTATTTCATTCAATGCTGGTTCTAGTCTGTAACAAAAAGAAAACATATTAGTTCAAATTTATCATTAAAAATAATTCTATTATTTCATACACAATATAATTTAAGATCATTTCATCTATTTGATAGTATTAGATTAATGCTTTTAACAACGAAACTGGCTAAATAAAATTTTTGATCTTTGTATATTGTGAAATTCTTACAATTAAAAAAATTAATTTCATTGTTCTTGGCGATTAATTGTTTAAATATATTGGATACATAAATTATCCTTGTAAGAGAATATTTAATAACTAAAAGGACTTTGTGTATACTTCATGTATTCTTTCACTTTTTTTTCCATGTATATTTTTCTAAATTCTAGTAATATTTAAAAACTTGTGTAAGTATAATGAGTGATCCAAATATAATTTGTTCATTGCATTCTTTAAGAAAAAAAAAAAGAATTTCTTGCAACAGATTCTAGTATGAATTTAACAGTCATAAATACGATATTTTAATAATATGTAAGTAATGGCATCTATGTAAATAGAAGGTTAAATAACCTAATTATATCAAAACAATTGGAGCAATTTATCATGCCAATTGTATGGACTGAAAGTCAAACTTTGGAATTAGTAATTCTTTATAGTCGGCATGAATGTTTAAGGAATCCTTTTCATCCTGATTTTAAGAACAAACTCTGCCGCTACAAAGCATATAAACAAATCGTGGATTGCATAAATATCTGCGGTTTAACCGTTTGCGATTGTATCAAACGGATTACTTACATCAAGGCACAATATTGTTACGAGTTATCGAAAATCAGTGCAGCAATATCTTGCGAGAAAACTTATAAACCGAAAGCAAGCTGGTTTCCAATAATGCACGAAATACTTTTTCCGTTTATTGAAACGTACGGTTGCACGAACAATTCTTGGAAGGTATAATAAAAAAAGCTGATACATTTATTAACAAGTACACGTGTATATACAAGGCGTCTCATTTTAATCTTTTCACGCCATTGTTGCTAAATTCGACGATAATGAAGTGGAAAAATTAAAGAGTAAAACGTGTATCGTGCAATTTCATAAATTTTTATTTATTTAATCGGTGTTTTGGAATTACAGATAAGCAAAAATAAAAACAACAATTTCAAAAATTATTATAGTAGCGAAAACAATGATCAAACAGCGTATTTTAATGCAGTGGAATTATCGAAACCGCGGAGCAAAGATTGCAGTTGTCCCTATGAAAATTGTTGCTGCTGCGAACCGTATAAGAAAAAGCTGCTTAGACAGGGTGTTCAACCACCCCTGGGAAAAATTTTAATGGCCGATTCTAGAGACCAAAATAAGACGAATATCAAGAATATCAATTTCTTGACTGAGCCTTCGTTAAAAAGTTAATAATTAAATTCAAAAATTTCAAATCGTTCTGGAAAAATTATTTTCAGCTACAGGGGTCAATTACAATCATTTTTGGTCAGTACACATACCCCCGAAATCCTACGCACTTTCGCGAAAAAAATTCCTTACCGAAAATCTAATTAGGTACCTAAATGTTTCGACGAAAAAAAAAATTTCAAATCATTCTGGAAAAAATTATTTTCGGTTTCGGGGGTCAATTACAATCATTTTTGGTGAATAGACATACCCCCGAAATCCTGCGCATTTTCAAGAAATAAATTCAGTACGGGTGGAACTTTAAACATTAATAACTTTTTAACGAAGCCTCCATCAACAAATTGGTATTCTTGATTTTCGTCTTATTTTAGCCTTTAAAATCTCCCATTAAAATTTTTCCCAGGAATAGCCGAACACCCCATACATACATCGTTAAAAAGACTGATTATCCTGTTCTTCTTTATTTAGGAAACATTGGACTCGACCAGAAAGTGATAAAGTCATAGATTCAGTTATTACAAATTATTCGCCTTTGCATTCACAACAAATAACCAGAGGCAATAATGGAAACACCACCAGGAAACATATTACCGCCGAACGTGAAATGCAAACCGACGCCTCCTTCTTCAAAACTGAATGCAAGACGTGTGAAACACGTGTGGAAAATAGTATAGTCCTTACAAGTGATTTGGTACATAATAAAATTATTAAGGCGTGGAAATTTGGTATTCAGCGAAAATTAATTTAATATTTATTGGAGGGCGAGAATACACTTGGGAAATATTTTACAGAAAGATATCGTCCCGACGGTCGAAGAGAAAGAAAAAAGAAAGGCTCACGATGAGTTCGACATGTTTGGAAAGAGTATCGCGTTTCAGTTACGAAATATAAATTTCGGTGAATATTTAACGGTGCGTTGTGCGCGTAGGGCTGAGATTATTCGAATATTATACAATTATTCAAATAATTCGTATAAACTTCAAATATCATTATCAGAGAGTCCTTATTGCACTGTTCTATACTTGGCCAGTGGACAAACTTTTTAAATGGTATTTCGATTTATACTTACTTCGACCTATTCAAGTTCTCGAATATTTGAATACAGAACAATTTTGACAAGTAATCCCAACCCTAATTGCGTGTCGCGGGAACTATTGTTAATGCAGTGCTGTTTGTTTCTAGAAATTGCGATTAAGTTGGAAAAACGTATACAGGATCTGATTGCGCAAGAACGTCTTAATAATATAAAATTGAAATGCGTATCGCACAGTGTCCCTATGGAATGTTGTAGCTCTAGCTGTAACGATTGTAAAGTCAAGCCCAAGGAAATGATTTGTAGCTGTGGTTTACCGGTGATAATGATCAAAACCGATCAGTCTTGCGAATTCGGTCGCAAATAATAGACGCAATATACATTTTATACAATTTTCGTTAATTTATTGTAGTTCACTAGTATGTAGAATCCTATACAGGTCGTTCGGCCACCTCTGGGAAAAATTTAAAAAATTTTTAGAATCTTGAGGGCAAAATAAGACGAAAATCAAGAATACCAATTTGTTGATTGAAGCTTCTTTAAGAAGTTATTAACGTTTAAAGTTTCGCCCGTAGAACGGTAACCTGCGAACAGCTACATGCGCGTGAGAGCGGTTCTCACTCACTGACGCATCGACAGCCTTACAGTTTTCTAAATGAGAGTCACTATCGCGCGTGCGCAGCTGTTCTCAAGTCGCCGTTCTACAGGCGGAACTTTAAACTTTAATAACTTTTTAACAGAGCCTCAATCAACAAATTGCTATTCTTGATTTTCGTCTTATTTTGGTCTCTAGAATCTTCCATTAAAATTTTTGCCAGCGATGGCCGAATTGTTTGTCAACATTTTTTTTATTAAAATGAATTGACGATGAAAACTAAGTGAAATGATGTAATTAACGCTGTTAATTTTACAAATTCAAACAAACTCTTGTAAATCAGAATCAATTTGACAAATGCACTCGTTCGATGTATCGCGCGATCAAGTTCACTCGTGTTTTTCAATTAGTATCAACTTTTATGTCATTGCGTATAAAATTTTAAACGTGTAAAGTATCATATCTGCTATTCTCGCAACGAACACTATCGACGTTGAAAAACATTCGATAATGTCGTCCAAATGGAACGAAAGATTAGTGACCAATTTCTTGAAAGTATATAAGCAGTATCCGTGCTTATGGAATCCTTACCACAAGGATTATCACAATTGCAGAGAAAAGAACGAAGCGTTGCAGAAAATTAACGACGAGTTCGGAACACATGGCTTCACCGTAACCGACTATTTGGAACAAATCAAGATAATAAGAGAAAAGTAATGTACGACAAAAGAACAAAACAATTATAGGTTATAATTAGATTTAATAGTATCGATGGCGGCGTATTTTGTATAATTTATTTAATTTTGATGTTACAAGTTGCTTCGTCGACGTTTTAAAGAGCATGATCGTAATTGCCATAATTGATAGAATTAAATAATTTGAGCGATTTTAATTTCAGTTCTTAAAAATGTTAGGATACGCTATGTAAACATTTCTTATATCAGTAATGTCGATGTTGAAACGAATGATTTTCATTGTCGTAGGTACAAGCAGGAGCAAACCCGAACGATCAAAGGATTGCAATCGCAGAGGCAATATAAATCACCGTTCCCCTGGTACAATCTAGTCACCGAAATGTTAGCAAAAGTGATCGACGATGAAAAAAAAACGAGTTCCGAGATGATTTTGAAAACCAAGCATCCGGGCGTGTCTGTATTGAAATCATTGAGCAGCGACAGCGTACGAGTCTCGCTGAGAAAAAAAACGAAACCCCTAAGAGTTCGTCCGTGCACAGCCGCGACTTGCGACGAGATCGTTAGGAGAAACAAATTACCTCGTTCCGATGGAAAAAGTAATCCAATACCGGACAAAGTTAACGAAGCAGGAACGAAATACGTACCCTGTCCAAGAGCAAGGACGTTGAGAAGTATTTCCAAAGACCCAGAAGAGGATAGACTTTCGAATCACAGGCCTACGAGAGACACCGAGTCGAAAGCAACGGGTAAAGAATTTATGGAAAATTTGGTAAATATGGCCAGTATTAAAAACAACCTTGCAATGTTCTTTCGTGTTTTTTCAGGCACTAAAATAAAAAGTGAACAATATTGTCAACTTAAAAATTGCATCTATAAATTCGAATAATTCAGACTGTTGATCTAACGTTTAATTTTTTGTTTTTTTTCGCAGGACATCCGGTGACCGTTCCATACACATCGATTGATTCGACACCCGACGATATAATAGGAGGATCCAATAAAAATTACGAACCACAATTTCTGCAGTGTCCTTTGTGCGGTTGGGAAGACGCAAAATATAAACAAACCGAAAGAAACACAGCGATACCTGTACTGGCGCAAAGAAATTTTATTCCCTGTTCCGATTACTATACTGATTATTCTCAAGGACGGTATACAGCATGCACCGGCTGCGATAGAAGTATGTGTCGTCTTTCCGCGAGAAGAAGGCACAGCGTGTTTCCATCCCCACTCTTGCTGCAGTCCGCTGATTGGCTGTCACCGATCTTCGTCGCCGTTTTCGACCAATACCTTGCAGTTACAGTCAGCGGACAGCAACAGGAGTGGGGATACAAACACGTTGTACCTTCTTGTGGAAGAATGGTAAATGAACGTCTAATACATTTTTACGTTTTTGAAAAAATGTCAAATCGAGTGGATATATAAATAGAATTCTATTTGCTAGAGACGATATCACGTTCCGATTATTCGACCAATTATGCGGATAATTCCGGAGATTTTGAGATTCTGAGAGGCCTGTTGAAACAAGTACCTGTTAGATCAATCATGAAGTCGGTAAAGGACGTTGATGTTGAAGTACAATGCGACAAAGAAGCCGAGAAAGTGATTAAGGATGGAATTTTTGTACGTGGACCCGTTCAGTCACAAATCGTACAATTCGATCCTGCGTTAACAAATAAATTTCAAGGTGCCACCATAGAGGCGTGCACTCGATTGGAAATTGTCCTGTCGAACTCGAAGGAAACTGAGAAACAGAACAGGTTCCCGGCTCAGAGCGTCTGTCAAAGTACACAGGGAATTCAATGTATGAGATTGAAATCATCTACGAAAGAGACGCAATTCTCTCCTGAAATAGTTACTCCCGTGGACAAGACAAAGGAGACAGGTGTCAACACCGTGAATTACGTCGAACGAGAGACACAAGACACAATTTGCGTGTCAGATAGAACGAGACGTTGCGTCTCCCTTCAAACCTTGAGTCAACATTGCGTTAAAGATCCGGTCCGTACGATGGAATCAAAGGAAGTAACAGTGAATATAATAGATAAAGCATCGAAAGGGATTCAGAGCACAATGTGCGTGTCGCGTGGAAGTTTGGCCCGCTCTTCGTCCTTCGGAAGAGCGAAGGCCACTGAAACTACACCGTTTGTTCATAAAATTCGTAGCGGCCTTTGCGTCGCTACTAATTGTCCTGACGAACATAACTCGAACTTTGATCGACACGTTGGTACTAACGCGCAATGTTCATCCGTGACTCGAGCCAAGTCCCATGAATCTATAACATGTTGCATTCAACGTACGGATTCGAAGGAATCACAACAATTCGAGGCTCCGTGTAAACTGGACACATGTCCACGCAACATAAGCGAAATTATTAAGGATCCTACCGTAGCATTCATGTTGCAACAATTACTTTACAAGATGTTGTCATCCAGGATTGAATCCAGCACACAGAATACAAAATCATTGAAAACGTCGGACGCTCAGACTGATCGTAAGTTAATATAATTCTTAATAGAGAAAATTATAGAGTCTCGTCGCTGATTCTCAATCCTTGCAGGAATTTCAAAGACTTACGTAACAAGTGTTGATTTCAGACAGACCTAAATGCAACGAGAGAAGGAATTGCAAGGTCGACGTAACCGAAATGGTAGGGAAAATTAAAGAATTCGCAACGAAGGCATTAGGGTCGAAACAAATATTTGCAGAAGCCGAGGCACCTAACGCTGTCGTGCATAAACCGACAATGATCGAGAGAAGTGATTTTGATCCATTGTTCGAGTCTACCGGGATTATTGAGGATAAGGTTCAGCGTTTCTCTGCGGACGAAACGGGATTATTGAAAGAAGGAAACAAATTTCCAGCTGAGAACAAAGAGGTTTCGGTTTGTTCAGAGTGTCGAGATATTGGAACCAGTAGGTCGTCGTCGCAATTGCCTGTTTACGACGTCGGAATTCAATATAGATCGCGATCGTTAGAGGATTCCGCATTTACGAACAAATATGAAATGAACGAACGAAGGAGGATAAGCGTCGGTACTCAGAAGCGAGATCCTATATTGGTTCGAGTGATAAAGTGCAACGAGAGCCAAACGATTATGAAATTTGATAAAGAGACGCTAACCACGGCCAGCGATGTTGATCTTGGAAAAAGATACATCGACAAGCATGTAGAAACGTGTGGTCGATCAACTTGTCTGTCTTCTGCAGTTTATCGGAAATTGAAAGGATTAAACTTAGAATCCGCTTATGAGAAAAAATACAATTATCAATTAGAAAGCGATGATCGTCAGCGGTCGTATAAGAATTACATATGTGATGAGAATTGCAAGGATAATCACGATCAGGATTGGACGGACGTTACGAATATCGAGTCGTTTCGCAATCCCAATAATTCCAAAATCCCATTATGCGTGAGGCCGCGTAAATGTACTTTCGCGAACTGCAAATAATTGGAAATCGACGATGCAATAAAATGTTAACAAAATGAGAATATGCACATAATTTTATATTAAAATACTTTTAACCCCTTCCCGTGGCATTTAGCTGGACGAAATCCGTAACAGAGATTATAAGAATCGTGACCGACTCTTGTGGCGTACCGATAGGAACTAAAACTCAATCACGATCGTCATTTGCTGTCCGCGAGCCTGGCTCGTGATGTTTACGTTTGGACCAAAAATCTTCATCACGAGTCAGACTCGTTAAAGTACGGGAAGGGGTTAAACAATACCGGTTTTCATTTTCAGTTACATAAATTAAGGAGATGGTAAAATAGGCCAAGAACGTAGAAGAACAAACTTCGTTTTATTACCTGAAAATGTACAACGTTCTGACAAATGGAACATTATATGAAAATTGAACAAATTTAATTTTCGTGGTAAATTATGTTCACATTGTTGAGTCGAAGGCAAACACTTGATACATGCAAGTACGTGTGGTAAGTACCAAACATTGGCATCTAATTGTAATAAAATAGTATAAAAGAGGTCTACGTCTCCTCGTTGTTTACTTATTTTTTTTTTTACATATTTTATAATAATACCTTACGCGGGCGATTTTGATTTACGTATTTTATTATCGGAATCTTATCACTGAAATATGTATCGAAATTATGTAACGTTCAACTTCGTCAACCTGAGTATGTTTATTCATCTCTTTGTAGTAAATACCACACGATAAATTCGACGATTATTTGTCGTTGCTAGCTGTATGCCAGTATTAGGATATTTTTAACTGGCCTTAATAAGTTCTAACATGCACTTATATTATAAGAGAATTTTCATTTCCCTCTATAAACTGTCGTATCAACAACTTTTAAATTCGGTCGCTAGAACATGGAGAGGTACTTGCACTCTCGTCCATAAGTCATAATACATTACACGAGTTAACAATTATGAAATAAAATAATGGTCATAAATTATAAAATGAAACTGACAATTATTTGTTCGTTATACGTATAATTTTTACTCGTTGCATATTTATTCTGATTTTATACACGTTTTATAAAATGTTAAATAAAGTTGCAATTTAAAATGAATAAATGTAATAAAGCAAGATAATAAGGTCGCTTCGGAAAATTGTACTTGTACCTTAATTTGCATTTTCCAAGACTTATGGACGGTAGCGTGTAAAAGATATTTCCCCTAACACGAGAATCTAGTATCATACTCGCGTTAAATATAATATTTATGAAAAATAACGCATTTATAAATTAATTGTTGTCACTGAAAATGACATTAAAGATACGTTCGTTAAAAAACAAAATTGGATTATTTGCGGCGAGCGTGTGCTTAAATTACATCCTTAGTTACGTCACCAAGGTATTGTTAACAGCTATAATACTGTTGATTCGCCCAGTTGATTAACCCCTCGACGACCTAACCCATATCTCATACGGACCCTATGTTTTTCACACGACTCCCGAGTCCGTATCGGATACGGATCTATAAAATAGATCGCATCTGCAGTTCCCTTGTTTACAGTCCAATCCATTATAATCCAGTTGATATTATGTATTGCGTAGATTAAAATTCAAATATTTTCGTTATTCGTCTAATTTTGTTAAAACTTGGTACGAGTAGTCTTTATACGTTTATCAAATCAAATTACGGAACACCCCTATAGTGATTGAAATCACACTCCCCTATACGCATATCGCTCGTCGTTATTAAAATATGTATAGTAATAAATTATTGTACTTCTGATATTTAATGATTTGTCGATGGTCACACTTTAACATGCGAGTATCGTACGACTAGTTTAAATTGAATCCATTCATTGCTTCCAATAGCAAATCGTTGCTAATATTAAAATCAATTTCTTAGATGGCTTTGCGTACCTATCGAGAGGACAAGAGAAAACGAAATATATGTTTCCAAGTATTCTGTCTCGTTTTCCCCAGGTAAACTTACGTAATATGCGTGTAGTATTATTAAAGGGTGTACGTAAAAAAATATACGAACATTTTAGTCCTTCTTCTTGGCATCTGCTTTCTCGTCTTTAGCTTGGCCGCGGCCCAGCAATTTGGCTAACGAATCCCAAATTCCTCCGAGGAATAATGCGCAACAGAGATTTTCGAAAGGTACAAACGGATCGTGAATACCTAGCAAAATGGACGATAGCTGAAACAAAGTTGATGCTTAATTAATATAAGCAAATGATCCATTTGAGCTGATATTTAAAACAAGCTGAACACAAAATTTCAAGGGTAACAATTAGTACAAGAGAAATAATAGTGCTTAAAATTGAATAAAAAATTTCTGTACCTTGAAGTACACAAAGAAGATAACAATACCAAAGTAAACCAATGCATGAGGTGCCGAAATGAGATCAGTCTTTTTATCCAGGACGAAGATGATAGATGCAACCATCGATGCTTTTGTAGGGCTGGATAAACAAATTTTTATGTAAAATACCTGCTTTTCATAAAAAAAAACGAACTGCACTTACAAGCTGGGTTGCATAAGTTCCATAGCTGTTGGAGTCCATACCCCTCGTATAAGACGCTCGAACAATTTTGTAAAGCCTGCACCGTTTCCTGCAAACGAACACAATTATGTTAATCTCATGATTATCATAGATATCTCTTCAGTTTTAATTTTTTCCAATGCTGAAACTAACCCTTGAGTGTTCCAATTAAAATCATTATAAGATATGCATTCGGATACAGTTTTCCTGCATGAGTTACCCCATCGTACACTTTTTTACACCTATGAACAGTTAAACCAAAATCGGAAGTATAAATTTGAATAATAGGAACGACAAAATGGATAAAAAATATTTACCTATATATTTCTTTCAGAGTAGCGCATACAAGTTTTACCGGTAGAAATTTGGCTACCTTGTATCCAATATCAAACGGTGTATAAAATATCACATACCTGTATAATTAACAAACTAATTTAAATTAAAAGCCACGCAAACACTTATCTCTGTTTCGATGCTTTTGATTTAAGAATAGATCAAGTGTATAAAATGTATTAACAAAACATGTTAAAGCAATTCTCAAACAGAATGTTTGCAAGTATATAACAAACTATTATCCTTGCTGCGATTAAGCATATACTGACCAAACGATGGTTGCAACTATCACTTGTGGTGTATTTTTCAGAGGCGCAAGGATCGGTTCCCCTAAAAGACCATTGCATAGCATACCGCTAGCAAATACTACCAACATCGTTGAAAGCCAACATGACAGGGGATGTTTCCGAGAAAATGCTTGAGCACCTATACGATAAAATTGTAAAATGATATAAAATCAGACTACTTTCTGGAAATTTGAATCAGAGGTATTTTAACAAATTGGTGCAAGTTATGATTTCTGAATTTTGTTTGCCATATTACTAGTACAGTTCCTATATGCGAATAAGAAATTTAAATATTACAAAAATATTGGTGAACAAAAGTAGAACAGAATATGAAACAAGGGATAACGAACGTTTTCAAATAAATTATTCATAATATGTATATGGAAAAGACAAAAATAAAATTAGTGTATATGATAATACATTTCAACTTACGTTAATTAAACGGACGAATCGACAAATAAATACATTCTTTTTCCTTTGGGGGGAGGGAGGAAATTAATTTTTATTGAAAAAACGTTAATTTTTCGTTTTGTCAATAAATGGAATATATTCCTTGTTCGACCACGGCGCATATTTTGTGTAAACATTCAAATATTCGTATATACACGGGGTTGTATAAAGATGACATTATAAAGAAAGTTGACAGAAAAACTGTCTGCAAAGTTTATGAACATTTATGATACAATGAAATATCAAGGGGTCGTGCTGTTTCAAGTAGGTCGGTTAGAATCCCCACAAGTAACACTATATTTCACAGATACGGGCAAACATGAACATGTTTTCCTAACAAGTATTAAAAAATAACCTTTTAATCGGTGGTAGGAAAAGCTCCTATACCGAATTAATTTTACAATTTATACAAGTTATACTTTTAAACATAAGGGCAGAAAATTCTATAAAGTTAATCACAATGGTCAAAAAGTTTATACGTCTGGTGTCTTGTTTTTAACTCGAGCCTTTAAAATAATATTATTACCCGCGCTCGATTATACTCGAATGCACCAATTAAAAAGGTTAAAATCATTAACGTATACATTAAAATATATAAGAATTTTCAAGCAATAGATTTGACATCACAAAGTAGTTTCATATACGGAATTTAGCAACACGAATTTTTAATAACAAAGTATAAAATGCAATGTAAATGTTACAGAAAGTCGATGAGACGACTCTGATTGTCGAATGATTTGTCCTTCGTGCTTCGTTGCATAAGGAAGTCATTGAAAGAGAAAAATTCGTAACCGAATGTAAAAACATTTTATATTATAAATTTTCTCTTCGACGAATGTTTAGAAACAAATTGTCAAATATTCGTAGACAGTGAAGCCACGGAGCAAATTTTGAATAAATCTGGCCTATCTACAAGGGTGTATACTGAAATAGATTAGCTGGGTTGTTTCAGTGAATGCCACAAAATAAGATTATTATAATTGTGCCAAAAACGATATAAGAACGAACGTCCGATATCGTACGATATTCGCATATCTCTCAGGCATCGAATGTCACGAAAGGAACAAAATTACGTTGTCATTCTTCAGGAAATTTCCTCGATGTCAACAGTATTTAATTAACATATTCGGAGATGTTTGCTGTTCGCGATACGAAGGCCTAAAATTAAACGAATCTTCGATTTGCAAATAGTGTGGTGTAAAAATAGTTAAAAGCTTAGAGGCGTACGAAAATACAACCGATATATCGATAATCTGATAAAATTAAACGATTCTCGTTCCTTAAAAATAAGGGAGAGGAGACCGCGATATTTTGCCCGGTAGAGCGAAAATGGAAAAATGATATCGAATCAAAGAGATGGTAAAACGATTACTGAAACGTTTAGAAAATACAAGAAACACCACTGTGCGTGGAGAAAATAAGGACAGAGGTTTTTTAGGAGCGAAACATAATTGTAGAAAAGGCATAAGCTAGCTCTGGGCGGATTAAATTTAGAATCGGTCGGGTGGGCTTGGGCTTACCGGGTCCTAAATCTTCTCTGACGTGTAGTGCACAGAGAACACAGTGCGCGATGTCGAAGTACGGGAACATTTTCAATTTAATGACCTGATTGGCCATGTCCAGGAATGCTTCAGGATCCATTTTGATTAGATTTTACACAATTTTCGAAACACCAGCGGCTTTTGTTCACGAGAAACGTGTCTTTCGGCGTTCGACGATGTTCGATTTAAAACACAGTCTCGAGCGCCCGCGAACGACGCTAGCTATGCGCCGTCTGCTAGACTTGGTCGTCTGCTAGTTATGGAACCCAGCCACCTACCATTATAATACAAAAAAAGAAACCTTATCATCGAACGAGCAAATTTTCCAACCTCTTTGAAACTCTTCTCTACAGATGTCAGTAAATGATCATATACCCCGGCGACATCGCTATCTTCTTCCTTATCGACGAAGAAGCAGCGCCATCTAGCATCGAAACCACATCGATTTTTGCAGAATACACCGTGTATTCTGCAAAATCATTAGATCTAACAATCTGAACGTGTATCACGTGTATTCAATACACGTGATACACGTTCAGATTGTTAGATCTAATGATTTTTTATTTCAATATAAAATAAGGTTTTTGTTATACAATATACACGTTATATCGATTATAATGGACAACGGTTCCTGTTAATATAAGAAATTATCGAAGTATACGATAACTTACTGTCATTTGTAAGGCCAAATTTTAGAAAGACCAAAATTTATTCGTTTGACGATAATTTTTTGCGCTGTAATGGCAGATGGCCGTGTTTCATATCTAATCTAATCTAGTTGTTTACCACATAATAAATACGTATTTTTCCAATTATTAAAAAATAAGGTTATGTAACGAGCCCATAGATTCAATAGCTATGTATAGTAGAATAGAGTATGCTTTAGAGCACCCATTTTAACACTATTTTTACCCCGATTTTATTTATACCTATTTGATAATTGTTAATGTGTACTATGTTATTTTTAATATTATATGTAGAAGCGTCTTTCGATGCTTTTAGTAGAAATAATGTTAATTATGTTTAAAATAATTCACGAACATTCAATTGTAATTATCTAGTCTGTGCTTTTGAATAAGGCTCTAAACGACATATGTATGTTTATATAACATTCTTTTGCTTAAAACGCTGTTAAAATTTGTGTTGGTCCTTAGCAATGGAATATAACAATTATAAATAAATTCTTTAACGCATCGAATGGAAATTTTCATTTGCCTGACAAAGCAAAGTGGCTAATGTTTTTATTCGTTACGAATTTCACTTTCGTTCGTATTGTTCTTTGGGGGCAATGGAATTTATGTCATTAATAATTAAATATCTTCGGCAGAAACTAATCGACCGATCACCCACGTTTGTGATATAACCGCTGACCAAGTATAGAACCTATATCGCGTCGGTGACATAACGTTGCGTTGTTTTCCGAAGATATACGACGATAATATTGATAGTGTAAATGCGCACATGATCGCAATATAGCACTTTTCATTCATGGAGCTGGAATATCCTGATATTTTTCGGTCATTTTGATTACATTTTTTAATGATCCTCTAGCCCGCAATCTTATCGCAATAAATAGCTTGTTTCTACTAACTCCCCTCCAAAGGCTATATTCAAATCGTACGGGGGTCTCAAAGTTCGCGTTATCTAGCATCAGGTGAATGAACATCTACACGAATCTTTATTAAAAAAAAATATGATGCACATATTTGATCAGCGTGACACACAAGTACAACGTGAAATTATGTAAACGAAAACACGACCATAGTTTGGTGAATTATCGTGACTATTAAGTAAAAAGAATAACGAAAGGTGGACGTATCGTTCTCGTTTGAATATTGCATTCATCAAACTATTATTCCATGTGAAATCGTTACCAAAACGATCCGCCGTTACCTTAATTTCTTCAAGGAACACAAGTATTAGCTTTGACCATAAATGCTTTCGGAAGACAATTAAAAAAACAGCGTGTTGTTTTGTTCGATTCGTGCAAGAAACTGAACATCGGAAATTTCGTTATTACAAAGTGTATATTTAACTGTCCACGTCTCGATGTACAGAACAAAATTAAGCAACTTGTCTTTCGCTTAATCCTAATCTAAACGTTTCATTATTTATTGAAGTGCCTTTTATCTTCCAACTTGGACAATGGTAACATTCTCTTTTGATTATTATGATTTCTACTGGTTCTTTCTGTTTTTTACAAATCGAATAATTTACTTTCAGAGAGATGGAGTTAGATTACGTCAACATGTTACAAAAAGATCCTCCAGCGATATACTATACGAGGACAAAACTTCTGCTAAAAAGAAAGACACACTGCCAAACGAAACGCAACACTTACTTTTCCTGTTCACATTTTTCCTTTTCATATCCCTTGCCATAATTGCGTTTGAAAAAAAGTTACCTGAACCACTGACGATAAGCAAAGAGGGGCTGTATCAAGGAAGGTTTATAGCAGAAAGAGCGCACAATCATCTTGTGAATCTTACATCCATTGGTCCACGAATCGTTGGAAGTTACGAGAATGAAGTGTTGGCCATTAAATATTTAACAAGCATCATTAATAATATAGTTAAGGAGGCCAATGAGAATCACAAGATTCAGATCAATGTGACTAAACACAGTGGAGCGTTTCCCTTAAAGTTTCTTGACGGAATGACAAATGTTTATAAAAACGTTCAAAATGTTATTGTTAAGATCAGTCCACACAGGCCCACACAGAACAGTTTGCTATTGAATTGTCATTTCGATACTTTTCCTGATAGTCCTGGTAAGGATCGAATGTCATTTGCATCGCATCGATACTTCTCAATCTAAATGTCGTTTACATAAACAAATTTGTTATAATGACTTTTCGTTATAGGTGGGTCGGATGATGGAGCAGGTTGTGCTGTGATGTTAGAAATTATACGCGTGATTGCTCATAGTTCAAAATTGTTGAAGCATAGTGTTATATTTTTGTTTAACGGCGCCGAAGAAAATTTATTACAGGTATCATTATGTTAAACGTGCAGAAATGAATAAGGAACAATGATTTACTGTATTCTTTTAAGTGCACAGTCTGTAATTGCATTTTATAGGCTTCCCATGGCTTTATTACTCAACATCCTTGGGCCAAGGAAGTCCGCGCTTTTATAAACTTAGAAGCTTGTGGCGCAGGCGGCCGTGAATTATTATTTCAGGCTGGACCTGATAGTTCTTGGATGCTTCAGGTAATATTTAATTATCTGTTTCTCTTCATTAGATAATTTTACCATTTGTGCCATTCTATGTTGCCTTTTTTTTTTATAGGTATATTCCAAGTTTGTTCCCTATCCCTATGCATCGTCGCTAGCTCAAGAAATATTTGAAAGTGGTATTGTACCTGGTGACACCGATTTTCGAATATTCAGAGATTTTGGAAATGTTTCTGGTACTCCATCAATATCTTACTTGGTTCAATCAACTGCTTCTCCGTATAATTGAAAAATTCGTTTATAACTGTATTCTTTTCTTTTAAATTACAGGTCTCGACTTTGCTTGGGCAACCAATGGTTACGTATACCATACGAAATTTGATAATATCGATCAAATACCGTTAGGATCTTTACAAAGAACCGGGGACAATATCCTTGCTTTATTGCAAGGAATAGTGTTAGATAATTATTTATCCGAAGTGGCGATTCAAGAGAATGCAGGGAATCTTGTATTCTTTGATTTCTTAGGCACATTTGTTATTAGATGGCCACAGTACGTGGCAAGTACAATTAATATCGTTAGCATAATTTCTGGTGTATATTCTATATATCTGAACACACATAGTGCTCGGAAAGGTATGTATGCGCTATTAATAACTCATTTACATATGATATTTATTGAAACTTTCTTACGTACGAACAGTGTTATACAGAGTGTTGGGCCACCCCTGGGAAAAATTTTAATGGGAGGCTTCGTTAAAAAGTTATTAACATTTAAAGTTCCGCCTGTAGAACCTTACTATTGTTTGCATTTTAAATCATTAAAATCCTTTACTCCGTCCGAAAGTTATGATTTTTTAAACATACACATGAAATTTGGGGGATACATTTCTGGCCACACGGTATATTTTCAGTAAAGAATTTTTTTCTCGAAAGTGGGTAGGATTTTGAGAGTATGTTTAATGACAAAAAATGATTGTAATTAACCCCCGCAACCAAAAATAATTTTTTTAGAATGATTTGAAATTTTTTAATTTAATTTTCTAATAACTTTTTAATGAAGCAGACAAGAAATTGATATTCTAGATTTTCTTCTTATTTTGGCCTCTAGAATCTCCCATTAAAGTTTTCCCCAGGGATGGCCGAACACCCTGTATATAATTGTAATAAAAGTTAAATTTTACGAATCTCTAATTTAGATGTAAAAAGGTCAATATACTTAAAGCATTTATTACTGTGTCTTGGAGCAATAACTGTTTCGTGGCTGGTATGTATAATTTCGTGCACGCTGATTGCTCTTGTCCTTACCAAGCTCGGAAAAGTTATGAGTTGGTACGCAAGACCGGCATGGTTGTTTTTCCTTTACGTATGCCCAACCATTTTTGTGTCGATGATGTTCTTCTTGTTCATGGGATCGCGTCAGAGGAAGGCGAGTAGTATTTTAATTTATTCAACGAACAATTCAAATATTGGTGGCAACTCCATATGGTAGGAAGTTGACCAAACTATATTACAACATTATTTATTGAATTCCATATCGATACTTTGCAGGAAGTTAAGTCTACATGGATTTTATATCAAATATACTGTGATGCATATTCCACGATATGGATGTCGATTCTATTCTGTTGTGTTCTATTTGAAATACGATCTGGTTTTATCCCGTTACATTGGGTCGTATTTCCTACGCTTGGAAATTTACTTCGATACAATTTCTTTAATAAATGGAGAGGTACAATTACTATTTATCATATTTAAAAAGAAACCGTAAGATTTGAAAAAGGATTAAAAACAAATCGATCTTTTTAAACTTCTGGATCGGAATATCTCCTTAGTGTACTAATATTTCTAATTCATTTTTGCTTTCAGGCTGGAAATGGCTCTTCTATTATTTAATTACGATGTTTTTACCCTATATGCTGTCGTTTTATCTAGTAATCGGAGCGTTGTATCTTTTCATTCCTATAATGGGACGATCTGGTAGTAGTATAAATTCGGAAGTTGTCATGGCTAATACGTTATCGATAATATTTTGCCTGCTTCTTAGTTTCACGGTAAGCTATGGAAGTTACCGTGAAAAAAGAACACACAAAGGAGAATTGTCGTGTATATTTTTGTAGTATACGTTTCTTTTTAGTTACCAGTTGTGCTTCTAATTAAAAATGCCGAACGAGTTCTAAGTGTATTACTCGGGATATTCTTAATAACTATAGCCGTGTTAATTTTAACACCGCTCGGTTTTCCGTACAGTGGCGATTTGACATCGTTGGCGCCGGAACGTTTCATGATCGCGGTAATCGATATTAGAAATTAAATACAATTATCTTTTACAAAATACAAAGTATTCCATAATATTAATGTTTAATTTGTAGCACACACAAAGACAATATTACGATGTTAATGGCAACTTACGGTATTCTGGAACTGGATATTGGATAGCAGATTTAGATATGAATAGTCCACATAGTGTGGAAGCTATGGTACCTGAAATAGGTGCTGCAACGCCAACAGTCAAAGATTGCGAACAAGAGCTGTATTGTGGCTTACCATACTTTATGCCAGTTACGACCTTTTTATGGTGAGCACAGTCAGTATTAAAATGTTTTAAAAACTGAAACAAAATTTAATTAAAATATCTTTAATATCAAAATATTAGGTCGTCCCATAAGTTCGTGCCGTTCAATATTCTGAAATTGATGAGGATAAAATTTGTAATCTAATAAAAAACAAAGAAAATTTGTCAGTTGAGGTGATTTCTGAAATTTCAAACATAGTGACATCAACAATTCATAGAAATTTGAAACAAATAGATATTGTGTCAAAGTTCGAAGTTTGGAATTCACACTAGCTTATGGAACAAAATTCTTTTAATCGTGGTAGAGCCTGGTTGCGTAAATATTTCTGTTAGCATATAATAAAACCGAATCTTATAAGATATAAAATATAACAATCTCCAGGCTTATTAGTGGATAAACAATTTGAAAATGGCAACGTTTTAATGAAAAGCGTTAAACTAAATTTGAATAAAATATCCAGCAAGTTTTGGAGCGACGATACAATGGCTTTGCCAAAAGAAGGGGAAGGAGTTGTTCAACGAGAAGAGGTTTACTATTTTTCATAAAATTCCATCATATGTTTAAAATATTACTTCAAGTTGCAGTAGAAAACTCGGCACGAACATATTGGACGACCTAATATTAACGTAATATTAATCGTAACCAGAATTGAGTTACGTCTAATGTCATTTAATGATAAAAGTTTTATTTTCTAATAATTTAAAAAATATTTCCAACAGGAAAACAAGTTGGATTCCAGGCCCTGCGCCACTTATCTCTACTCCAACGAAGCTCGACCTTATTTCAAAATCAATAAGGCAAAACATTGTCAGCTTCACGTTCAATGTTACAGGTAAATTTGTGACGAGCACGTGTATTCTTAAACGATGATTGAAAATTGCATTAAAATTTTTTTACACAGGACCCGATCACATCAGTATAATTTTGTCACCGTACAAAGGGGTTTATTTACAAAGATGGTCTATTTTAGAAGGTAAAGCATTACAAGGACCTAAATGGAACGATAGAGAAACATACTTCGTTTATTATTCCTGCGCATCTTACTGTGCTCCGTATACGTTTTCTCTGGAACTGAATGTAAGTGTAACGAAGAAAACAATTAATTATATTTTGTATACAGGGTGTTTGGTCATCCCTCGGAAAAATTTTAATGGGAGATTCTGTTATAATTGTTAAAAGTTATTAACAATTAAATTCAAAAAATTCAAATCGTTCTGGAAAAATTATTTTCATTTGCGGGGGTCAATTACAATCATTTTTGGTGAGTAGACATACCCCCGAAATCCTGCGCATTTTCGAGAAAAAAATTCAGTACAGACGGAACTTTAAATATTAATAAGTTTTTAACCAAGCCTCCATCAACAAATTAGTATTCTTGATTTTCGTCTTATTTTGGCCTCTAGAATCCCCCATTAAAATTTTTCCCATGAATGGCCGAACACCCAGTATAATGTATATATGTAATGTATATATATTTTTCTACTTAAATAGGTGACGACTATGCAAAAGACTCCGTGCCTATCAGTAGCATTGGGCGGTCATTTTCTGCACGGTGAACACAAAAAATCTCTAAGATTTAAACGTTTTTTGTCTCAATTTCCATCTTGGACGGTAGTCACATCGTGGACTGCGACGTATACTTCTTGGCAATTTTAATATGCGATATCGAACGATTATTCTAGATTGAAATAGTCAGTGGGGCCTAACGAAAACTGCGCTGTACGGAGCGTATTACTTGATACGTTTCGGAGCCATGCAAAAATAACATTGCAATCTATAAGCTTAAGACTTAGGGTAAACGCAGATTATACGCTAATTTCTTGCAACTGCAATACAATAAGATACATCGATCAACGTTAAATGAGTATTGAAGAATGAGATGTTTGTCATTCTATTTATATAAATTTTTTACTAGTACAGTATTGGTATAGATAACATTTTTGGAGTAGTAAGACGTTGCTTTCAACGCGAAAGGTGCAAGAGTACTTGGAGTAACATTTATCTTATACAGTTGAGATTTCACTAATTACAGTTAATCTATTTGTAGAGATTCAGTATGATGGAGCATATCAACTCTATGCCTTAGAATAATTACCGCTACGTTTAATTTTTAAACGCTAGAGAAAATATTGTTACAGACCAATTAATCTGTAATAGCGAACTAGAGGATTATAAAAATTCATAGGTTCGATATCTATCGCCGTACGACGGTTGTCTTTTTATCTTGTTATCTTCGTATTAGGAAGTACAATTTTAAATAATCATTCAAAATTTTACAAACCGATGTAAAGAACAGTAATACAACAAACAAAAGTTTCAAAGCACAAATGCAACAGTCTGCTTCACAAACGTATTAAAATAATTGTAACGATTGTTTAATATCGTATTAATTATTAATTTTAGTATAAATTACCGAGCATAATAATTTTAACATCGCAATAGAATTGTCTGGTTATTGCATACACATATTTTTTTTACGAATTTCGTTCGTTCATTTCCTTTATTTATTCTGTTACATAGTTGTACATTATCTCTTTGTTTACGATATGTAAAACGACAATTTTATAATGAAAGAATAGCTTTAATTGTTAGCATTTATACAAGCGATACGATTTGTTTGAGTCATTTTAGTTTATATCTGTTGTTGTTTAGGAGACTGAACTTTATTTATGTTTTATCGTTCTTTATGGTTGTTTATTTAATGATGTTAATGAATGTATGCAATAATTACTACAATTTAGTAACTAACGTTATACGTTTTAATTCTCTTGGTGCATCGATAACGGGCAGTCTACCGAATTAAGATGTTTCTAATTAAAATACAATTTCGAAGAAAATGTAATTTAATTCAAGTATTTATCGAAACGCTACACGTTTAAATCTAATTCTAAGAAAGTTTTGCCAATATCGATAGCCAATTATGTAACCACAAGTAAGTCCAAAGTATTAATAGAGCATAATAACAAATAATTTACCAAATTTGGTAGACCCGAATTCATATTTCGCTACAAATTTGATCAGTTACCGATGTTGAATTCTTCATTCCTACGTTTGATCCTTTGCGATTTACTTGTAAGTACGATTCTTTGTTGACTGACTTCTTTTAAAAAAAACTACTACGTGTTCAATGTGTATTGCCAAACATGCTAAGTACGCAACTTTCATTGCACAAATGTTATTGCGATTCTACTTAATAATGTTGCACAATGTTAAGCGTCTAAATATGAATTAATTTTTTCTATTGTACGATCTTCGTTTATGGTATTTTAATTATACACGCACGGAGACGGATTTATAATGATTAAAATGTTATGTTATTTTAATTTATAAACATAGATCTCTGTTACTTGAGACGACGATTTTAACTGATTTACCGTTATTAAGTCGCGTCGTGAAAATTAATAATGGTATCTCGATAATTTTGTTGTTCCCAAGTTTTTATTTTTACTAGTTTATTCAGTTACCTACATGTTCCTGCTTGTATGTTATTCTTATTTAGTGATTGTTATAAAACGAGTAAAGGTTAATAGGAATGATCAATAAAAAAAGTTGAGAATTGATTTTTTTCTTTCACGATGATCACACCTCCTGTTAACTAAAATTATACTATATGTATAGTTATACTATATGTATTAGTCGCTGTAATCGTTTGCTGCTGTTCATTGATCGATCGAATCAATTTCCTGTTTCCGAAGCGCTGTCGATTACGTAAATAATCGAGTTCTATTACCGAATGGAATCAGTATGACACACATTGCAAAAAAAAAAATAGAAGAATTATCGAACCGTGACCATTTTAAAAAAATATAAGGTAAAGGTACCCAGTTTTCGATACTCTAAACTGCTTTTGTCAGAGTTCAAATACTTTTGTGGGCCACTTCCAGTACCTGCGTACAACAAATCTGTTGTAAAAATGATATACATGGTACTCAGCCACCCCTGGGAAAAATTTTAATAGGAGATTCTAGAGGCCAAAATAAGACGAAAATCAAAAATATTAATTTGTCGATGGAGGTTTCGTTAAAAAGTTATTAACGTTTAAAGTTCCGCCCGTACTGAATTTTTTTCTAGAAAGTGGGTAGGATTTCGGGGTTAGGTCTATTCACCAAAAATTATTGTAATTGACCCCCCGCAATCGAAAATAATTTTTCCAGATCGATTTGAAATTTTTTTTTTTTTCCATCGAAAAATTTCACACCTCGAATTTTTTTCTAGAAAATGGGTAGGATTTCGAGGGTATGTCTAATGACCAAAAATGATTGTAATTGACCCCCGCAACCGAAAATAATTTTTCCAGAACGATTTGAAATTTTTTAATTTAATTTTTTAATAACTGTTTAATAAGGCCTCAGCCAAGAAATTAATATTCTTGATTTTCGTCTTATTTTGGCCTCTGGAATCTCCCATTAAAATTTATCTCAGGGGTGGCCGAACACCCTGTATATTGTTACATTATTTTCTAATTTTACTTGTGTAATCTTAGGACCTGTCCGTTGTTACGTATATCATGTTGTTTCAAACGCTTGAACGTTATAAATGTAAGCGTTCGAATACTCTCGTGTAATTCTGGAGTCCGTCAGTCGCGGACGATAAATTCTTTTGTGGACTCGATGGTGCACTAACATCCAGGTTTCGAACGATCAAGGATAGGTCGAATATCCGATTGTTCCCTCTCTTTCTCTCGTGTTTCGTAAGAAATGTGTCAATATTGACGCGCCGGTATCCTGTAAGACGAGACCGATTTCCTGGTTAAAGCGAGCCCGTGGCTTTCGTGTCGTGACACTGATCTGCAAACGGGTCGTGGCCCCCGACGTTCGAGGTACGGTTCCTCGAACGTTTTGTCGTTCGCGAACGAAAGAAAAAAAAAGGAAAAAAAAGAAAAAAGAGTGTCGATTTTGGAACGCATAGCGATAAATCGCGAATACGCGATCGAGGAAGATATCGGTCACGGTTACGCGATAAGCGATACACTGCGCTGATATCCAGATAAGAAGTCTCGAGCGCCTAACTGAAATAATATACCATTTTTCGTGTTAGTCTCATTAGGCGTCGCGCTTTTACAATTACCGTAATGGAGATTACCGTTTGAAAAATTATAGTCGACAATAAAGGTTCGATGTAAACGGATCGATGTAGTGTCGAACTGTGCGATATCGGACTGATTGGCGGGAAATCACGGATGTCAGCGATCGTTGGGGAATCGATAGTGATTGGACCTCGTCGACTATTTAGTTGTTCGAGTCCTCGACGAAAGGAACAAGGTAACAATATTTTTTACATCTGTGATAATGTTGGTTGTTATTAGTTGAGAGTATATACTTGAAAAGAGTTTAGAAACCACTACTCTTACAAAGTGGTTCGAGTCTAATCTTCTAATCAGTTCGAGCAGAGTATCGAAGGTTTGTATTAGCGCGACAGTTTCAACATACCTAATCATCGTTAATTGTATCGGGGTCTTGTAAATTAAGGTATCGTGCAATTATGAATCGACTGTAAAATGGCTTGTTGGCCGAGCGGCCGACAGGTGCGACTCGTTATCGTCTGCCTCTCAACTGAAGTTAATTATTATTTTTAATGATCGCTATATTTAGGATGCAACGAACGCTGCTCGCATGGCAAGCCCCGTAAAAGGCAATTAACAATCAATTATTTGTCATGATTAATCTTCCTCCTGACATAGCAACAAGATACAACGAAATCCTAATGAATTATATTTACGAGAAAGCCTTGTCCTAACATTTAAGATGATATCGATCGATTCCTTAAAAATGCCTATCTAATTAAAAGCCCTGAAAATTATTCGACATTTGAGGTTAATTCTTTTTTTACCTCCTTCCACTGTCCACGAGTTTCTTCCGACAGATATTTTCGAATAACGTTTTACGGTTACGGTATCGCGATATCGAATATTGTCGCGGCCTGAGATTCTTTTGGGCTAATCTTCGCGATGAACTGTACCTGTTTGTTCTTCGATTAGCACAGACTCCTATCGTTGCAGAATTGCTCGACAGACTAACTCATTTGCACGGCCTACTTCTCGCGAGATTCCTGCTTCGTTACGCCTTTCGTTCCCCTCTTCCCTTTGCTCGAAGGGTGGCAAGCGTGACTTTCTTTCATACGATAGCATTTTTAGGAAAAGTTCATTGGCCATCGAACACGTACACTTTCGAACGGCGTAATAAAAACGTTATTACGAGATGACTCACCCTCGAAGCCACTAGCTGCAAAAGAAACATTTGACCGTTGGCGAGTAACAGGCGCTTCCGTCGGTCCATTTTTCACAACAGAACGAAATTAGGCATCCAAAATATCCAGAACCGGATGGACGGTACGCGCGCTCATGCATAACGTTTCTTTCGTTTCGTTCGTGTAAGTACTACGCCGTTCCACGGTCTTCTATATGCATCCTCGCGGTACGTGTTTCGCTTACCGATCGATTATTCCTCCATGGGTTTTTTTCTCTCCTTCCTTCGGCGATGGCTTGTCACGTGAACGCGTCGTCGAAGAACAGAAGGAAAACGGTAGCTCGCGGATCACCAAACACTGCGAGGACTTTCTCCGCGATCGTTCGTCGTTCTGCCTACTAATCCTTCGCATTTTGCTTTTCCTTTTCCTTTGCGTCTATCTCCGCGTCTTCTTTACGTTCCCCAGGTTCGATCCTGTATTTGTCCTTCGCAGGGCAGATTCACGATCGTACGAACTCGATAAACTTTGGTCTTTCCTGGGTTAACCTAAACTTGCGGACAGTTCGCGTAAGAATTATCGATCGATTCTGTAACTCGCGGAGGGTCAAGAAGTCGAAGATCGAGACGGATGAGCCTGCAAGCAACGAGGGAACGACAGTCGATAATATCGATTGCAGTTCACGGAGGCGTTATCAATATGCAGATCGATAGTATTCGTACCGATGCAATTCTTAACCTCTTTAGACTATTTTCCAATGAAATAAATTTGCAAATATCGAAACAAGTAGTAATTGTATGATGCTATAGTTGGTGAGTAGGGAGGATGAAGTAAAAGATCTCAGCCAAATTAATTTTTATATGTTAAAATAAAACAGTTCCGCTAACTTTTTATGTGCAGGTTCAATGACACTAAAACTGATGAAATTGTTTGGATATTAGTGTTCCAATTAACCCGTTATAGGTTATAAAATCATGACACTAAAAATACTATATTTATAAAATAAAAATTGCTGATCAGGATGTCAATTAGGGTCATGATAGAGACTAGATCCATAGTTATTGTTGACCAATGTTATCAACGATAGCTTATAGTTAATATCTCTTTCGATGTGTTATTCAATCAAGCTTACGGCTTGTATAATCGAATCACATCGAAGCGTCAATCTATCGAATCGGTAACAAAACCTTCGAGCGGACACCCGAAGAATCGACTCGTTACGGTGTCATCGATAACCGTTCTATCGATCAGTGGAAACGCTGGAAAGGGTCGGGCGTAGAAAACAACGACGGGGCCGGGTAAAGCGTGTCCAACGTTTGCCTGCGTGCACGTACGAGCATGTATGCGTACAACGACGAGAGTATGATGTCACCGGTCCGAGGTTGGTATTTGGTACAGGGGAACGCGTGATCTGCATGAAAAAACCGCGACACGAAGCGGCGGCTTGCCGAGCGATTTGGTCAGTCGGTTCTTCGCCATATCCGGTCACCGTCGGGCACACGCGCGCGCTACCGAGAACCGGAAGTCACGGAGACCACGGGGGATCCACCGAGCGTGCCCCAAGACTCCTCGCCTCGGACGCTTTCTACATCTCTGCGAGTAAGTTTTCGTCCAACCTTAGGACACTTGCCACGAATTTTTCGGACGCGCTTCCGGCAGCTCGGTCGCGCGATTCCTCGTGGAACTTCTTGCGCGCGAGCGCGCGTAGCCTTGCTTCTCGAAGATTCCGAGAACGTTGCCGTTGCACACAGCGATCGGATTTTAAACAGTTTTAATTTATACACACTCGTGTACGAGTCCTGAAATTACATTAGTAAAATTAGAAAATGATTCTACAATTTGTACCGCTTTTATTGTAAATATGTACAAGTAATTTATATTCTATTATTAGTTCGGCGGAGTTCCGGTGTTCGTTTTGGCCACGTTTTAAAGGGTAGGATCTTACCATTTTTTAAACAAAAATTGGCTGTTACTACCTGTTTTGGATGTGTCCGGAAAAAACAACCACCATTGCGCTACCTTCGCCATGCTTTACAGTAGGAAATTGGTAAACCAAATCTTTTTTTCTTTTTCACAACTTCCTTTTGTCGCTAAAAACTATTTTTGCCCAATCAGGTGCGGTTCAATGGTCATCTCGTAATTTTGGCAAACAGTGATTCTCTTTACGAGATCCTAAGAATTATTTACAAACTTTAATGTTTGATTAAAGAACAATTGAATTTTTATTCGCTGGAATCGCTGTTTGGCCCACCGTGCATCGTACCGGAAGATGGTAATGCTTTAAAAATGGGCAATACGCGGATCGGAAACAACGGAAAGCAAAGCAAGAAGAGGAAGGACCGGTGAACGCCGTCGGGTATTTCCCCCCGACCAATGGAACAAGAAGGGAGCCATCATCCCCTCTCGAGTGGCTAAGGCTTTGCTCTTCTCCACATCCGGCGTCGTTCCTCGACGTCTTCGATGCCGCGACGCCCACGCTATCAGTTATTTGGCTAGCCTCCAGCCTCGTGCAGGTGTCTCTCGAATTTACGCGTCGATCACGCGCGACTTTCTATCCGCTGTTGTGTCCTCTTCGTCCCCTCGGAGACGTTCGTTGGCGCCGACGAGGACGTTGGAGCATTTCGAGTATTCGATCTCCCTTATCGGAGATATTATTCAAACGCGATCGTACGATCATCGATACCGATCGATATCAGCGATTTATCTTGTGAAGAACTTCGCCGATCGCCGCGAACGACACTGGATAGATCAAGTGAGTAATTATCATTATCATTATTTGAAAAAAAAAACTATTATTATAAATCAGAGTGGTAATTTTGTTTATTCTTGTTTGGTCGAGAATGTCTACTATGAAAGCGCAGGAAGAAAACAAACTTAAAATTGTATTTCTATAAAAGTTAAAGGGATTGTTATTTTTAAACAAATTATTTTTTACCGTTTTAATAAATTTAATTTTGTTGTAATTTCAAGGCAATCGATAAATTGTCAATTGCAAGTAACAATTTCTCGTGAACGGGCTTCTTCTTGCGTACTTTTGATCACCATTATTATCGCTATCATTACGATTAATTATTTTCAGAATTTGGATTGTTCCAACTGGACGCCTCGAAGGCAAGATGTCGGCATAGCTGATGTTTTCCAAAATTCGGCTGTGTCACATCCAGCCAGCCGAACGTCTGGACATCGACGCGAACCTCGTTTGGTAATATGTTTAAAACAATAACGACGACGGTCTTTGCTCGATGGCCCTCAAATAATGTACACCAAGGTGTTTTATTCGCGTAATATTTACAGTTATGACGAAATCAAATATCTCGACGGGTTTTATACGCCTAGTAAGTAAAATATCCGGCAAAACAAATTTTTCACACCGTGTATATGTATAACGTTCGTTTCTTAACCACTAAATCTTTGCAATTACGATAGCAAAGCTTGTTCTACAGGACGTAAGCGATAGGATCTTCCGCTTCTAACGATACAAGTTTAAAATAGCTTGAATAAATGAATTATTTTCTTTGAAATCCCTAGACAGTATTGACGTTTCAAACCAAGTGTTCATCTACATTTACAGTGTAATATCGAAAAGTCGTTCAAAGATAATACAAGATCATTGAAATCACTAATGACCATATTTACTATAGCTTTATAAATATGGATGTTATTTTATAAAAAATGGATAACCTGTTGAAATAGTTAATTTAACAATGTTTTACTTTTAAGGACGTCTGTCTACGCCCTCGTAACATGGTATCCAGGGGCACGTGCCCCTTTGGCCCCCGATCTTGGCATGCTCCTGGTTTTCAGAACAATTTGCTATTTAGTGGTCGTTTAATTTATTTTCGATTTATATCGAAATCCAGGGACGTTGCGATCGTTTCACGGTGGAAGCAGCGACGTTCACCGGCTGAGATTAAAACGGAGATTAACGACACGGATTTTTATAAATATCCAACGTGTCATATGCGATACACGTAAATCGTTTTTGACCGAACTTCTACCGGATGCGATGCCGTCTTCAATGGAAAGCGTTGTAACGTGCTGTGCACGCTAATTAATACATTAGAAGGACTATTCTTTCGATTCGCCGAGCCTGAAGTCTCTGGTTTAACCCTAAACGTCCTCCACAGGACGTACAGCCATTTAATATGGTACGAAGAAGGCCCAACAAAGCATTCATGTAACGTTAATGACAATTTTTACAAACATTAATATTTCTATGTACATTTTTCGTGACATAGTAATTTATATTTTGGTGCAAAAAGTAATTGTTGCTTGACAACAGTACCATTTCAGATCATTATGAGCGACTAGCAATGATCTGATTCTGTTTAAATAACAACGATAGTGAATAAACAATTCCAAGTTCGAAATAAATTATAATTATAATTGTATAGTGACGCTCCTAACAGTAGGCAACTCGATGCTTTGTAACCGTCGGAACCTCGACTGTGGAGCATGAATTCGTGCTGTAGTTGGATGCAATATTATTCGTATGCTAAATAACCAATCAAACCAACGTATAGTAATTTATTTGATCGAATGGTCAAATTTTTATATACGAATAGTCCTAATATCGACAACGGCCAATACTTATGATCAGCAATGCATTCATTGTTCTGCCGTTTCTTCGGTAGATGTCAGGAGAAGCTAGAAAAATGCATGTCAGCGGCCAGTAAGCGCAAGGATGCGCAAATGCAGGTTTTGTTACGGGATGTATGTGAAGAGGAAGATCATTTTGTCGCAACCGTACTAAATTAATAACATGTGAGAATTAGACAGAACGTTTAGTCGGTACATGTAATATGTTGTCGAAGAAATTAGAGCTTGAATATTAGACAGTTATCGCTAATTAGTTCCTTTAATGATCGAGGAGTCAAACAGTGAGGTTATGTTATTAAATCGGTGGTGGACACGATTTATCGTCAGTTTATTAACTTCGTGACCCGTACTATGAGCTTCGAACAAAAATGAACAATTCGAATAACAAAGAAACTATAAATCTTCTCGATTTGCTGTCGGACAGCGATACCGACGTGTCAGACTTAGTGCCTACACCCAAGAAGAAAAAAGTTAAACGGTAAGACGAATTGTATTATTCACCGTTCGCGTAACAGAGTCATTAGTATCCACATTTCTAAAGAGATTTCTTTTACGTTTGCAGGAAACACAGAAGAGGCAATGCAGTCAAAATGAAGCAGACCTACTCTTGCGGATGCGGCAAGTCAGATATGAGAATTATATCCCTGTGGTTGACTGCAATCTTAATCGTGTTCTGGTTAATTGCTTTGTCATGGCTGGCCGTAATTCTATATGGGGAAATTAAAAAAATGGATATTTCTATAAAATCAGGTAAATAGATTGTTACTCTACGCATAATATTAAGATAAATTGTTATTTTTCCTTCGCTTGTGGCAATGAATATTAACACATTGTACACCAACCGCTTAATATTGTGTGTTTTAAATGTTAACAGGCACCTATTAAACCTTTGCATTTTTCTTTAAATACGTACTATTTTGTGAAAATGTAAAAGGACTCCATTATTTTTAGAAAGTTCATTCCCTGTAGATAATGTCGGCAACGACATTTAGACGATCAGCAGCCGCTATTTAGCCAGAGTACAATGTGTTAAAAATTCTAATAATATTTATTATCGATTCGCGGGAAAGAAATACATCGTAAATGTATCTTGAAAGTTGCTTAAAAGTTGTTTTACGCCGCTTTTATTCTGGAACTAATAACGAAACATGTTTAAATGGTAAAGAATATTCGTTTCATCCATTGTTGTTAAATAATCTCACAAACAGTTCTTTACTTTATACACTTATTTTTCTTACTTTTACTTTACACGCTTTATGCTTTTTCAAAGTATCAATAGTTATTTATTATTGTTGTCGATAATACAGTCGATCGAGTGCAATAGAAAGTGAGCTATGTTGTGTATTTTTCTTAGTTCTTTTATAGTAATTTTCTTAGAAATATTTTAAATTCTCAATTATCCGTCGTGTTTAATTCCGATTTGTGATACTAGGCCGTGCAGTCATGCGAATATTAGGTATATGTATAGTTGAATATTCTACACGCTACTGTAATACATTATTGTATAAAATAAGGGACAAGTACTTCGCTAAGAAGAACTCGATGCGTTCGCGTTTATACATAGCACGATCAAATCAAAATAGTCGTTATATCCTTGAATCTTCGATATGCAAATATCTATTTTCGTTCTTTCCGACAGAGCGCTATAAATTTAGATCGTATTCCGTTACAAAATAATTCGAATCCTTCGAGGTGTAAATACGGAAATGCAGTTCGAACAACTCGATACGCAAATCCTCGTAAACACGGCCGCTTTAAATTTGATCAGACACAGAAGTGCTGCTAACGTATATCGATTGGAAGACGCCAACGTATCGATAATTGTGGTTACACATATCGAGGTTATAATTAGTGATCATATTACTTCGGGATCTTTGTAATTAGTTTGCGAACCGAGATCGATGTTATTCTCAATCTGTGCTTGGTTTCAATTTGTCGTGGCGTATCGATTCGAAATTCCCTATGTACGGTGAATTGTTATCGTTAAGAGCCCCTAGCAAGCAGGCTCGAGAGTTGCAGTCGCGTACCAACCCCCGTTCAGTCGATATCTGGCGCGCGTCGCGTGTGTCACGCAGTTACAGCGGAGGCGGTGTCTGCGCCGTTCGTCGTTAGTTTCTCTTGCTGATAATTCGAACGGATAAACGTGTCACACCGATCGAACGTCCCCGCGAGTGGAATTCTGCCCGTTGTGCCGCCGTTAACGAATCCAAAACGTCGACCATACGTCGTTCGCGTTGCCCTCGAAACGAACCCATCGATCGCCAATCGCTTCATAATTTATCCCCCGCGTAGGTCAAGTTCCGCGTGCACGAAGACCCGTCGCTGGTGGTGAAACCGTTCGACGACCGACAGGTGTGCACGGTTTTCATTCGAACCGTCCCCATCGATTCCCAATCGTTCGTGTCTCGCGACGGAGCACATAAAAGTGTCCCTAATGCAGTGACGTACGAAAACGACACGACGTGACCGGTGCGAAAAGGGTGGAGGTACGAAAGGGGTTGCTGTCGTGAGTCCGTGCAGCTTCGTTCTTGATTCTTTTCCCCGTCAGCATCTTCGCCGACGTTGCACAGTGATCTGGAAAGCGGTATTTCTTAATCAAAATTTCAAACACGTTTATATCGATCACATGTTTCCTGTAATACAACATGGTTATTTACAGTAATTTCTTTTTTCGAAAAGAACCTTACATAATGAAAACAAAAGTTTCACAAGCATTACACATCGTCCCTAACCTTGATACTCGTGTCTTATAGTAGTTATATTAATTTTAGAACTTAAGTTTAGCACCCATATTTTTATCGTTTCAAATTTTCGTAGCGTTCGAACACTTTTGTGGGTCACTGTACGCGTGTGTGTTCCTTTTGTTTAAATTCGAGGACAATGCATACACGTACGTATACGGAAGCATCGATCATCTACGGAGTGAGTTTTCGGTGCGATTTATAACCTAGAATTAATGTATTGATATACAGCTCGTAAGAATTGATTGATTTCTATTGTTTCAGTTTAGAAATAAATGCTGTGTCCTTCGTTGAATTCGGATAGCGAGCAATGCCATTCTTCTTTAGGCTCATTTCTAATTAAAATATATCGACGGTCGCGTGGTCAGAGTTACTTCGAATGATGGAAGGCTGAATGTAAAAAATTCATGGTTTACTTACAGTTTGAACGGTTAAGGTTATGTTTATATACAAAAAGGCCGCGCCAGCAATGTACATAAAGGCTTATGAAACGACTTTGGTGTATTCTTAGACTTTCTGTATAGCTACAGGCTTAATTCTTATAATCTTGTTCCTTCTGGTTGCTCATTAAGGGGTAAGACCATTGTGAAAACCTGAAGTAAAGCGTTTTTCTTTCAAGAGGATAATAATATTCAAGAATGTTATTAACCACGTCGTTAAGTGTTAAAAAAAAAATATTTATTCATAAATAGTGCAAAGTGACGGTGCTGGAGCCATTTGTTATGAATTTAAGGCGCTCTATGGCACACAGTGTAACTGACGCAAATTTGTATCTGGAAAAAAACAAAAAATTTTCTCTTAATCTACATGAGTATAGCTAGAGAAATAAGGGATTTTTGAAACATTAATTTTTGTGTGATTGGCGACCATTTGAAGTAGAAAGTTCAATTTTGTACAAAAAATGGGGCAATCATTTGTCAATAAATAACGTTAAAATTAACTTATCGAAGATCCCCTACGTATTTCTCTAGCTGTACTCATGTAGATTAAAATTTTTCGTTTTTTTTCTCAGATACAAATTTGCGTCAGAGCGCCTCAAATTCAACGCGCCTCGTGAGAATGGTTCCACCGTCGTCTTTTGTATTATTTCTTTTTTAACGCTTAACGACATAGTTAATAACATTCTTGAATATTATTATCCTCTTACTATTCCATCCATCCAAAAAAATTGCAAAAATACGCATATATGGTACGAATACGCGCGAAAAAAAATATTTTCCTTGAATATTGTCGGTTATGTAAGAAATTTACGAATTTGAAAACGCTTTGCATACAGTGTAATTGCCAGCCATACTTTCGAGGCCATTTTGAGGACAGATATTGATACTTGTCGTTTAACCGTATTTACCGTTAAGTAAATTGCCTGCATAATTTGTCAACACAACACTCTAATATTCGTTTCTCGGCATAATGTATTTCTCCGCGTCTATACTTATGCAAGTCAGACTTTAAACCGAAAGAAGCGCAAATAAGAACCGTGAATCGGAGATTTTAAAACCTAGGCAATCGCGTCAGAATTTCAAAATATAAATTAAGGCGACAAACAATTTATCAGAAGGTATTAAGCGATTACCAAGCTAACAGAACATATTTCTGAAGTAGGCGTGGGCTTGTAAGAAAACTTGAACCGATTATTCAAGAATGACTAACGTGTCACGATTACGCAAATAAGATACAGTAAAAAGCGGGCAAAAAATATTTTATACGAAGACCTTTGAAAGAAGAGTAACTTAAAATAGAATCCATGAATGTAGAACGATTTTCGAAGAAAGAGAAAAATCGTGGAAGTCTTTTTTTTAATGAAAAGATCGAATCCTCGACGATAGATCCTCTTTCAACGAAGCGAATACAGTCTCCGGGAATAGAAGTGTCTTCATTGAGAAAAACATAAAAGTAAAAATAACTTTGTCTTGAATTTATGGTTTACAGCGTGGTGCGAGTCTTCTTATGGTTTCTGGCTCGTAATTTCCTGAAGGTCGAGCGCGCATGAACTCGCGTCGCGACAGGCAACTTGGTCATTTTGAAAGTTGCAATTAATGGCGATCAACGTGGTAATTCTGCTATCGTTTCCGTCACGAATTACGTTACGACTACGAAAACATCGTTCGTGCTCGCCGGCGAGTACAATGGAAAAATGCCGCATCGTTGTTGTTTTTTCTCTGCGACGCCTTTACATGTTTATTCCGCGAGTTTGCATCGAAAAGGTTAACACCGTTGACTGTTTTGCATGTTAGGAATGTCCTCGACGTTTCCTCGAATTTTAGTGCGAAAAAACGTTCTTATAATTTCTTACGGTATCTCTGACCGTCACATTTTCTTCGTTCAACGAGAACTTTTATCAGGCTTGCTCGACGACACGCGATGTTCTAACGGATTTCGCACTGTTTTCAGAGGCGATACGTTATCAGCCCTTAGTCCGCCATATTGGTCCCGACGCCAGAAATTTTTTTTCTTAGCTGTTCTGTTATCCTTGCTTCGTTCGACAAGTGTCGCGGCTCAAGCGATCGTTTATCTTATCTTCTTCAATGGTATTTTGTAAATATTGGGTTCTGCTCTAGGTCAAATTAAATGTTTTTTAATAGAAATAATAACATAATCAACTGACGCATAATTAGCGATTCCGTTTGCTTTCTTTGTTTCCAAATGCACCGTGTGAATAGTGCAAACAGCTGAAATTAATATAATTCTTTATTGTCATCGCATTCTGCATTTTCTCTGCATTTTGTTTTATGCGTGGTATTTGTATGTACTATTTATGAGTTATCTACACAGGGTGTTTGGTCATCCCTGGGGGAAATTTTAATGGGAGATTTTAGAGGCCAAAACAAGACGAAAATCAAGAATACCAATTTATTGATGGAGGCTTCGTTAAAAAGTTATTAACGTTTAAAGTTCCGTCTGTATTGAATTTTTTTCTCGAAAATGCGCAGGATTTCGAGGGTATGTCTATTCACCAAAAATGATTTTAATTGACCTCCGCAATCAGAAATAATTTTTTCAGGACGATTTCAAATTTTCCAATTTTGTCGAAAAATTTTACACCTGGAATTTTTTTCTCGAAAGTAGGTTGGATTTGGAGGTTGTGTTTAATGACCAAAAATGATTGTAATTAATCCCCGCAACTGAAAATAATTTTTCAAAACAGTTTGCAATTTTTTTTTTCGCCGAAAAATTTAAGTACTCTCCCTGTCGATTTTCCTTAAAAATTTGTTTTTCATTTTTAATAAATTTGTTTGACTCCCTACAGAAAAGTTGTCTAATACTTTTTTGTAGCTACCTATGAGCTCTATCTCAGACCAAAATTTTAATGAGATACATTCACTATTATAGGAGTTATAGTCGTTTGAAAATTGAACCATTTTTATGGTGTTTTTCTCATTTTACGGCGTCAAGGAATAAGTTCTCTAATATTGTTAGAATTTCTACATATTCTTCACCAAAATACGCATTATTTGTCGTTTGAAACATTAAAATCCTCCAATCGGTTCAGAAGTTACGACATTTTAAAGATTCGCATGAAATGTTCGAGCAACATTTCTGGCCATAAATTACATTTTTCATCAGGAATTTTTTTCTCGAAACTACGTAGGATTTCGAGGTTATGTATATTGACCACAAATGATTATAATTGATCCCTGCAACTAAATATAATTTTTTTAGTATGATTTGAAATTTTTTAATTTCATCTAAAAATTTCACTACCTACTCGAATTTTTTTCTCGAAAGTGAGAAGGATATCAGGGATAGGTCTATTTACCAAAAATTATTATCAGTGACGTCCTCAAACGAAAATAATTTTTCCAGAACGATTGGAAATTTTTTAATTTTGTCGAAAAATTTTACACCTCGAATTTTTTTCTCGAAAGGGGGTTGGATTTCGAGGGTGTCTCTAATGACCAAAAATGATTGTAATTGACCCCCGCAACCGAAAATAATTTTTCCAGAACGATTTGAAACTTTTTAATTTAATTGTTAATAACTTTTAAACGAAGTCTCAGTCAAGAAATTTATATACTTGATTTTCGTCTTATTTTGGCCTCCAGAATCTCCCATTAAAATTTTTCCCTAGGGTGACCGAACACCCTGTATAATGTTTGTATGTATGTACGTGTATGATGTCTATGTGATATTTGTGTTAAATTTACTTGTTATTATAAATTTAATTCGTTTGGAGCATCATCGTATGTAAGTGTCTATCCGATACTAATCTCATATTCCCAAGTACTATTAATGTTTTGAAAGTTGTTGGGCCGATTATAAATAGAGTATACGTGTAGATGTGATTGTAAGACCAACTACAAATTGTTCGCTATATAGTATCTGTAATATTGCGCGATTATCTATCAAAAGGATTGACGTCTTAAACTCTTGTCCGTCACGAATCGAGTCTCCTCCAGCGAGCGATCTTCCAACACGCTACGTGTAATCCGCTGCCAAGTGGCATCACAGACGAAAATGACGAAATCAAACATTCGTATTGGAGGAATTTCCGTATCGTCTGATCTTCGAATAAAGGTTATCCATGGTCGTTCCGGATCTCTGTATTCTCGCGTTGTAATATTGTTTACCATGAGTACACCCGTCGGGCTCGGCCAGCCATACAGTCACACGTGTTCAATTTATATCTTTTGAATCGCGGGCGTAGGTAGTCACAAAAGCGCCATTCGTGCGGGGAGGCGCTCGCGCGATGTCAGGTATTCCAGCAGACGATGATAAGGGGCCTCCAGTGCGTAGCGTTTCGTGGCGATGTTAGGTTCGCGACGAACGTGACTTGCGTCGACGTGTGACCTTTGTCTCTTGACCGTGTACTGTGATCCACCTAGTGATACCGACCGTCGCCAAAATGATATGATATGTATATGATCGTTCGAATCTGGACCCTCCGAAAGTTTCGAAAAATTTTAACACTTTAATGGCCGCACATATCACGCGAAGACCCGTTGTCCGTCGTCACTGATATTGTAGACCAAAGTGAGATACACGAAAATGCTAGGAATTGTATTATAAGGAATTATGAATGTAACCTCAACAAATGTGATAAGTTGAATGTATGATGAAATGGTGACTGATACAGTAGATCACGCACACGTGACAGTGGCCAAAGTCTGCTAGCTCGCAAAGTCACGTATACGTGACAGCGGCCGTCAAAGTGGTCAGGGGGTACTATGGTCTAGAAGACCAATTTTTAATCCTTCGAGAATTCTTTGCAACAAAACCGTGAGACTTAGTCGCATGATTTTATTTGTTACCATATTATGCATATACAGGGGTGTTCGGCCAACCCTGGGGAAATTTTAACAATAGAACTGCCGACAATTATAGTGTGTTGATTTGTACCAAGGAAATTGAAACCATAGGTGCGTGAAGAAATGAATAATGCTATGGAAATAAGTGTTTATTCATTCTCTTATAGAAAATTACGGTAAATTTCCAAAAATTCAGTCGAGTAAATTTTTTACAAGTTTTACTAAAAATTACGAATGGGTCATTTTGACTGGTTGGTAGTTCTGGTGTTAATGGGAGATTCTAGAGGCTGAAATAACATGAAAATCAAGAACATCAATTTCTTGACTGAGGCTTCGTTAAAAAGTTATTAACAATTAAATGCAAAAATTTCAAATCGTTCTGGAAAAATTATTTTCGGTTGTGGGGATCAATGATAATAATTTTTGCTGAATAGACCTATCCCTGAAATCCTACCCACTTTCGAGAAAAAAATTCGAGTAGGTACTGAAACTTTTAGACGAAATTAAAAAATTTCAAATCCTACTAAAGAAATTATATCTAGTTACAGGGGACAGTTACAAGCATTTTTGGTGAATAGACATACCCTCGAAATCCTACCCACTTTCGAGACAAAAATTCGAGTAGGTACTGAAACTTATAGACGAAATTAAAAAATTTCAAATCATACTAAAAAAATTATATCTAGTTACAGGGGTCAGTTACAAGCATTTTTGGTGAATAGACATACCCTCGAAATCCTACCCACTTTCTAGAAAAAAATTCAGTACGGTCAACACTATAAACGTTAATAACTTGTTAACGAAGTCTCAATCAACAAATTAGTATTCTTGATTTTCGTCTTATTTTGGCCCCTAGAATCTCCCATTAAAATTTTTCCTAGTGGTGACCGAACATCCTGCATATTGTTTATTTTAACTAAAAATGATGATGATTAGGTATGCCACGTGTGATTGAATGTAGATGTATAAAAAAAAAGTGGTCTGACGGTGTTCAAGATTCCAGCCGTTCTGTTAACGAGGAAGCAAATTAGCATCTTGGTTAGCATGAATACATGGCTGTCGTGTGAACCGCGATAAACAGATAATCTGAATAGTTAAAAAAGTGTTGGTGCATTGAAGTTCGTGCATCGATTTTTTTCTTAAACTTCTAGACCAGAATACCCCTTTAAGACCCTTATTTCGAGTCCAGACGATGCGGGAAGTCTTGATCGGTCTTGAATTCACGGTTTTCCGAAATTTTCAATCAGTATTCAATATTCTGCGATAATAAATATAGATTCATAAATCTTTACAAAGAATTACAGATTTATTAGACACAAAAACAATGAGAAAAGGTTCTGTAAACACCGTGTCCTATTTTATCTTCTTCGTATTTGACTTGGAAGTGATTAAAATGGCCACCAAAAATTTCGGGCCAAATAAAAGCCTGCAGGTGTGTCACAATCTTCCAAATATGCCAGGTATTGTGTAGGATTCATCAGCAGCTTTCTCGCCATGTACACGTTACCAAAGTATTTCAACATTAGCAATGAGTGTTGAGTAAACAAATGGTCTTGTGTGGCTCTAAAAATAAAAATTCAACGAATATAAATTCTAAGAAACGTTGATGACATTTTTAACATGGGAAATTGACGTGACTACTGCTGCGGTCCACCTGTTAATCGCTTCTTTATATAAACGCATATTAAAATTTTGTTTATACAGCTTACTCTAAAATGAATAATACATTTTTTAAAGATAACTTGTGGGGGGTGGTCACCGCCACTGTCCCTCTTCTGGATCCGCCCACTGCTTAATCGACCGCTTATGTAGGTCCCACGTGTTCGAATCTACCATGTATAGTGAAATTTAGTACTTCGTCCGACCTCCCTTATCTTCGCTCAGCCTTGAACGGCTCGAATTGAGATACACTTAAATCGTTACAATTGTACTGGCCCCGTTATCTATCTGTCTTGCTGTGTTGTGTCGGCCAGGATGATTGCAGTTGTCACCGCTTATCTACCCCCTTTGTTTTCTACGGCCTCTTTTTCGCGACATTGGCAGACACGTTTCGAACGAACGCGAACAAATTCTATGTAAAACGAAAACCAGAAACAAGATTTCAATCGTTATGTGATTCCCCTTGCCTGAGAATCGCGGACGTTTTGCCGTCCCGGTCGGTTCGCGAAATCTTGAAGAATCGAAAATTGTTTTCAGAAGCAAGGCGCGTTCGCGCGAAACGACGCCATCGAATGGTCGCGATAGAAGGTGCCCGGTCCGATAGGGACGGAAACATGTGAAGGAAAGGAAACGATGAAGTGTGGTCGGGGTAATCGTTGACGGGCGCCGGAGCCCACGACGACGTCGCGACGCGATACTGTACGGAGTGCCTACGGTGACGCGGATGAACGAGAAGCGGTCGTTTCTCGACCGCGGAAATGAACGGTAGGCGACACAGTGCGTCGTGCTGGGGGGGTTGAAGACCACGTGACCGTAACAAAGTTTCGGGCGCAAGCAAGAAGCGGCACCGTTCGCGAAAATAGGCGGCTCGGTGTTGCTTGAGATGGACTCTGTGGCGGTGACGGTGCCGCTTCGTCAGCCGACGAAGAAAATGAAGAAACGGAAGGAACTCGATGCCCTAGCGCCCCCGCACATTGTCTCCAGACGGAGTTCCGGGAAACGTAGCTCCCAAGTACGTATCCGTATCAGGGATGTCTCGATACTTGTGGAAAATTTCCAGAAATGAATACGGCGGAAGAAATACCTTTAAGGACTATAATATTTTCAATCGAAATGACAAGAATTTCGATAATATTTTTTAAACGCTAAGAAATAGGAACGATAGAAATAACTGATATACAGGGTGTTCGGCCACCCATGGGGAAAATTTTAATGGGGGCTTCTAGAGGCCAAAATAAGACGAAAATCAAGAATACCAATTTGTTGATGGAGGCTTTGTTAAAAAGTTATTAACGTTTAAAGTTCCGACCGTACTGAATTTTTTTCTCGAAAATGCGCAGGATTTCGGGAGTATGTCTATTCACCAAAAATGATTGCAATTGACCCCCATAACCGAAAATAATTTTTCCAGAACGATTTGAAATTTTTTTTTTCCATCAAAAAATTTCACACCTCGAATTTTTTTCTAGAAAGTGGATAGGATTTCGGGGGTATGTCTATTCACCAAAAATGATTGTAATTGACCCCCGCAACCGAAAATAATTTTTCCAGAACGATTTAGGCACATAATTAGATTTTCGGTAAGGAATTTTTTTCTCAAAAGTGCGTAAGATTTCGGGGGTACATGTAATGACCAAAAGTGATTGTAATTGACCCCCGCAACTGAAAATAATTTTTTTAGAAGGATTTGAAAAAAATTTTTCGCCGAAAAATTTCAGCACCTGCCCGATTTTTTTTCTCGAAAGTGGATAGGATTTCGTAGATATGTCTATTCACCAAAAATGATTGTAATTGACCACCGCAACCGAAAATATTTTTTCCAGAACGATTTGAAATTTTTGAATTCAATTGTTAATAACTTTTTAACGAAGCCTCCATCAACAAATTGGGGTTCTTAATTTTTGTTTTATTTTGACCTCTAGAATCCCTCATTAATATTTTTCCCAGGTGTGGCCGAACACCCTGTATAGAATTTGAGGAATTTAAAGGAAGCAAAATAGTTGACTATATTTGTATAAGAACTTTTAAATTTGTTTCGAAAAGCCTTGCCAATGGATTGGTGAGGCTTTCTCGGTGAAAACGAGTCCAAACACGACTATATTCGGACTACGTTTAATTAAACATTATTTGAATAATTTATAATTGAAAATGTTCCGAACGTGGTCGTGTTTATACTCATTTTAAACGGCAGAATCACGCCAATCCATCAACGATACTCGGGATATAATGATAAATATAAGAAATATTATTTTTGAAAGATTCGAGCCCAGAGATATCGGTTGCGTATCTTATCGCTCTCTTATCGAGGTGTAGACAGTAGGGAAGGATGGTTCCATTACTTGAATATAGTGTAAAAATATTATCAGTTGAATGCGGAAATCGCAGCACAGTGTATATTAAAGTGGTGTATAAAAATAAAATAATACTTTACTAGGAGTACAAGGAATGTTGATCATCAAGCATCGTGATACTGTGTTGGAAAAAAATTTTTCTTGTATTTCTTCAATGAATTTCAATTAGTTCGGCAAAAAACAATTAATATCAACGCTCCATTTACGAGATTAAATGTCAACTGCTAGGTTATATACACGCGCGTGAAGTTAAACACCATCTATCGATAAGAACGTGCACATTTTATCTCCGATCCAATAATTTTTCAAATCGCCTCATTCTTTTTAATCCTTTTATCATAAAATTTTTCCATACTCCTAATTCTTTCTCAGATTTCAATCGTGCAATTAAACGAATAAAGATACACGACTCTCGTAAAATTTATTTCTTAAGGAAGGGTGTTTTAATATCGACTCGAAGGACCGTTCGATACGCGACGATCGGAATAAAATTTCCTAAATCGGGGGAATGCCCAGGGAAAATTTGGTAAATCGACAGAACGATCGAGACGCGTCCATTTTTTAAATTAAACTAACCGACGTAATGATATTTACATAAGAGCCCGGTATTTATTTTACCTACATTTCTAGGAATTACTAACCGATAGCAGCGACGAACGATCGGAATACTGGAATATATCGACTAGAAATGGCCGCAAATGCAGAGGCAGACGAAGTCGAGCTTGTCCCGGATTTTTTAAAGCTTGTAGTGCCTTTCTGGCTTGTGCCTCTGTATTAGCAACTGCTAGTTTAATTTGGCTGTTCATCGATGTTCGTCAGCAACTCACTGCTCTCCGGACCGAGCTGGACCAAGGTATTGACATCGTGAAACGTATTCCTGGCACGATCTGACAAAAAAAAACAAAAAAATTAGACACAATTTAATTACGTTCCAAAAAAAAAAAATAATCGAATAGCTCGTTATGAGTTCCAGAATAGAAACGTCGCGCGTAAAACGAGCTTTGTCCCTTTAGCCGGTTATGCTACATTATGGCTCATAAATATGTACAAAGATCGCTATGATAACACGATGCTAAGTAATCTGCTTACGATGCAACGATTACCGCGTTGTAATACGCTTATCCACTAAGATCGTGAGCCAGACCCGTTAACAAATATTAGATTATGTATGTTCTTTGCTGGTTGAGTAGATCGACATCTTAAGTCGCTCAATTACTATTAACTGAACCACTGATAACGGTAATGGTGAAAGTGAAATTTACAGCGACGGTCAATTACTTAAGAACATTCTTAAGAAAGATGTTGCAACGAGTGTTAATTAGTATTACTTGCGCATTCCTCTGCCGAAGTCCTACAAAATACGATTACATTGTATATGTTTATTAGTTTTGATAAGATATCGGACCCTAATAACAGTTACATAAACGTGATATTATAATAGTATAATAGTGTTTATTCTAGAATATACAGGGTGTTCGGCCATCCCTGGGAAAAATTTTAATGGGAGATTCTCGGGGCCAAAATAAGACGAAAATCAAGAATACCAATTTGTCGATTGAGGCTTTGTTAAAAAGTTATTAACGTTTAAAGTTCCGTCTGTAGAACGGTGATCTGCGAACAGCTGCGTGCGCATGATAGTGGTTCCCTACTCACTGACGCATCGACAGTAGAACTTTAAACGTTAATAATTCTTTAACGAACACTCGATCGACAAATTGGTATTCTTGATTTTCGTCTTATTTTGTCTTATTTCTCCCATTAAAATTTTTCCCAGGGGTGGCCGAACATCCCGTAAAGTTGCACAGTTGTAGTATAGCAACATATATGTGATTATTCAATTGTGGTATTGTAGTATAACATGTTACACAACTGTAACACAAATATATGATAAAAACATTACTACACTGGCATTATATAGTTTTGCTACTGTATTATACTAAGCACAGTATTGCTGTGTAGGTGTGGTATGGTCACGTCGGTCACTGTAATATAAAAGCATGATTAGTCGTGCAGCGACAGCACAGCAACATACTAACAAAATTTAGACAATGCACAGTAGTGTAGTATAGTAGCACAACCTTGGATCGTCATACTGTGCCTATTTTTGATTAAATCGAAATAAGGATGAAGTCTTGTGTCGTAAACGAAATTCTTTTTTACGTTGCAGCGATCGCCGGCAACGAAGGTGTTTCAGATTCCCTGCAAAAATGCTACTCTGTGTCGAGAGACCTAAAGAACAACCAAACAATTATTTTCTCCCGTTTGTCAGATTTCAAGCTTCAGATCAGTAATTTCACGACGCAGGTAAAATTCTATAGATAATCTAGCTTTTACGATGGGGCTTCCGGTTTTAACAATTATCGAGGCTATATAGAGGCATAAATATTAACATACAGTTCGGTTTCCGAGGTGCATTGATGTCGAATTAACTGGCACTGTCTTTGTATATCGGTATTCAACGTCAAAACAAGTGGTTTTATCAGTATTTTTAGCTCCAACCCACTTAAATGTTTTCTATCATTTTTGTGTACAGGATGTTTGGCCTTTCCTGGGAAAAATTTTGATGGTAGATTCTGGAGGCCAAAATAAGACCAAAATCAAGAATGCTAATTTGTTGATTGAGACTTCGTTAAAAAGTTATTAACGTTTAAAGTTCCGCCTGTAGAACAGCATAAGAAACACTACTTACTGACTCATCGACAGCTTTACAGTTTTCTGAGTGAGAACCACTATCGCGTGTACGCAGCTATCCATTTTCAAGAAAAAAATTCGAATAGGTGCTAAAAGTTTCGGCAAAAAAAAAAAATTTCAAATCGCCTTGAAAAAATTATTCTCGGTTGCAGGAGTCAATTACAATCATTTTTTATGAATAGACATACCCCCGAAATACTACGTACTTTTCAGACAAAAATTCTTTACCGAAAATGTGGCCAGAAATATTTCCATAATTTTTTAACGGAGCCTCAATCAACAAATTAGTATCCTTGATTTTCGTCCTCTTTTGGCCTCTAGAATCTCCCATTAAAATTTCCCCCAGGGATGGCCGAACACCCTGTATATGCTATGTATATGGTCTCATAGGTTGTCCAGAAAAGCAGGATGCATCTTGTAAAATAATTCCAAGAATATATGATGCATTCTTTAGAACGTAAATTCGATTTCCAGCTAGCCGTTATCCAACGTGATCTCCATAGAGTCGAGGAGTGGTTTAAAGCTGACCCAGAATTGGCCAACGTACCGACGAACATGTTGAAAGCGCTCTCGAGTAGCGTGGTATCGTTTGGCAGCCAAATACAAGACTTGAGTGCCACGGTGAAGGCTCTGAAGGAGTCGAACGCGAGGGTCCAAGATGCCCAGACCACTATGCAGCAGAATATCAGCAGTATCAAGGTCTGATGAACGAAACGGTTACCTAATATCGCTTCCACGACGAACGTGAATTGCGGGATAATAATTTCTATTTTACTGGGTTGCAGAATACCGTATCGGAGTTGTCTGACGTCTCGCAGAAGCCCCAAACGGTGGCCACCAACGAGACGAAAATAAAGACTGATGAGCTGGACGCAGCGATATTACGTTTAACGAATAATCTGACGCGAATCAATGAGACGCTCTCGAGAGCGGTGCAATGGGTCGCTGAGGATCAGAAGAAAGACCATGTAAATGTCGTGCACTATAATTTTTGACGCTTTGCTTGTTTTCTGACCGACAAAATACGAAACTAACGTGCAAGGTTCAAGTTAAAAGTGAATGGCGGCTAACCGTTTAATATTCATTTGCAGGAAACGTTGGTGTTGCTTCAAGAGTCGTCGCAGAACGTTAGTATGAAAGTGATATCTTTGCAGAGGGAGTGCGTGAAGACTACTGTGTTAACGTCTGTTAAAAAGTTGAACGACCAAGTACGTGTACACGCTACGTGGCGCATGAAATTTTTATTTAGCACGGCATCCGCTGACTGTAAATGTTCCAGGTGAGCGAGATCCACGCGGTGAACGCGGAGCTGAACGATAGGATGAAGCAGCTGGAAAAGTCGTATGGCAATTTAAAGAATTCCACGAGCGTGATGCTGGCCGCGATACCAGAGATTCAGGGTCAGAAGTTGAACAAAGCGAAGGGTTTGGAAGAATCGATCGACGGAGACGTGACTACCGAACAGGATCGCAGTGGAGTAGGTGAGTCGATACCTTTGAGCTTTCCGTTGGTTTTAAAGGTGAACGTTTGTTTGGACAGACTATACAGGGTGTTCAGCCATCCCTGGGAAAAATTTTAATGACAGACTCTAGAGGCCAAAATAAGACGAAAATCAAGAATACTAATTTGTTGATGGAGGCTTCGTTACAAAGTTATTAACGTTTAAAGTTCCGCCCATACTGAAATCTTTTCTAGAAAGTGGGTAGGATTTCGGGGGTAGGTCTATTCACCAAAAATTATTATCATTGACCCCCGCAACAGAAAATAATTTTTCCAGAACGATTTGAAATTTTTGAATTTTGTCCAAAAATTTTACACCTCGAATTTTTTTCTCGAAAGTGGGTTGGATTTTGTGGGTGTGTCTAATGACAAAAATTGATTGTAATTGACCACCGCGACTGAAAATAATTTTTTCAGAACGATTTGAAATTTTTGAATTTTGTCCAAAAATTTTAAACCTAGAATTTTTTTCTCGAAAGTGGGTTGGATTTTGTGGGTGTGTCTAATGACCTAAATTGATTGTAATTGACCACCGCAACCGAAAATAATTTTTCCAGAACGATTTGAAATTTTTGAATTTTGTCCAAAAATTTTACACCTCGAATTTTTTTCTCGAAAGTCGGTTGGATTTGGAGGGTGTGTCTAATGACTAAAAATGTTTGTAATTAATCCCCGCAACTGAAAATAATTTTTTTTAAATAATTTGCAATTTTTTTATCGTCGAAAAATTCCCTGTCGATTTTTCTTAAAAATTCGTTTATTGATTTTTAGTAATTTTGTTTGACGCTCTACAGGAAAGTTGTATAATACTTTTTTGTAGGTACCCATGAGCTCTAGTTCAATACTAAATTTTAATGAGATACATTCTCTATTGTAGGAGTTATGGTTGTTTGAAAATTGGACCATTTTGATGGTGTTTTTCTCAGTTTAGGGGGTCAAGGAACAAGTTTACTAATATTGTTAGAATTTCTACATATTCTTCACCAAAATACGCATTATTTGTCGTTTGAAACATTAAAATCCCCCTATCCGTTCAGAAGTTATGACATTTTAAAGATTCGCATGAAATGTCGGGGGTGCATTTCTGGCCTCACATTTGATTTTCGGTCAGGAATTTTTTTCTCGAAACGACGTAGAATTTCGAGATTATGTGTACCGACCAAAAATGATTGTAGTTGACCACTGCAACTAAATAGAATTTTTTTAATATGATTTGAAATTTTTTAATTTCGTCTAAAAATTTGTGTCTACTCGAATTTTTTTCTCGTAAGTGGGTTGAATTTCGAGGGTGTGTCTAACGACCAAAAATGATTGTAATTGACCCCCGCAACCGAAAATAATTTTTCCAGAATAATATGAAATTTTTTAATTTAATTTTTTAATAACTTTTTAACGAAGCCTCAGTCAATTTTCGTCTTATTTTGACCTCTAGAATCTCCCATTAAAATTTTTCCCAGGGCTGGTCGAGCACCCTGTATAGCTGACACAATTCCAGTCGTTCAGTTAATGTCGAAAGAAAAGGGAGAAAAAGAATATCCTCGTTGGAAAGTGTGTAGTTTTAGAACAGGGGAAAACATGTCTTTTCTTATTTTACAGTCCCGGACGACGAGGTTTCTATAAAAAACTCTTCGACGGATAAACCGAAACGATCGAGGACGACCCCGTAATATATTTTAGGCGATATATTGCAGAAATACTCGGGCGAGGAACTCGCTTTATTCTGAAAAGCAAGTCTGTCCCCGAATACGAACACGTGTGTATTTGTAAATACTATTGAATTAAGTGTGTTTAAATTCCATGTATATAGAAAGGTTAAATATTGATACCATGGATAGTGTCATTCCGATGCATAGAATAATCAGCAAAACTTTATTGCTCGATCATTTATGCTGAAACGGGTGTTCCGCGTGGCCGAACACGACCAAGCTATTTATAACGAGCAATAACGTATACGTTTAATCTAGTATCGTCGAAATCGAATACCGTGTATTTTGAATCGTATTTCGAGTATCACGGAACGCCAATCTTTAGAGGATGCTGTATGTAATTACTTGAGTATTTGAGATATACCATCGAAAAGTACAAAGAGCGTTTACACTTGTTCTTGCGTTAATGAAAGAAAACAAAAAAAAATTTAGAAACGTTTAAACCCTTGAATATCCATGTATAATTGCAATAAATTTTTCTACTCTTCTACCGTTTGTAGCGCAGTGTTAGTCCACGAGTTTGCCAAACGTTTGGTGACGCTAGAGGGTACACCCAGATTTCTGCAGAATACAAAACTTTAGGTCCTGTTATTCCCTCCTTCGTTTGTAGAAAACCGACCGGTTTAGTACTCCGTAGTGTACAGCGTATCATTAAAAAAAAAAAACAAGGAAAGCTATTGCAAGTACGTCGTCCATATCGCACCAAATGGATTATTTGAGGTTTAAATAACGAATAAGAGAAACAGGGAGCAAGAAATTTTGTGAATTCTTTTTGCCGAACTTAAATAAAATGTTAAAGAGAGTAATATGGTGTGTCTTGATCGATTCGATGTTATACTCTTGTTACTGGATACATAATATTTCAATCATCGCAAGAGAATCTGTTTATCTGTATACAAGGGTGGTCCATTTTAATCTGAATCGAATAAATGACCGTGGAAAATCGATGAAACGTATAACAAATACAAGAACAATACCTTTTATTTTTAATACTAGAACGCCTGTACCTGCTTTATTTCAAATTCTGATAAAATGCAATTCAAAAGATTCCCTAGAGAAAAACAAAATGTTAACGTCTTCTATCTCTCCTTATTATTTATTTAATAAACTCTCGATTTCTTCTAACGGTCGTACATTCAGTTTTTTTTTTTTAAATCAAATGTGTTTGCTGCGGTACCTTGATTCATGGAAACAAAATGGGACATCCTGTGCGTAATTGAAGTTAACTATACTGTATTTCGTAAACGGTCGATAATTAGCGTCATTATCTTTTAGATGCGCTTCAATATCAGTTGCATTATGTAAGAGAGAAATGCACGTTTATTTGTCTGTCTTATACTTGAATATGTTATGCAACGTTTTTGCGTATAGACGTCGAGTGGATTGTAGTAATTGCGAATATATTTAAACGACTGTACGTCCATTCTAGCGGGGAACGAGATTGTATTTACAGGGAAAAGAACAAGAGCGAACCGATCGCAGTTATTAATAACGGATTATACGCGAGGAATACATGAAAATTTATGAATTTATAAAGAAGAATACAAAGCGAAACAAACGAGACAACATTGTCGAAATAAAGAACCGATTATTCAAATTTCACTGTTCGACTATTATTTTATTTCCTGTTGTTAATAGTAATTTAAAAACAAGACAAAGCATCGTGGTTCTAGACATGACACGTGCAATATTAGCGAACTCGCATCCAGCTGCTATTTCGATTTTTCGAATATGCAGTTGTTCAACATTACTATCTACGTTAAAATATTGTGGAACACTTGATAGTCAGGGGCCATTTTGTAAAAAGGCAGGAACGTTGGAAAAGATTGTGGTTCGCCAATAATGTGATTAAGAAATACTAATTTCATACTTCATAGAACGAATGTCTGTGACAATGAGTTGTATATTAGTCTGTTACGTTACTCATCTTTGAAAGTTTAGAAATTTATTATATCGTAGACGATGATTGAAGGGTATCGATGATTGTAATACAGAAAATAAAATAAATAGCCTGTACTACCACAGACGAGGTACACGAGTAGACCATTAACACAGACGAGGTATATGAATAGACCTTTCACCAAATGTAATTTTTCGGCCCGAGTTTCTGGGGTCCCGGGACCCCATTACCATTTTCGTGTCACTCGCAACGTTATCAACAGATTCAGAAATTAACACAAGAGGAAGTGAGACAGAAAATGAAATTACATAAATTTTATTATTTTTTAACGGAATCAAAGCTGTACGGTCCATCATTGGACATTAATCGATTAATTTCATTGGAGTAATCAATCGATTAAGAGTATTTAAAAATTTCAAGATTATTAAAATTCCTAAGGATGTATTTCGTTGATACGTACACCGCAAATTCTCTATTTTTTATTTTAAATTGTAATACATCATTTATTAAAAAAATAACATGGCAGAAAACGTATTTGCGATTCGAAATCGGTGTTATCAGACCGCACACCGGGGCGAAGAACATATGTGAAACTATAAGAAAAACGCAGCCATTAGCTCATATTATTTGCTATGTAATTGATAATTATATTAATTATATAGTAAATAGTATGACCCAGGTCTCACCGCGTGGAGGTTGCTGCGAATGGAGACCCACCCTAGCCTCGCCCCAACCACCCTTCCTTTGGCGAGGAATTCGAATACCTATCTAAGGAAGAAGCTATCGAAAAGTTAGAAATGAGCTACAAAGATCGAGTTCCTAAAAGAACTGCCCAATCAAGAGATGAAGAACCTAACAAAATGTCAATACATGTGAGATGATACACATGTTTTCTAGAAACGGAACTGAAATGTGCAACTGCACGTACGAACTCTGACTGATGAAGAGATCGAAAACCTAACAAAATGTTGATACATACGACATAATCCATCATATGTTTTTTAGAAACGAAATTGGAATGTGCAACCGCACGTACGAACTCTGATGAAGAGATCAAAAACCTAAGAAAATGTTGATACATGTCAGATAATCCATCTTATGTTTTTTAGACACAAAATTGGAATGTGCAACTGCACGTACGAATCCTGATTATTAAAGTACCAACATGTACTTTATTATTAATTGTTTCTCCTTAAATTGATCCTTATATTATGATAGTGTCTAATAAGACACTTAGAATCCAACCAGAAATGTGCAACTGCACGTATGGACCTTGCATATTAGAATACTAATATGTACCTTAATATTAATCATTCCCACTTAAATTTACGCACACGTTTCGGTAGTATTTAATAAAACGCTGGAGAACGCTTCTTTATCTTATAATCTATACATTTGTACTTATATTCTAACGCAATCTGTGGAAACGAAGAAATACGAGGAAATATTTTTTTCTTGGTGTCTTCATCAATCCCACGATGGTTTTCTAAAACATACACTCATATACAATAAATATAATCGATATAAAACGAAGATATGACAAGATATTTTCTTCTTGTCGTCTTCGACAATCCCACGATGTTTCCCTGAAACAAAAATTCATATCCAATAAATATAACTCATATAAAACAAATAAATATGAAAAGATACTTTCTTCTTGGTGTCTTGGTAAATCCCACGATGTTTCCCTGAAACATAAACTCAGACAATAAATAGAATTGTATGAAATATTTCTCTAAGAACACACAAGATGGAATCCCTGTACCATTTCCAATTCCATTTTTCAATGATTATATATCCTGTAACAAGAACTTGTTCAAAGAATTAATAGCTGAAATGAAAGTGTATTAATGGACACAGAAAAAAATAATTATGTACCGTCAAGATAGACTCATGGTAATCGATCATAGTAAAAATGACATAATGAAAATAATATTTTAACTGAAGCTTCCACGAGTAAAAATTGATATTAAAAAGTTTAAAAACATAAATATTGCGTGAAATTAAATGAAAAGTTAAATTCGTCTCAGTGTTAAGATAAATACGAAATAGATCGAAAATTTTATTCATTCGTTACCGTAGATTTTATTATTCGTTTCGTTTATCAAATAAAAAATTTTTCAAGACGTATACATTGCAATAATTATATTTTACTATATTGAAAACAAAATTAGGTTCGTATGGAAAAAGCAATAACGAACGAAAATGTCGATACTGCGCGGAAATGAACTCTCAACATGAAATATCAAATTGCAATTTGCATACGCTTTTCATGCAAGCATTCTATTTTCCATCAATTAAAACAATAATCGCGAACAAACTTTGATTTATGCAAAGAATACAGAATATTTATAAAAAATTCACTATTTATAAATAACAATTGGGTTGCAAAGGTTATTATATCCCGTAAAAATTACCAACTCTAATAATGAATAATTGGTGATATAGATATATATATATTGGAATCATAAATTCAATCTATGACACAATTAATCACAATACAGCATTTTTAAATGCATCACAAATCTGTGATAAAAATATATTCATAAAAATTACAGGTTTTAACACGTTCTGAAAAAGGAAATCATTAGTCTATTTACCCCAGAATTTTCAAGCAGTATTTTCATTGACAAACATATAAAGAAAAGGATATATTTCACATAGTTAGGGTCAATTTTCCACTCATAAATTCAAAAAACAACCCGTGAGTGGATTTCCTTCGCAACGCTAATTTATAAAATAAAAAACTATACGCGAATGGTGCTCGTTATTCGTAAAATGAACCACACAGGGTTCCTTTATTAATTAAATCGCGTGCACCCATATTCAATCATGCGCAACGCTAATTTTAATAACGATGTTGAGCCATTCGAGGCTTTGCAGAGGCTTCTTGATGATCCTGGTGCAGTGGCCAGCGTTTTGGCCAGCTTTTGGGCATTGAATCGCAACTCTGATTAATAAAAAACGCGACAAATCAAGATCGCAACGCTAATTTATAATATGAAAATTCCAAACGCGATTTAAAACAATAAAAGCAATCGCGAATGGTGATTATTCGCAACGCTACCCTGAAAAGTAAACGCGAAAAATAGTAATTCGCAACGCTAAGAACAAACCGATCGGTTCATTCGCAACACTATTTTTAAATAACGATAAAAGCAATCGCGTATGGAATTCGCAACTCTACGAGCAAACGCGATTATTGTATATTAGCAACTCTATCTTTAATGGAAATATATTTATGTTTCGCAACGCTAATGCAAATCGCGTTTTGCCCAAAAACGCTGAATCAGGTGCTGGCGTCTTCAGTTGTAGCTATAAACATATATCCACAAAATAAACTAACTACATCAAGCTACTTCAAACTACAATAGAGTGGCACATATGGGGATGAATTTAGACGTTTTAAATATCGCAACACTACGGGGCAACAACGCGATAAATCAACAATCGCAACGCTAATTTATAATAGAATAAATTCCAAACGCGACTTGTAACAATAAAAGC